TACCAATATTCTAAATTACCCGAGGGGACAACAACGTTAATTTCAGATGCTTTGAGAGCTGGAGTGAGTGGGGTGGTTGTGAAGAAATGTAAACATTATTATTACGCGAATACTGTTCTTGTACTGAGGGGTGTGAATAGTAAGTAATAGAAAGAGGATGGGAAGGCGATCGGTTTGGGGAAAGTATATACTGAGAGGAGAGGATGGGAGTGGGGAGATGGGATATGGGTTTGAATGTGCATGGTAGGTTCGTGGATATCGAAGGGGGGGGGGGGGAAGAGTTCTCTTTGGGAGATGTAGATTTACGGGAATGGATAGAGTTTGACAGTTAGTATTATTATGTCTATCATGGCTATCATGATTATCGTTTTTGTCGTAGATACATTCAACGAAGGAAAAGAAAGGCAATAGAAGGAAAGTGCACCAAGATAATCTCTGAAATGATGACGAGGAAAAACTTATGACATTGATAGAGAAGAACGGAATGATCACTACACTACGAAATATCGAGTTCCCGACTGAGGAGCCTGGGATTTTCAGATCAAGTCCGTTTGTGGATGGTATGATGGGCACAGTTTGTCAATATGGATATGTCGATACCGTGAATTCTGTTTTGAGGCATGGCATGGTCCTTGGAATTCCATCTCGGGTTCACCTATTCAGAGAGCCTTATTTATTCCATGGATGATGAATAGTTTGAAGATTTGCTTTTCAATCGTTGGGCACATGTGATTTTACTCTTTCTTTAGATATCAAGTCGAAGTAAATCATAATACGGGACTTTTTCTCTATCACAAAAACGATGAGTTCCTGTATGTACCTACCTAGATACTGTATTACTCTATCACTATAATCACTCCCGTCCAAAACCCCAAGGAACATTTACCCATAAGCGGGACCTACGTTTCGCTCCCAGTATGGTATCCGAAGGACTGCACACCCGGCTTGGATGTCGAAGTATCACTCGGAGTGAGATTCACTGCTGAATGTCACCGAATATATGGTCTATAGTCATGGAAAAGTCCCCGATCTACCTCTCTCCTACCCCGGGATATTACCCGAGAATATCCTAAGTGGGCTGTATCTCAAGAATACGGATGTCGGGTGCTGTCGGTATTCAGAGATATCATCTGATGATACTCGGATATCTCAGCGGGTTACCATGCGGTGGGATTTGAAGTGTGGAGGGGATAGAGCATGGTTGTTGTGCTGTGTATGCTTTGTGTCGAAGTCGACTCAGTTATTGTTTTGAGCATTATCTTGCATTCGTATACTTTCATTCATTTTACCTTTGGAATTCTTCCATCATAACTTGTGGTCGATTCTCGACCCCACAGAGGACTATCAGATGTTAATGATTGGCAGGATGAGATACTAGGTAGGTTTAAGTATATTTTCTGAGTGATTATTTATGCAATAGATGAATGGAGAAACTCTGGGTTTTGATACACTTAGATACACTGGCTCAAACACACCAATAGATGCAGAGGTGCTAAGGCTATAGAAGCAATCTACGGGCTTGATACCCTATAAAGGATATGCAACAAGAGAATTTAGAGAAGTATTGATTGGAAGCGATTCGCTAGTTTGTTGTTCGCTTACAGAGAGAGTGAATATCTACAAGAAATAAACGAGAATCAACGAGCTCGATAACTCTACCGCTCAACTATATATTGGCAGCTACCTCTGAGCAGAGATGTACATAAACCTCATATCTACTCGTGCATTTGCGGACAGTGGGAAATACCAACTCTTACTCCATTGTGGATTCTTTACAATTATACCACGGCAATGTATTGATTTTAATATCATATCCATCCATTGCGGAACTTAATTTTTTTCAAGTACTTCGATTTCAGAGGGATGGGATCAGTGAGGACAGAGAAGGTCGAGATTCGGGAAAGTAGAAGTCATTACATGGTTTATGAGCAGTTGGATATAGAACTTTAGGATTTGAATGAATGAAAAGAGGAAAGTTTAGATACAGATACGAATGCAGCAAGCAGTAAGTGACAAGATAGCGTTAGAAATTTGTATATAATCACCAAAGCAACCGTATTGACAATTAGCAAGCAAGCACCACGATATCTTACCGTGATACACATAATTGTGAATAGTAACTTTTAGAAGTACAATCAAGACCCGTGAAGTAAAAGGTTGTGAATATTCATTCTCATGCACAGTTGATTACTCTCTCTCTCTTTTATAGGGAAACCGCAAGAGTATAAGGTATAAGTACTAAACCCTCTGTCGTCTAATTTCTCTGCCCTAGAGAGATCCCTATCCCCCTTTCAATAAGATAGCCCTCCATTCGTTTATTTTCTGCATACATTCTTATCGAATTTTCAATACCGCACTTCACTTTCATGTTTTACTACCTACCTAAACTAAACCATCTATTCCCCCTCTGAAAGAAAATTAATTCTCGAATCTACTTTTCAATTTCCACCCCCAACTGTCAAGCAGATATATATATTTCCATCATTTTCCCCATGTAAATAGCAAGTATGTCAAGCGTGATATTCCTGATTATATACATCATTCATCCAACATCAATCAATTCCCTTCAGCTCAATCTCCCACACAATCTTCTAATCTTCCAATTTCTCATTCTCTAACCCCGAAAAACAATCCTATCCCACTCTCATTCTTACTCCAAATCTCATCCCATATACATATACAATCTATTCTCCCCTCCCCTCCACCCTATATTCCCTATCTCTATCTCTATCTCTATCTCTATTTCTATATTTATTTCCATTTCTATTTCTATATTTATTTCTATTTTATTTTTATTTTTATCTTTATTTTCATTTTCATTTCTATCTCTATCCTCAATCTTAACCTCAACCCAAACACAAAGTTCCCCTCAAGCACCAAGCATCAATCATCAAGCATCACCCAACAAACAACAAATCACCAACCAACATCTCAAGACCCAAAAATATCTACTCTTCGAAAATCCACGGAAAGAAGACCGAATAGAATACAAATACAAATGCAAATAATCTAGTCAATTCTCTGTATCACCAACGCTTTGTACTCAAGTAAAGAAAGGAAAGATAACTGAGTTCGCTTACTTGCTTGTTTATCTATTTTAGGTTTTATTAGCTTCATCTCTTTCTCTCTCCCTCTCTCTATTATGGATACTCTCGAGTCTCTCTTTTCCTCTCTCCTCATTTCCACATCCCCCTCCATATCCCATACCATCTATCCCAACACCCCAACCAAGAAACCCCAACCAAGAAACCCAACCAAGAACCCCAACCAAGAAACCACAAATACAAATCTCATCGATAAACAACCACAAACACAAGCACCACAAAACACCCAAATATAAACCTCCCCAATATACCCAATACATCCAAGATCCAACATCCAAAATCCAACATCCAACATCCAAAAACCAAAAACCAACATCATCCCCCACTTCCTCCACAGCCTATCAAACTCAAAAAAACACAGCATCGCCACGGCAGCCGCAATGGATACTCAACTCAGAGCAAGGTAACATCACTCCTCCTCCACCTCTCCACCTCTCCCCCCTCCTCCTCCCCTTTCCCTCTCTACCCATCCCATCCCAAACCCAAAAAATCCCTTCAATTCTCTACCCGTCCCCCATTCCACCCATCTCCGCGCCTTGAAATCAAGACTCCCATTCATCCATCACAAAGAAACACCAAGCTTCCAGCTTTCAACATGGATCCATATTCTCACATATTCACATTCTATTTTCCAAATCAAATCAAATCAAATCAAATCAAGCAGCAAGCCCCTCCCTCCCTCCCATCCTTTCCAAAGTTTCACATCCTTTGCACGTTTCTCAATACCAAATACAATTTTCTCCCCAACCCCCCCGCCTCTAGTCGCCATTGTTTTGTCGTATACATTAGGTATCTACTTCACACACATCTCATCTCATATCATCTATCCGTACCTTTCATCACAGCTCCAATTAACCCAAATACATATATAAAAAGAACTTCCCAAAAAGTTATGATATCATTTATATAAGGCGTAAGAAGAACACGCCATTCCGTTATCCAACCCACCGGCCCCACCAATCTCATCTATCCACTCCAACAACACTATCATTACCCAACAAGCCAAATTTAAGTTTCCATAAGTCCAAGTCCATCAATCAATCGCAACATACCATCCGATTTTTTTGACATACATATGATTTTCCCCGTCTATTTATATCCTACCCTACCCTATCCAACCCAGTCCATTCCGTTCTCGCCTACCATATAAAAAATATTTTTTCCAATCACCATTTGTATAATCAGCCAAACAATCCGTAAGCTCACCCCCTAATCCCAGATGCCTAGTACCCACTATACATTCGTAAATAATATAATAAAAATATATATAAGTAGGTATATTTTCTCCTTCCGCTGCCAAACAAGCAAGCAAGCAAATGTATTAAGCTTGCACCATACGTAGTAAAACATGGCAAAACCTTAAAAACATCAAGCCAAAAAAGCAAGTATAACCAGCGTATCTGCGTAAAAGACAATAGTATGATCAATAGGTATCCTTTCCATATTTTTTCCTTTCAAAAACAATAAACAATGCCAAATATGCAGCAAGAAGTATAAATAGAGCGGACTTTCTCTTCCGTTGTCCTTGAACCTTTCCCACAAGTCCCTGATCCAAAGATGATATTGAATACTCGTAAATGTTTAAAACAAAACGAGTCAAGAACATAGCACGTTCATTTCCATATTCATCCACAGTAAATCCACCGTCGCCAATCCTGGCTTGTATATGCATGCATCCATGCGGAAGTAAAGCAGACCAAACCCGCCTTCTAACACCCCAATAAAAACTATTCGAAGAGGTAGATAATACCATTAAAGAAATATTCACTTTTTTTTTTGAAACCGTCCAGTCCCAAATTGCCGTTCCGGACCCAATACCGCCACGCCCTTTTATAATGCTTTTTGTATATGACGTGAAGTGGAAGAGAATGTTCGGCGAAAAGAAAATTGACAAGTTTAAACACCACTGATAACGACTTCAGGGCAAGACTTTTCGTTGACAGCAACAGTTGTGTTGTCTGAAGATGTACTATCGGCTGGATCGTCAATAGTACTGACGTTGGCGCTAGGGATGCTGCTGCTTTGGGGACTGTTTTGTCCATTCGTAAGCAGAGGAGTTGGGGCACTCGAATTCGACTCCATTGATTGTGTGATAGTACCAGATTTTGGACCAGTTGACGATGTAGTATATGATTGCTGCGAGTCATCTTGACCGTAGATCAACTTTTCAATAGCAGCAATTTGTTTACCATAATTATATTTCTTGAGAGCCAAGAGTTGTGGCTTCAAGTCTTCGACAAATCCATTTCTTTCGGCACCTTTCAATTGCCCAAGAAGTTTTTCTGTTTAGATTAGCATAGTGAAGTCCAATTGAGAATGGCTTGACTTACGAATGACATAGTTGCCGTATTGATCTTTCATCATCAATTGCAAAGGACTTGTACCATCACTATGAAGAGCTGTTAAGAGAGAGACAATAGTGTGTCTCTGCTCATCCGTGCCAAATTGTATACTCTTCTCCACAACGTTCGAGGCGAACTTGTGCTTGGATAGTGTCAAAAGCTGTGCCGTGACAATCTTGACAATCTTAGCACGATCTTCAGGCTTTCCATGCTGTATGACATGTTGAGTAACATAATTGCCGTATTGATCGGTAATCAAGTTCGATGCACATTGATGTAATTCCTCGAGTACTCGTTCTTGATCGCGAGGTTGACAGTATTCCAAAATACGCTGAATCACTCGGCATCCATAAGGATGAGTTGCGAGAACGTGGACTTGGCCCCGGAATGCTTCAATGACAAATTGAATATGTTCCGTTGGAACACGCTCAATAGCCTTTTGGACAACGTGATTGCCGTTCTGATCCTTGACACACTTGAGGACATCTGCCTCAAGCTCCTTGACTAGTTCAGCTTGTTGATCGGCAAGTACATGTTCGAGGGCCTTTCAAATTGTTAGTACAGGTGGTGTGTAAAGTTCAAAGCCAAAACTAACCTTTTGCACAACTCTGCAGCCATACATCTGCATTGAGAGTTCCATTACATGGTTCTTCATTTGTTCAGCCAGCACCCGTTTTTGTACTTGATTGCCGTGCTCAAACAGCTTCTGGATGACATAATTTCCAAAAACATCAGTCATTAACTGTAACGCGTTGGGTTGAATCTCTCGGAAAAGTTGCTCTTTCTCGTCACTGTTAGCTGTCTCCAACTTTTGCTGAATGAATCGTGACCCATGCTGATCTCCACTGAATTCTACGACATGTTGATAGATGTCCTAGTTTCGGTTAGTGATTGTAGAAATTGCGATGCGGGAAAATACATACCTTCAACTCGTATCTTTTGCTGGATTTGGCATTTGAGCGAAATTCTTCCAAGAGTACGCTTCTAACTCCAAGCCCAACATCTTGATCCTTGGCTGGGCGAGTGGGTATGTTTTGTGCCGGGTAAGGGGGTAATGGCATAGGATAACCATATGGTGCTACGCTCGTTTGTCTGAAATTTGGGGGCGGGTAATCGTACAAATGTGGCGGATACTGGCTTTGGAAATTACCACTGCTGTAAAGGTATGCTTGATGTTGAGAGTACTGGACGTGTTGAAGTCTACGGTCTAGTTCACTTGGGCCTTGAGGTATTCTCGGACCTGCCCTTGAGCTTGGTCGGTAAATTTGTTCAGGTCCTGTCGGAGGAGTGCCGGAATAGTATTTAGGACTATTGAGGCCACGACGGTAGTCGCTTGACGCAGGAGAGACAGAACCCCGATCAAATCTGGGCCCTTTGGTGAGATAGCCTTGGTCTGCAAAAGGTGCTTGGTTTGAGAAATGATCATAATTGTTGACCTTGGGACCGCTTGACCCATCATTCCACATGGCTGAACTACCATTAACCTGGAAAGCTTGAGGATTAAAGTTCTGATTCGTTGGAGAATATGAAGAACTCATAACGTTGCCGATCTGAGATGCGCTGGCTTGATCAATATCGTTGGTCAAGCCAAGTCCTGCAAGCTTCTCTCGTAGTTCGGCTTCCGTCTGCGTGATATGGTCACCATATCTCGATGAATTGGGTTGTGCAAACGAGCCCGAAATTGTCGAGAAAGAAGGACGATGGGAGTGGATCGAGTTGCTAGGAGTATGGCCACCAATGGAGCCAAAGCTTGCATTTCCGTTGCCAAACGATAGATTGTTGAGGCCAGCCTCCGAGGTTCTGGAGGGTGGCATACTTCCATCCCTTGAAGCCGAGCCTATACCAAGGAAGCCTCCGTTTTGAGAGGTTAGTTGATCCATTCTGAAGGCCCTGGATGAAACATCAATGTCATATGCACCATCTTGATTAGACGAGAATTGGGAGGAATTTTCCTTGTCGTCGTTGAATCCAAAGGAAGGCTTGCGCGAAAATTTGAAACTTCCAGAGGAGGGATCCAAACTACTCTTCGGCTGTGGTCGACCGAAACTAGCTCCTTGTCCAATCGCAGGTCTTGATTGTTGGTATGGTTGCAACTCGTGCAGACTTTGTGGTGTTTGTGACGGAATATTGTTGCGGACGTGAGAAGGAGAAGTACTTCCGCTATGCGAGGACTGCAATGTTGGAGATGTTGTATCTGGAGGATTCCAAGGCCCATTTGCACGAGCACCCCAAGGGTCGGCTTCTGAAGATGCTGCTAAGGCACCCGAACCACTGGGGGCATCGGAGAAGTTTTCATTATCTGCTGCTAGACCGTCATCAGTGAATGTAGAAGTTTGGATTTCGCTTGTATAAATACCTCGAGAGCGCGAGGCATCTCGCTTCGTATTGGCAAAACCACTCCCGATTGTGTTACTACCCCAGATTCCACTCGAAGGCTGCCATGTACCACCATTTCCAAAAGTTTGGCCAAGCGTTGAACTTTGCGACGTTCTGTCATCGCTATTGTGCCTGCCTGGGGCAGTGGGGAAATCTCCAAATCGAGTAGGCCGTTGCTAAGTTCAAATATTAATTGTGAATATAGTTTTGAGAAGATTGGGGTACTCACTGCATTCATGGCACCTGCAGGTCTGTTGGCGGCAGCCGAGGACATTATTGAAGATGTATTGAAAATTCGGTATGTACGTGGGAGTTTCTGGACGAGGGAAAAAACAGGACGAAAATATGTTGAAAGGAGTCGATATGTTTGATGGCAGATTACTTGAACCAAAGGATAGTCTTTCTATGAGGTATTTGACAGGTTGTAGATCTATATGACTGTGGAAATTTGGAAATGTCAGCATATGCCGTGCGGTAAGGCTGATGTCCGGTTTTAAGCTGAGTTGCAAGGACAAATCTTACCAGTGCAAGAAGTCGGAATATGTAATCGACAGTAGGTGAAGGCTCATTTACAAAAGAAGGATGTGCGGAAAGTTGGAGTTCATGAGGAATCGAGCATCGAGGGAGGGGAGAGAGGGATATATTGAAGTATGAAGGGTAGGGCAAAGGTCGCGCGACACAATCCCTTCGTTTGTCATATGCAACGTCAAGAAGCGCGCTTTTCTGTGTCGAGGTAGGCACCCGCGCAGCAGTAGCCAGAATGAAATATAAGATTAATATTTTGCAGTAAAATTGCCTTTTCCTTGTGTGATTTGTCTTGCTTTGATCGAGTCTATGTCCCGTTTTGGGTTGGGAATTCGTTGGTTTTGACGCGGGAGGGACGCCTGGGGAAGCAAGGGGAAAATCGTCAGGAACGTAAAGTTTTCGGTGGATTTTTTGGTGGAGAATCGAATCGAGGGTCCGGATTGCAGTTTGTGTCAGGAAACGAGCGGTTAGTCCCTGTTCCACGACGTCGATGATCAAGGGAAAGGAAGATAAATAGGTTGCACTGTCGAAGTGGAATTCTTGATCGTTCTTCGTTGTGTGGCAGTAAGTAGTAGTATGGCAGTAAGTAGTATGTACCTAGTCTGGCAGCACACTTTATGTTTCCAGGTAATCTTTGGGGGCGTAGGTTCGACCAGGGGTTGTGGGGAAAGGTTTTGTAATGTTGGTAGGGCAGAGAGAGGGTAATCAATGAGATCAAATGAGGTAAGGTTTTCCCGATTCCTGTCTGGGATGAACAAATAAAGTTGAATGTTTTATTTACGATAGCGTGGGGGAAGGGGGAAGTGTATCAAAAGAATAAGGAATTTTCGCAGAGAATTCTTGACCAAAGTAGAGATGGAAGGGAGTGTGAGGGAGAGGGAGAGGGAGAGGGAGAGGGAGAGGGAGAGGGAGATGTTTGAGGAAGAGGGAGATGTTTGAGGAAGAAGGCGAGGGTTGAGGAAGAAGGCGAGGAAGAAGACGAGGCACTCTAAAGAGTGAGAGTGAGTGAGAAAGAAAGAAAAACGAGAGGTGTAAAGCTGTACGATCGTTTAAGATGGATTATTCCATGAGATCGATGGGTACACTTTCCTTTCCATTGACTAGGGACATCTAACCTTGAGCCATTTTTAATTTTTATTTCTTTTGCAGGGAAAGATCCAATTGGATGAGATGGATCTGGAGATGGGGTTGAAGGGAGGGGAGTCTTCTAGAGCTGGGACTGGAACTAGCACCCAGGTAGTATTTCTGTAACCACCAGGAGACCGTGAATCTGATTGAAAGGATCGTGTAGGACAGGGTAATGTGGCTTTTTCGATCACATTTTGCTTTATTCTGTTGCTATTGCTGTTGCTGTTGCTGTTGCTGTTACTATTACTATTACTATTATATTACTATCACTATTGCTATTGTCATTGTCATTGTCATCATGTTAATGGTTGCTTGGTTGCTTGGTTGCTTGCTTGGAACCTCATGCCTCACATGTACCTAGTCTCATACTCTCGTAACCTTACCACCCTCAACTATACTATCACTTCCTCCATCTTATCACATATTAATCCAATATTCTCTTCAGAGTACGGAGCTGGCCCACAGAATGACTTCGTCCCTCCAGTTGGCGTTTGACATATGCCAATGAGGTGAAACTTATATGGGAAACCATTCCCTACTAAAGCGACTAGAACCGACGAAGATCAATCAAGTCCATGGAAGTGGAAAAGCATCTTCGGTGATGTGACTAAAAGTCCATGTACCTGCATTTCAGCAATACTCATTCATCTTACAATCGATCCCAGAGAACAACCCGTCTTTACTCGGTGAAAGGCATTCGATTGTGGAAAACAGCTCCGTCCATTATCATTGCACCACGATCGCTATCTCCTACTTGGCCACCATCTCTGAATCTCCCAGATTCATCATATATCAACACAAATGGTAGTAAATGCATGGTCTCTGACTCTCACCGGGTTTCCCCTCGCTTCGAAATAAATATAAATAGAGATGTAATATATTATCTATTATCTACAGAACAAAGACCCCCCCCCAGAAGCACAGACAAATCGATCTATGGACCTTGAAAAGTCCTGATTTGAGATTTGATAGGCACGGAGTATTCTTTTAGCCTTTACAATGCTTCCACAAATTCTCAAGGTTCCAGAGCTTCCGGTTCGTTCAAGCTTTTCCTAGAACCTACACCACTCCGTCCGTCGTACGTACCAATGGGAGCCTGTGTGATGAGCGGGCCACAATCATATGTAATTATCACAAATTGAGAATGTATTTCTACCTAGTGTCATATTTCATTACTTTTGAAGATGCTTCCAAGTTCCATTGTTTGGGAAATCGGAAAGAAGCAAAGTTATTCGATTTCCAATGCACTTTGGTAGATCTCGGATAAGGAATTAAAACCCCCTTCATTGCTGTATTCTTCATCATCCTCATCCCAACAGTTTAAAAATTGTTCTTGTTGGAATGTAATCAATCAACCATACCTATACAAAGTATATTCTTATCTCGTCTTCTCATTCCTGGACGAGAATCTCCTCCATGTTTGTCAATTCCCGGGCTGATTTATTGGGGCCCCAAGGAATGCAAGTGGGAAATGTCAGCTAAATTACCTAGTATGTACGCCGACCGCCTCAATCTGGCCAAATGCGGCAGGAATTCATTCCAATTTACGAAATTCAGCACGACGCCATTGCCCATGAGTTATTCAGACGGCCTCGCCATTCGTTCTCATCTTCCAGTCAGATGGAATCTACACTGCTTCAGCAAGCCTCATCAATTCGAATCTATGAGGAGTGTGAACAATTTCATTAACATGCTTTGCATCTGCATTCTTTACATTCTACATCACTCAATGATGATTCGTCGAGAAGACTACATTACGCTGATGTTTCATCCGGGGAACACATTGGACGCCATCCCTTCGCATGAATAATCGGGTGTCATCACTATGCTATACAAAGATCCATCTCTAGTTTCTTGTTCTCTCTGATCCACTCCGTCAGTGAGAAGTAATCATTCTCGTACTCACTTGTCACAATACCATGACCCAGAGATCTTACAAAGACTTACGATGATATCAAATATCTACTACGAGATCTATTTCTAGAAGATCAGCGGATTCATTTCATTGCCGCCATCCAACCCTAACACGCTAATGTTGCTCGAGGTCTATCAACGGGAAGTGGCATAAGTACATAACACAGACACCAGTATATTGATAAATGTATCGTGGCACTTGATTCCTTCGCATAACAATCAATGCCAACGATGAAGCTACTCGCTCGTAGCGTTCATGGGACAACGTAAAAATCCAGAATAGTATCTGTCAAGGCTTGAAGCCTTTCATGTCGTTGTGTCGGGCAAGCTTCCTCATATGGGGGTCATCAACCAACGAATAAGCTTCGCATCACTACACATAGACCCTTCTGCGAGTAGATTGCCTTCTTGCATATTCCAAAGCCTTTTCTTTCATCTTGAGGAAAATCATCAGCCACGTCGAAACAGCAAAGGCGCATTCATACCTCTGCAGATCTATGTATCCCCATCCAACAAATCTGTTCCATTCGACTGGTCATCCCGCTACCTTTTTACGATAGATACCGAAGCCGTAGGAGATCGGATCTATTTCATCTGCATCACCGTTTTCTGGCTTTGGGTCTGGTCTGTGTGAGGAAAACCAAGCAAGGAAAGAAACTTTGTGACATGGATACACTGGTGATCAGACCATGTATGGATATATAAGCACGCGCTAGAAGGTCTCTGGGGAGTCTTTGGATCTGAAAAAGTGACAAGTATGCGCCACTTAGGACATGCACAATAGAAAATTTGTCCCGAATTTTCCTGTTTTCCTACTTTCCTGTTGCTCACCGCTGTTTACTGAAAAGTGAGGCCAACGAATTGGGCTCCCATGGTACTTCCGTCTCTTGCTATCCAACGAGCGAAGGCCTAGTGTGGTTACACCACTTGCACGTCGGGATATCGAGAGCCTCGTGGGAACACGTGACGAGGTAATATCCAGGTTATCCATCAATGACTTGCATGATTGCATATTGAGTCACACCAAAGGAAAAACACACTTCAACCACCAAGTTTGATGAGACCTGAAAGATGCAATCATACTTGCGGAACCCTAGAATCTTCTGGGCATCACCAACCCAAATAGCTGTGTGACCTTTCATTGGCTCCAATTCTTGGTGCTATTTATGCGATTTTGCCGCTTCACTTATAGCCGTGACGCCATATAATAATCAGCAAGATCAAGAGAAAGTATGCTCGAGGGAAATACTGCCTGAACGGAAAGCACATTTGGAAGAAATTCCCCAACTGAGCATCTCAACGAGAAGCATCACTTGGGAGGATCTTGATTCAACCCCTCTCTTAGGATCGCGGCAAATAGAGACTTTGAAAACAATGATTGAAGGTTAAACATTTGTTAGGGATGAATTGGCTTTTGCTCTGAAAGACAAACCTCATGCTTTTCAAATGGCGTTTTCTGACGAAGTTCGAGGTTCAGTCAATGACTTCAGGAATGCACGGATTGTATGAATACGCAATACAGCACTAAAAGCTTTTCAAACCATAAAGTCTAAGGGTCTAGTATCACCATCTTTGTTGATTCAGTAGTGTGAGTATTAATGTTATGATTAGCGGTTTGGAAACCCCGATAAAATTACGAGGGGCAAGATGCTTTTGGATATGAAGCTTACAAATTTTATAGAAGCAATCAAGGAATGTTTCGGAATGGCATGAGAATTGAAGATGCAAATATCTGGAAAGGCGCATGGAGCAATTGCCTTTGAACTTTGGTAAGGTCATTACGGAAATAGATTGATATATGGCCAAAGGCGGCAAAATTGCGCAGAGAAAGATTCAGAGAGCGGCACTGGTCAGCCCAAAAACCCTGAGTTCTTTATATGCTAAGATCTTTGGAAAACTTACAGTTAAGTATCTCACGAATATCAGATGGGTAGCCAATACCAACTGGTAGCTAATATCATCCGGGCATCCAATATTAACTGAACAACCAGTATCAACTAGACAGAACAGGCAACGCTCAACCCCGTTTGACGAGCAGCTACTTCTGAGTGCATCAATGCGCATGATGCAGAAGACCCTGGAAGGATTTTTTCAAACAGATGTGATTAAATACAGCAAGAAGGGAATATATGACTTGGGATTGCCAAGATATCGGCTCCTCATTCACCCCTCACCCCTCACCCGCTCACCCGCCTCCCCATCTCCGACTGGAGTATCTCGAGCCCTTTTGAGATGGATTATCAAAAGCAATAACTTTGGATTGTTAATTTCACAAGTATGACGTCTAAAGGGATGGATGGAGAGCTTTTCAGCATACAAAGAATTTGGCAATAATGGAAGTATAATACATAACATAACCGAAAATTTTTGACATTACCCTTTTCGAAGTACCTGTTCCAAGAGCGATCCCCCGTTTTTTGATTTTGGAGGATTTCTGCGGTTCGGAATTCGGAAACGAGAGAGATGCTTTCGAGCGGCTCGATGCTAGTTAATGAAATCTTCGGTCGGTCCCCTTGAGCCCCCTTAGCTCTTGAACTTCTTCTCAATGTCCAAACGGGAAGGTTAAAGGAAATTTTCTACAACTACATGGGATATGATTTGTGAGTGATAAGTACTCGAAAGTCAAACATCTTGGAGAGCTTGGATAATCGAAGGTTTTTGCGTTTTGCTCCTTCAATATCAGTACGGAAACAAATGTGTTGAATGTGCATAGACTTTGAATTTTCCACGGGTTATATTTTTTTTTACTCGATATCGTAGATATTCCTTAACTACCGGTGCACGATCCAAAGATCTCTCCACGCATTTCAGCCTCGAAGTCTGACCGCCACGATGGAGAGACGAGGAAAAGAATTCATGTGATCGATGACTGCTGCACTCCCACGTCTATTTATCCGTGCCCTCCCCCGTCATTGGTTGATGGCATGGCTACGGCCCCAACCCCAGAAAAACAACGCAGGAGGGAGAGAAAGAAAAAGTCAAGTCGCGCCCGGAGGTTGTTGCAGCAGGTGGGTGGGTGGTCAGTGAAGTTTTATTTATTATATGTAACTCTTTCGTATGGTTATGGTTATGGTTACTGGTGTTCGTTCCGAATGCATTCTGTAGGTTCCAAGCTAGCACCAATTAGAGATGATGAAGATCCTCATCTGCGCATTTTGAAACATGCATTGTTTTTTTTGGATGAAGGTGTATTGTGGGATTTTGGATTTTGAATTTTTTTATATTTAAATATTTAGGAATTAGAATTTAGGAATTAGAATTTAGGAATTAGAACTTAGGAATTAGAACTTAGGAATTTAAGAATATATTAAGCATATTTCGTCCGAACCGAATAAAATCTTAATAATAAGTGAGGGTTGATATACTATACCTACCTAGTACCTAGTAGTATTTTTGACGAGTCCAGAATTCTCAACATCCGTCCCGACTCCCGAGTTCTAGAGTTCTAGAATCTATGGAGAGAGAGAGAGAGTTGATGGATGAACTCTCTCTCCACTTTTGATGGGAATGAACGAACGGGAAGGAAGGAAGGAAAATATTAGTGATTGATTTGATTTGATTTTGGGAAGCTGTATGTTTTTGTTGTTAAGTATATATGTATGTTATGAGTAATGATGTTATTCTAGGGATGTCATTTGCTGCGATAAAAATAAAATAAAATCGTGATGATGAAAATACCGACTAGATATGTACATAGGTATGTATGTATGTATGAACTTCAATGTTAGTTAGGTAGTTATTAGTAGTGATTGGATTTTTAAAGATATATATACCTAGTACCGTATATATACGGGATTGGAAAATGAGCGAGTGAGTGATGCAACTCGAGTTGTAAGTGAGTGAGTGAGTGAGTGAGTTTGTATCTAGTATTGTGGGATTATTTTATTTTATTTATTTTGTCATCAAGTAAGTACCTATCTGTCGAAAATAACATGGAAAGAAACGAAATCACAGGAGTTGGGTTGGTTGCATACATCCGCAATCCATGGATGTTCGTTCTGTTCTGTGAGCCTGTTCCCTCCATAGAGCAGAGCAGGGTGCGGGAATTGGATTTACGCATATTGGTTTTCTGCATGATTACCTACCTATTTTGATACATACATATATACACACATACATATATACACGGAAAGAAACCAACAAGAATCACAATAACAATCACAACTACAATTATCCCAAGAAAGCGATACTCGTTCGTTCTTCTCCTATCATTTCTCTTCAACACATCACATCTCTTCATACGGTGGAAATAATAAACGCTTCGAAGCCGCTTGGTTACCGGATTGGATTGGGTCGGGATGAAATGAAAGAAGGGGGTTCGGGAAGACTAGGTAGGTAGGGACTTGTAGATACTTGCGGTAGGGGATGGATGATTTGCTTACTTTTCTTTGGGCGGTTGGATGTGCAGATTGAGATTCGATAGATGCATAAGGGAGAAAGGGAGCATTATTGAAAGACGGAAATATAAATATCTTTGTAGATAGGTATTTAGACAGACCGCGCGATCGGTATAAAAAGATCAAGTGCATAAAAATGATTTGGGTCTTTGTCTTTGTGATCTTCGCTCTGGATACGCTTTTGGAGATACAAATTGTAAATAGCGTTCACTAGTTGCGTCTATGAATAGAATCATTATTGCGATGGACAAGATTTCCTCCTGGAGACCTTCGTATCACTAGGGATGGATGGTATTTAGTCTTTCTGACTTCCTACACCGACATAAACTTCGGAAGTTTGATTTTTCTCTTCTTCGCCTTCTCCTTCTTTCGTTTCTGGGAGCGTTGGAGATTAGATGGATGGATGAATGGATGGATCAAGAAACCTGGCAGTGAAGAAGGCAGTGAAAAAGGGAATCTCCAAATCTCCCACGTCCGTCCCAGCTTCCCCGACACGAACAAAGTGGGCAAGATCTCATTTTAAAATTTGGCCTTGTTGTCAGGTCCCATGCACGTTGATGGATGTTGTTTCGGTGGAGTATTTCTGTAGGTACTAGGTCGAGGTACTGGAGGTACGAGAATGGTAAATTGAGGCACACATGCAACCTTAACGAGAACGACGGACGAATTTCATTGGCTGCATTGCAGATTAGATGTGACTTTTTTTCCATTTTTCGTCCCTTTTTGTCCCTTTTTCCCTTGATGATGCTCATGACTCCACCAGCGCTCCCGGCACCAATCACGCACGATTCAAGACCGTTTTTGTTTAAATGAATTTGTTCAAATGCGTTCTAGACTAGGAACAGCGGGATCCACTGTTATGGGTGGATGGTGGATGGTGGATGAGTGGATGAGTGGATGGGTGTGGATCTCTTCAAAGCAGGTACGAACTGCAGTCTGCAGTCTGCAATCCAAGTCCAGTCAAGTGTACTCCTCCGTATGTACAAATTGCACGCTGCGATTTTCCCGTTTTTATCCAGAGTAACTTTAAGCACGCACGCACGCACGCACGCAAGCATGCAAGCAAGCAAGCATTGATTCACGCATTCAAGCAGTCAACCAAGCAAGTTTCTAGGCTGGTAGGTAGGTATAGGTATAGATCCAACTCCCTAGGTAATTTGTGATTATTCTTTTATGAATGGAATAGGGTGGAATTGACTTGACTTGACTCAACTTGAATTGACTTTGGATGACATGGGATGAGATAGATTGTTACTAAGAAAAGAAGGTTCCAAAGAGTGAGTTGCTCCGTAGTATTGGTAATGATTGGTCCTCAGCTTGTCATTCATGTTCATGTTCATGTTCATGTCCATGTCGGGGTTTGGTTGTTACTGGGTAGACAGATGATAGATAATAGATAGTTACCGAGTACTAAGGAAAGAAAGAAAAAACGAGGCTTACACACTTTACATTTACACTTATATTTATCTATCGACTTTTACACTTATTACCTAGGTATTATTCACTTGTTATATTTACGCTTATTACACTTATCACACTTATTATATTTACGCTTGCACAATTTCTCTTTTTCATCTTTCCCCTTCCTCCTTTCCTCTTCTTTTTTAATTCCTTTACCTTACCTTACCTTCCTTACCTTACCTTACCTTACCTTACCTCACCTTCTTTATCCTCCACCTCAACCTTCCTTCCATCTCTCTTCGTAATACAACTTGAAGAAAGTATCGACAATTCTTCCCCAAAGGCTTTAACAACCAAGAGACAAGACAACAACAAATAAACACTCCTTCCTTCGGGATATCCACATTCTTTTAAACAACAACTACCTCCATACACTCACACTCCTTCATAGGTTTTAATCAACTTCACTCTTTTTAGTTGATTTTAACCGTCCATTCTTTCGAAAGGTCCAGCCCAATTTCAGTTCTGGAAGAGATCAATAAATTAAAATCTTAGGAGATTCAGCGAATATTACTCCAATCATTCATTACCTTGGTAGCAGTTGATTGTTGCTCTTGTCTTGTTTGGAACTTCTTACTCTTTGTGTAAGTTGTTCATCTTCTTTTCTGGTGGTGGTTATAAATGTTGTGGTTATGAGGTGGTGTGGTGAATGGAGGAGGATCAGGTGTGCGATATACATACTATCCTGTCGCCAATGCGAGCATCTACACACATAGAGATATGACTTTGGAGATTCAATAAAGATGAATAGCTTCAATCTATCTTGACCCATTCAATCTAATAACAAGGACTAACATCATCATGCGATATAGCCATAGCCATAATCAACGTCAATACCTTCTCCGATTTTTTGCTATTGTGTGCATGACATCGATACCCAATTACGACCCATTCAACGACAATTCGACGCAATAATATTTACCATACCATTCATTCATTTACATAATCATGGATTCGATATCAATGCTCAAAACTAGATCTATTCTCAACGTCCGTGACGACTCTTCAACTACCACCATGTCAAACTCAATGGTTGATCTTCTTATTGCCTTGATGATCTTGGTATTCATCGGGCTTTGTTTAACGGGGGCCTTGTACATTGTGCGCAAGCTTCGACGTAACAGAGCCGTTGCTCGTCAGCAATTGCCTTTACATAACGAGCAACCAAGATCAAACCACCGCCGATTGACTATTACGGCTACTCCCTATGGTGGCCGCGGCTCCACCATTCATGTCTATGACGAAAAATCGTCCATGATGGACTCCGACCGTGCACCACTCTCACCCGAAGACGTTCCTGAAATTCGCATCACCTTCCCCGATGAGCATGATGAATCTACTGGACACAAGAAGAGCGGTCGTGTAGTGGTTGTTCGTATCGGAGAAACCGGTGTTGGCCTTGAGCCTTTGAAGGATCAGGATCAACTACCCGCTTACGAAAAGGAAACTGGAGGAACCAGATTTCAATCCATCGATATGGATCGCATCGGTGGCTTGAAGGAGAAGGAGAGCTGGTCATAAATCTTCTCTTATGACTTTGCTGTCTTTTTCCTTTCTGTCTGGACCTAACTCCCAAAATCACATGAACATACGGAGGATTCTCATACATTCATCTTGCATATAAAATTCCTTTCCACCTTCAACGTTTCATCATCACGCAATGATGTAAATGATATCGTCTCCTCGAACTCTATTCAGTTACATAATAACATCAAAATTTTCTCTCTCGAACCGGCTCATCGACAATTGTTTCCCCCCATTACCCCAATCAACTTTATGAACGGCAAAGCAAGGTGTTATCAAGGCAGGATTTAGGGCAACTGGCGTCGTTCGTACATGTACCTCGATACCCTTCTCGTTAGAATTCGTGGTGGACCAATTTCTTTTTGTAGGTTGGAACTGGAAAGAAAAAAAGGAAATATTCACACAACCTACCTACCCTACCTATTTTTCGAGGCAAGGGAGTGGAACATAAAGAAACCTCTTTCTCGAACAAACTAAAAGATCAAGATCAAGATAATTGTACTTAATGTATTCTACGTAATTTTCTTCAAATTATGAGAGCGCCTGTTCATTTAAATGGCTTTTGTTCTTTGTTTTTTCCTTTCTGATTTTCCTTTTTCATCTTTTTTTTTCTTTTCTTTCCAACCTTTTTCATTTTCATTTTTGTCTGCCTCTCTACTTCTTGGGAAGTGAAGAAAAGGCAGGTTTACAAAGTTACGGATATATGTGGAAATAAGACCACACACACACAGAGCGAGAGAGAAATTACCTTACCTTAAGGACTTAACTTTTTAAAGTTTATGATGAGATTAATGAATGATCTTAATGTTTTTCTTATTGAAACTTTTGAGGTCTGTTTTTTTGTGAATTTTGAGAGTGTGAGACTTGGGATTGGGTTGTGGTTGTGGTTTGTGGTTGTGGTTTGTGTTGGTTGTGTTGATTGTGATGTGAATTTGGATGTGAAATTTGTGTTTTGGATGTGTAATTTGAATCTAGACATGTACATTTGAGTTTTGGATGTGAAATTAGATATGAATTTGGATGTGTATATGTACCTATGTACATGTAAATCTAGACATGCATGTATGTGCATTTGACAGATGTCAATCAGTCAATCAATCAATCAATCCGTCAATCAAACAGATAGATAGACAGATAGATAGATAGACGGTAAATTTTCGTAAATTTAAATTAGATTAAAACGGAACTTGGAACGGGTAGGGTAGATCAGATGAAACGAAACGATACGAAACGAAACGAGGTGGAGTGGGTATGTGATTTTGATTTGGATGGTTCGTCTGATGTTTTGAGTTTGGGAGGGATGGGATGGGATGGTTTGGGAGGGATGTTTTGGGTTTCGGGAGTTATATGGGGATCTTGGGGGGGAGAGAAGGCGAGGGGAGGGGAGGGAAGGGGTTCATATGTTTGGTTTGGTTTGATTTGGGTTTGGATTTGGGTTTGGGTTTGTTGCTATGAATAGATGGATCACTGGGCTTCTGGGTTGGTGAGTAGGGAGGTAGGGAGGTAGGTGTGTTTGTGGGGTTTTTTGATACGAGATGAGATGAGTTGAGAGGAGATGAGATGAGGGTTTTGGAATGTCTTGGAGTGGTGGAGTGGTGGAGGGTGGAGAGTGGGGTTTTGAGGGCTGGGAGGAGGTGGAGGGGGCGGGTGGTTGCTTTGAGTGTCTTTGAGGATTGGGAGGGTTGAAGGAAAGGGATTTGGATATTTGGAAGGTTGGGAGGGGTTGAGGAAAAGGGAAGATGAATTTGAAGAAATGGATTTGGTGGGTTTAAAGAGAGGGTTTTGGAGGGTTGGAAGGGGTTGGTTTGGGATTGGTGGGGAGGTGTGGAGGGGGATGAGGAAGGATAGGAGAAGCTCAATTGAGGTTGGGGGGGAGAGAGGTGTGTCTGGTGGTAGGTATGTTAAGAATGCAACAGATCGTTGGTGCGGTAAACTACTCTCTACTTGGTCGGGCGGGCGGGTGACTGGATGATTTGCATGGAACGCGATAGATACCTAGGTAGAGGGAATATTTGAAAAGGGGATTTCACACCTCGGGGGTTATCCCAGAATGTGGAAGTGAGGCTTCATAGCTCGAATCAGAAAGATGTATGTTGGTTATGTCGTGGTATGGGGTGGGTGGAATGGCGAGATCCTTAATCTTTGGAACCATAAGACGGGCTTTCTACTACGAGGTTATATAAATAAATTGGTAGAAATGAAAGTTGTGTGCTGGGATGGAGGATGGATGTTGTGTTGGAAGATTGGAAAAGGGGTGTGCAATAATTCAAGGCGTGCACATAAATCATATTGATAAGTGGCGTATGCTTGAAAAGGACACTGATGGGACTAGAATAAAGGGCTTTTACACCCCTTCCAAATGTTCTAGTATCGAGGGCTACCTACAAAAATGGACATTCGCGCCCCTGAAAGTCATATTCCGCCGTGTGAATGCTTCACATGATTGATTCGGTAAACATGTCCTTGCTTATTTCATCTGAAGGCGCAAGCTCCTCCATTCCAAAATGTCCCGTGGATACAAAATACCAAAATTCCCCATACAATTCAACGGCTACTTCGAGATATCCCTTGTAATCCTCGTCCTTACATTGCCCATTCTCAATCTCGTCCTCAATTTCGTCCTCAATCTCGTCCTCGTCGGGTTCGTACGGAGGCCAGGAATGAGTGTCTACAACATAGACAAATGGAATTTCGCCTTTTGCTGGACCTTCCAGAACAGACGCAATGACTTCTTCATTAACTAGGAGAAAGAATGCATGGGTTGGATTCAAATCAGGGTCCATATTGTGAGACGGATTGTTATCTCCAATACCAGGAACATCTGCAAACTTGCTTTATAGTAGTCAGCACTTATATCATATGTGCCAATGCATCTGGACTGGCGAAACGGCAAGCACATACATGTTTAATGAGGTCATATCTGCACCTTCATCCGCGTCAAACCACCACAGCTTCCACAAGAACCTGGCACCATCTGGATCCACACCATGTTTTGCTTGTGCCTCCCACTTCTTCAGAATCAGCCTATCAAACTCCTGTCGAAATAGATTCCAGCGAGTAGAGTCGCACGCACTGTAACATGTACGATAGGATACCGAGCCAGTGCAGTTGACAGGACACAATGAACTAGATTGTCCTTCAACCACTTCTTTGATCAATTTCACCCAGTGTCCATCGTATTCTAAATTTGGGCCCGAATCATGCGCAGGGTTAGGATAGGTTATGTTGAACGTGGTGGGCTTCTGCGGGAGTAGTCGCGGTGAGGAGGTTGAATATAGGAGCCTGTTCAAAGCACGATGAGAATAATGGTGATCAAGATTGCAAGATGATTGAGGCAATATTAGCGCTCGACGGGAAAGCACTGCTTGGAGAGCGCGACGCATTGTTGAGGTGAAGCAAGGCTATGCAGTCATGGTCAATGCCTGCATCAATAATAAAAAGGCAAAGGTAGGAGAAGTTTCGCCCTAGAAATTCACTTGAACAGGGTACAATAAGTTAATTAGAAAGTGAATATACTTTTCTGGCGAATTGTCATGGTAACAATAGCCGGCGATTCTCAACTTGATTGGTGCACTTTAGCTCTCGTCTCATGTTTGGTTTGAGCCATCTTTTCCTATCGTTCTTTCGAAAGATTTCCTGCATCCATGATCACTTGATTCCTATGGAGTTTTTCTTCCAGTAACTTTATGATCGCGTATCACATCCAAAGATAGTCTTACTATCAAATGTACGTTGGGTACTCCATGGACGTTCCAAAGAATCGTGCAAGTACCTACTAGGTACGGTGGCCACAATCGAGAGATTGACGAGCCAATCGTCGTGATTGTGCCAAGTTGCTTCGTCTTGGCTACCGTACTGCACTGCCTCGACTGCCTCTCCCACGTTTGTCGACGGGACAAACCCAGACCGCCGAATTGTAATTCTCTTATTGTATTACTATCTGAAGCTTCTATGTGGTTCAACGTCACTCAGCCTTCAAACCCCAATGTCAACAATGCCGGCAAGGGGAGAGTCCGAATCACCTCGTGTGTCCACACCTTGGCTAAATAAGGTATATATGGAGTTATCCCCGGTTACGTTGACAGCCACGCTTGGCAATCGATTATCCGAAAATTGAGTTCATCATGAAGTTGACATATCACATCAGAACATTGTTCCGCCGTGCAATGCAGGAACCCATTTCGCTACCGACACGATAAGATCACCAACATCACTCTTCACATACCCATTCATTTGGTAAACTGGGGTACGCTTTCCATCTTTCAATCGATTTGCCCCAGTTAAAAGCGGTCTAATTGAAGCTTAAAATTGCTTAAATTTGCTTAAATTTGCTACCCTTGCTTACTACAAGCCAAATTAAACGAATACGGCACCTCATGCATATGAGAACATCGCTAAGCTGGCGATTAGTGCTTCGTGAAGCTATTGAGTTTAAGCTTGTACTGTAGGTTCTAGATTACAAGTCAAGTAATGATCCCGGAGAACGTCTTCCCGTTTTTCTCTGGTCCACACCTTGGCCTGCTTGATCTTCAAGTTTCTACAAAAGCCTCTGGTGTCACTGTAACATCACTCGGATGTCACAGAGGACCATCTCTACCTGCAAATTCTCGACCCATGATTCTGCGTTCGTCGACGCCTTCATTATTCGTTCCCAATACAAATAATGTTTCCTCAAAGACATGTTTGGGAAAGACCACGCGGTTATGTTATCTCTTGGTTAGCTTCTCATGCTCTCGCCAAGAGAGGCTGTGTGGTTGTCTTGATATGTCACTTATCTTTAAGTTTTGCCATATTACCCCTCACCAAAGTAGTCTTTATTAACCCGACTAGAGGAGCTAGTGCTAACGAACATATAAACCGTTATAATTCCTTCATTCTTTCATAAGTTTTGTCCTGTTCAGTAAATCAACTGCACATAAATTCAATGATGTTTCTTTCACGCTTTTTGGCTGGTGCTATTCTGGCGTGTGAGTGATATTTCCCCTGCTTCTACAGTCACCACTAATCGATTAGCATCGATAATATCCGCTCAGAATGTCTCCTACTGTACGGGTGACGTATGTTTTGCCGTCAACATACCAGCCTCGACTGCTTCGAGTGGCTCAGGGGGTATATATATACAGATGAGTGGACCAGATACAATGTCTTGGATAGGCATTGGACAAGGATCCGCTATGAGAGGTGCCAACATTTTTGTAATGTACGCCGATTCGACTGGGAGCAATGTCACAATCAGTCCTAGGCTCGGTGTTGGGCATGTAGAGCCAAATTCCGACACTTCTGCCCAGGTCACTTTACTGGATGGTTCTGGTATAATAAATGGTCAAATGGTAGCCAATTTTAGATGTATGTTCGGAATCAAAACTATCTGGCACCTGTTCTAACCATTCAGGCAGGTTCAAATTGTGATAGCTGGAGCGGTGGGTCTATGAGCTTCACTGATTCTTCCTCGTCGTGGATCTGGGCCCATAAGACCGGCGCTGCATTATCGTCCAACAGCGTTGATGCAGATATCGAATTTCACGATGCATACGGAGTAGCCACTTTGAATTTACAGACAGCCACCGGCGGAGAAAGCACGAACCCATTCTTGACGGTTGGATCCGTTTCTACGCCCAGCCAAACATCCTCTGGCGCTAGTGATGCTGCGATTGGATCATCTGACATAACGAGAGTGACCATCGCACATGGCGTTTTGGCTTCCCTTGCCTACGTTATTCTCTTCCCTTCAGGTGCGATCGCAATTAGGATCTTTAATTTCCGTAATTTGCTATGGCTCCATGCCGGCTGGATGGTTGGCGCTTATATAATTGTACTTGCGTCACTTGGAATGGGGGTATGGATCGCACACATGTCTAATCTCCTCGGCAGCACCCACTCAATCATAGGCCTTGTTGTTGCCGGATGCTTACTACTTCAGCCTATCACTGGATTGACGCACCACATGTTATACAAGCGTCACGGTGGTTCCAATGTTGCAACTTATCCCCATGTTTGGTGGGGCCGTGCGGTTATTACTCTTGGTATTATCAACGGTGGCTTGGGTCTGAGGTTAGCTGACAATAGTAAAAAGGGTGAGATCGCATACGGCGTGATCGCGGGTTTTATGTGGGTTTTGTGGGTAGCAGTCATTCTTTTTGCAACAGTGAAGATCAGAGAACGTCGTGGCAGTGGTATGGGTGGATCTGGAACCTCAGTAATCAGGGAGAAGTCAAGCACGGAAGGATCCTACTTCCACAATAACTCGTCGCCTCCTCAATCTATGCAGGGAGTACATGATCCTGCTAGATCACCTACATCTCATCGTACTTAGACCTTATAACGATTTTTCATACGTCAAACTGGGACGCTTATTTATGATAGAAGCCACGAAGCCTGTATAGTAGGGCTGGATGCTAGTAACAACACAGGATGGGTCTTGGAGGGGGGGGGAGTTTTTTTCATATTGTTTTTAGCGAATATTTTTCATCCTCATCTTGGACAATGGTTTTTTGACACGGTATAATTTAACTAAATTAAATTCATTTGTTCTACCACTTAAAATCTTGATTCTACTTAATTTATTCAAATCATAACGAGATTTCAAAGATTCTCACGTGGTAAATAAAGATTGAGGGTTGAGTTTCGCTACGGCCGATTACATAATGGCACTGTATCCTAGCATCTTAATCTTAAAGAGTAGTGATTCCCAATCGATATTGCTCCCTCGCAAATTATAAACAATTTTCTTCACATCACCAATTTCATTATGGGAGTAGGACGTGTGCTCGTCATCGCGGGTTCTGATAGTTCCGGTGGAGCGTTAGTATTCCGGCATCCTCCCTTTCCGCAATTTTACCCCGCCACAGACTAATGGTTATCATCTCAGCGGAATTGAAGCCGACCAAAAAGTGATTGCTGCTCATGGATGCTATGCTATGACTGCTACAACAGCCTTGACGGCTCAAAATACTCTGGGTGTTGAGGATATTCATTATGTTCCTGCCGAGTTTGTTGGGAAGTTGATTGATGTGTCGGTTGGGGATGTGGGGGTTGATGTAGTGAAAACTGGTAAATTACCCGATGCTTATATCTGAATTGACGATGAGATGATCATGAATCCGGATAGCCTAGATACTGACGATATGTTAAGGTATGCTAGCATCTGGAGAAACAGTAGAAGTGGTGGCAAAAGCATTAAAAAGACATCACGTGAAATCTTTGATCGTTGATCCTGTGCGTTCATTTTCCCAAAATCGATGTACAAGTTGTCTGACATCCAAGAGGTAATGGTCTCTACAAGCGGATCACAGCTTCTGCCTTCTACAGCAATCCGCCAGCTACGAGAACTTCTGTTTCCCTATACCACTGTTCTCACACCCAATGTGCCTGAAGCGCAACTACTCCTTTCCGATGCTGGCAAGTTTGTCGAAGAACCTAAGAACTTGGATGACTTGAAAGAGATAGCGAAATCAGTACAATCACTGGGCCCAAAATATGTACTAGTGAAAGGAGGTCATCTGCCTTTACAGAAAGATGGAATAGTAGCTACCAAGGAGGAAGAAAAAGAACTCATGGTTGATATTTTGTACGGAGAGGGAGTCATCACAGAAATCCGGACTAGATATCAGAAATCGCGGAACACCCATGGAACGGGATGTTCGATGGCTTGTGAGTTTATTATTCATGTATACCTGGTGCAACAGAAGCTAAATGGGAGTAGCCGCCATTGCTTCGAACATTGCGAATGGACTATCTGTGGTACAAGCTGTGAGAAGTGCTTGTCGATACATTGAAGCAGGAATACGAACAGCGCCAGATTTGGGGAAGGGTAATGGTCCGATCAATCATTTCCATTCGACTTACACCTTACCTTTCGCTCCGTAAGTCTATCTTCCCAAGTGATGCTAAGTTCCTGAATTGATCATTGCAGGGGTCACTTTGTGGAATACCTTCTGGACAGACCGGATGTTAAAGGAGCGTGGCGAGACCATACTGAGCATGCATTTGTTAAAGGACTTGGAGACGGGACCTTACCACTGGAGTCATTCAAGTACTACCTTATTCAAGACTATCTTTATCTTGTCTGTCAGAGCACTGAAACTTTTATCTATCCAGTCTAACAAGTTACAGGTGCAATTTGCTAGGGCTACTGCTTTAGCTTCGTACAAAGCCAAAACTATGGAAGGCATTGCTGCAGTATGAATAAGAACCCTTCCTGGATATGGTGTGTGCTAACTCTTGATAAAGTCTGCAGGTATCGTGCTTCATATCCATCGGGAGATGGCGCTGCATATCAGTTACTGTGAGGGTTTTGGTATGACAAAAGCAGAGATAGAAGCCTGCGAAGAGAGCCAAGGTAAGCTTCTTCGCGTTCACAAATCGAATTAATTTTGACAGTACCGAAATAGCATGCACAGCATACACAAGGTACATGAATATCTCTCCCTTGATAGCAATGATATACTAAAAAGTGATAGGTATGTTCTCGATATCGGACAATCTGAGGACTGGTTGGCTCTTCAAATATCCATGGCGCCTTGTCTTATCGGCTACGGGGAGATAGCAAAACGATTACATGCAGACCCGAAGACAAAACGGGAAGGAAATGTCTATTGGAAATGGATAGAAAATTATGTTGCAGATGATTATACGGAAGCAGTGAAAGTTGGATCAGGTATGTGACAGAATAACCCTACAACTCATGGGGATTGGACACTATTGACCATTTGGGCAGCTTTGCTTGAAAAACATGCTCTGCTGCAGTCACCCCACAGGATAGAGGAATTGGTCAAAATATTTGTTCATGCAACAAAGGTACGCATCTTTTAACCAGTTGGAATACCTTTTTCAGAGATCGAAAAGCTGCGTACTTCCATACGCTTCCCCTGACCTGGAACCTGTCTGCGTTGTAATATGGGGGTAGCAAACACACCTGGATAACGGGCGTAAGAGGAATATCTACCGTGCAGCACAGAGAAAGCCTCAGAAACAACACAGAGGCGAGAGAAATACACATAGAACATTTACTATTGCCTTGCAGATGGAGACCGGATTCTGGGACATGGGTGGCGGTGGAGGGAAAAATTGAAATGTAGAATCTTCAAGGTATAGTACCGGGTCCGCAGTAGGTAGCTCTAAGGTACGAGGGTACGTACAAAGTACGGAGTAGAAGATAGTAACGACGGCAAGGTAAAAAAGCTTTCAGACGTGGATGTACCCAGTTAAGAGGGATAGAGAAAGAAAAATTGCATTCAGAGATTTACAGTATTTTGGAACAATCTGATTGTTTTGATTGGCTGAAAGAAAAAGAAAAATTCAATTGGAGACAAGATCTTATTTCAGGGTCCAAGAACAAGAAAAATGGATAACGCTAAATCCTGATTGGGCTTAGTCACACGTCTCTCATGCTAATCCCAAAAGAATATAGCGTAGCTTCCTTTCTACTTTTTTTTTACTCAAAACCTCTTCTTTCCTCACCTTCCATTGCTTTTTGACTTCTTCTCATCAACAACAATAATTTCATCTGCCAGACTTCTTCTCATCAACTCAAGAAGTCATTTTTGCAGTAATCATCAAAGCAAATCTCAAATCCCCATCATAACATCACACTCTCTTTTCAAATTTCTCACTCTCAAAAACTATCGCAAATATGTCATATGGAGGAGGATATGGTGGCGGCGGCCGTGGTGGCGGTAACGGGTACGGAAATGGAGATTCCTCATATGGCAGAGGCAACTCTTACTCCAATGGATATTCGAATGGGTATGCAAAAACCTACGAGTTTAGATATTGTTGATAAGTTTTCGCGCATCGCGTTACATTGTGTTGAGTGTGTAGGAGATAAGGCTAAGGCTAGCGTTTCGCTTTGAAGCCGAAGCCTAATCTCTCATCGCCATCACAATGTAGCACCATTTTATTTCATTCATTCATTCCGACTTGCTGGTATTTACTGACGTGTAATTCATAGTGGATCTAATGGATACTCTGGAGGCGGTGGAGGTGGTTACGGAGGTGGCAGAGGTACGCAAACAAATTTTCACTCGATTAGAATCACCACTAACAATTTTCACAGGCGGCGGAGGTGGTGGTGGAAATGTCAACGGCTACTCTGGAGGTGGTGGTGGTGGATACGGAGGAGGTGGCGGATATGGCGGAGGTGGTGCTGGTGGAGACCGCATGAACAACCTTGGTGCTAACCTCCAAAAGCAAAACTGGGGTGAGTTCGAAAGGCTGTTGATGAATATTCCGCAAAAACAAAATGCTAACTTCCATACGCAGATCTCAACACCATGCCAAAGTTCGAGAAATCTTTCTACAAAGAGGATCCAGTCGTTGCTGCTCGTTCAGAAGAAGATGTTGCCAAATTCAGAGCTCAGCACAACATTGCCGTTCAAGGCCCAAACATTCCAAAACCCGTCGAGACATTCGATGAGGCTGGATTCCCTGCATACGTCATGACCGAAGTCAAGGCCCAAGGTTTCCCAGCGCCTACTCCAATTCAATCTCAAGGTTGGCCTATGGCTCTCTCCGGACGTGATGTTGTTGGTATTGCCGAGACTGGTTCCGGAAAGACCCTCACCTACTGTCTTCCAGCTATCGTACACATCAACGCACAACCACTTCTCGCTCCTGGTGACGGCCCAATTGTCTTGGTCCTTGCACCTACCCGTGAGTTGGCCGTTCAAATTCAACAAGAAATCACCAAGTTCGGAAAGTCATCACGTATTCGCAACACTTGTGTTTACGGAGGTGTTCCTAAGGGTGGTCAAATCCGCGATCTCGCCAAGGGTGTTGAGGTCTGTATTGCCACTCCAGGTCGTCTCATTGATATGATCGAGTCTGGCAAGACTAACCTCCGTCGTGTTACATACCTTGTTCTCGACGAGGCCGATCGTATGTTGGACATGGGTTTCGAGCCACAAATCCGTAAAATTCTTGGACAAATCAGACCAGACAGACAAACTTGCATGTGGTCTGCTACCTGGCCAAAGGAAGTTAGAGCCCTTGCCTCTGATTACTTGAATGAATTCATTCAAGTCAACATTGGTTCCTTGGAGCTCTCTGCTAATCACAGAATTACTCAAATCGTCGAAGTTGTTTCTGAATTTGAGAAGCGCGATAAGATGACCAAACATTTGGAAAAGATTATGGAAGATAAGGATAACAAGATTTTGATCTTCACAGGAACCAAGCGTGTTGCTGACGATATTACCCGCTTCCTTAGACAAGATGGATGGCCTGCGCTCTGTAAGTACTATTGTGAACTTCCACGTGAACATCACTAACAAAATTTAGCTATTCACGGTGACAAGCAACAAAATGAGCGTGATTGGGTATTGAATGAATTTAAGACTGGCAAGAGCCCGATCATGGTTGCTACTGATGTAGCTTCGCGTGGTATTGGTATGATTAAAACCCCCTCCCCCCTCACAGCAACGTTCAGTAGCCTTTTTAGTGGTGCTTTACTCTCGACGCTTCGGCGCTTCCTAGATTGCGTTACATTGCCCGGGCCCTATCGTATCTTTCGGTTCTCTAATTCTAGGGTGTCTTGGATCCTTAAGTGTAGCATGACCGTGCTGCGCTCGTAATTCCAAACTCGACAGTACTTTAACAGGTACCAGATATGGAATTGGCATTTCTTGACTTGATCAAGCTGTCTCCAAGACTCCCATTCCAGAGAGCCTGGATGTGTTGGATCACCTACCCTGGCATAAGCCGCATTGGACAGTTTCATGCCAGTCGCCGAGAGAGTATTGGATGCAGTCAAATGCAGCTTCTTCATGAGCCGCCCTGGACCGTTGCTATACCAAATTTTTCTGTTCTTGCTAACCCATCAATGAAGATGTCCGAAACATTACCCATGTGTTCAACTATGACTACCCTAACAATTCGGAGGATTATATCCATCGTATTGGTCGTACAGGTCGTGCTGGACAGAAGGGAACCGCAATCACTCTCTTCACCACTGACAGTATGTCTCCCGCCCGCTTTGAGGTTTACATTGGCTAACAATATTCCCTAGATCAAAAGCAGGCTCGTGATCTCGTGAACGTTCTCACTGAAGCTAAGCAGGTCATTGATCCTCGTCTTGCTGAGATGACCAGATATGGAGGTGGTGGCGGAGGTAGAGGTTATGGTGGACGTGGCTACGGCGGTGGCCGTGGACGTGGTGGCGGTGGTAAGTTATTCTAAATCCTCCTACCTTCTCACTCTTCCTTGTTCCATCAAACGATGGGACTAACAGAGCCGTTGGTAGGCAATTTTTCATCTTCTAACGCCGCTCCTTTAGGTGGAGGCAGACGTTGGTAAGATGTCTTATCCCGGTCGATCGAAACGGAGTTATAACAACCACGACTATCGATAACCATCTTTGATGACGACGAAAAGACGTATATTCATCCCATGGTCGTTTTGGCGTTTTGGTTCTCTTAAAAAGGGTAGGGAGGGGTAGAATTGTCTTACGTGATTTCTGCGCACCCTTTCAAAAATTCTTCTGTAATTTGACTTTACTTTCTCTTTTATTTTATGAAAAAATTGGGTGGCATTGCCATGAATTAGACTGAGGGTTGAGGCTCGATGGATGGTATTATAGATTGCTTCACATTTCCATGTCCATCTGACGAAGAGATGAAGGCTAGGACTTGTATGTGCTTTTAACTTGCGTTCCTTCTTTCATAACTAGATTGCTCTCTGTAGCTAGTTCTAACTGGAAAATATCTCGTATTAGATTAAAAATAGTATAAAAATATGAGATCGTTTTCTTCTCGAACATTGGCGTTCTACAATTCCTTGTTCAGTGTATGTTTTTTGTGCTGCTGTTTCTTGGGTATGGAAAGGTTCATCTGCAAACAAAGTGAAATTGGCGCAAGTTCTGCGAAAATTCCAGTTGGTGCCCATACATAAATCACAGTTTCATCAAGTAAGAGAGCAAGATGTGGTATTCTGAATAGTAAAATTGGAGCTAGCGATGAGAGAAGCAAGAAATATCTACTTTTTCCGCGCATGCTGTAGTTCCAAGGTTCTACCCACCTATGCGGTAAAATACCACAATTAACCAATGAACACAACCTCAGTGGGAGTGGTCGTGCTTGCACTTGTGCTTGTGAGTATGTTAGAAGCTGGAGTAGGCGCAGAAACACAAACAGAATCCCCAATTATTAGGAGCGTGCAGTTTTGAAGCACGGCTGGGTTCCAGGCAAGGAATTGCTCGAACAAAATCCCATATCGAAGCTCAATACTGGGGCACGTATCACCTGGCTGGACGGTATAGAACTCGCCGCAAGTAGAAACGATGCCCGATTGAGCAGGTGCTGGTGGTGCAGTCGCGGCGCTACTCGAAGTACCAACGCAAAAGGATCGAAAAGAGGTAGAATTCAACCCTGAATAGAATCCAGAACAATCGGGGTTTACCCATGGGTTCAAAGCGTAAAACTTTGGCAAATCGATGGCATGAAATCTGAGAGTAGCATCGCACGTGATGTCTGGAATTGTTTTAGCTCTTATCATATGCTGAAAGATGGGAAACATTTACCTTCTATATCGCCTCCGTACATAAATCCGTATGCATTGCAATTTGTGGCTGTACCAGGTGGGGCGTCAGTCGCAGTGGTAGCAATGAAAGGATTTTTGATGCTTGTCGAAGCTGAGACAGTGGCCGCTATACTTGTCAGGTTCAATCAACGTAGAAATAGAACTGACTTACATGGAGTAGGTTTATATCTTTGAATGCAGTAGCGATACCCGGGCGAAAGAGTACAATTTATAGGATCCTGTGCGGCCAACGATGGATTCCATGACAGGAAGTTTGCCAGTGTGATTTCTTCTATGCCGGCTACCCAGTCGCATTCATTGATGCTTTTCTCAATTTCAAGGAATGTAGCATTAGTGGTGTTCAAAGAATAGTATTCCCGATACTCGTAACAGGTGGGAATTGTGTCCGAAGCTACAGGGTCCAGCCATTTTATCGTTTTGTTTCCAACAACGGAGGCCCCCTCGCTCCAATACGGTGCACTTGGATAGAGAGTAATATCAATCGGCAGGAGGCAAGTCGAGGGCGGCGATGCTTGGAGGCAAGGATTTGCGGCAATTGTGGCTTTTTGAAACGAAGTGTACGTGGATATAGAGCCTACCGCTTCTACGCAGTAACTTTCGCCGGCTATAATGTTTGTGCAGTTGCTGTTGATATTAGGGCTTAATGGGTTAGTACCACAACAGTTCAACTGGTGAGTTAGGTAGAGGGGCTGACACACTTCAAAACTAAAAGTCTATGAGAGATATGCTTTGTTGAATAGACACCGAGGCACAACTATCTCCCGCTTGTATCACGTAGTATTTTGCGCAATAGATGTTTGTACCATTAGCGATTGTTGCTGGCACAGGCCTATATCGCAGTTAGCTAAGCACCTCGAGAATGTTGTTTGTAACCGTGTGCTTTGAGCCTCACTAATGATCAATAGCGAGAGACATTTCACTTACGCGGCAGTCATCATGGAATTTGGTGAAGTGTCACTGGTAGATGATTTCCATCCTCCTCTGGGGCTTATACATATTTCTGTGCCGTAAAGCTGGCCTAAGTTACCACATGCTATGTTGATATTTGGATTCCAGGAGCTGAGTTGTGTCAAAGTGATGTCTCCCGGGACGGTGGAAATGATGCTTCGACATGTGTCGTTCTACTGACTGTGTATACGTCACATTGTTTTGGTATACATACGGATTTTCCAGGAGCTGGAAAATTGGCGCAGTATGCCTGGAGATTATTCTCGTACAGCAATGAAAATGTAGATACGTTTTGAGCCCGTGCAATCGAGTTGCAATCTTCTCCAGCTTTGACTGTATATGGTGTGGCACAAGCAGTGGACGTGGCTGTGGCAGAAGAGATCGATGAACTGTTAAGTGCGATAGGAGTTGGCGATGTATAGGGATATCCTGTCTTACCACAGGATGATGTAGTGGAAGCGAATTCGAGAGCTGCATCAGAATGATAGCCATATGGTAACTAAGCTCAAGTTGCTGGATTCCTAGTGCGCAGTCGGAGCAGTTTTGCTCTGACGTTTCCACAGTTGAGTTGGCCCATGAGTCAAATACTGAGCTACAAAATTGGCCAGAAGAACTATGATTTGAGAATGCATCAGTCGCTGTACTTGAGAGTTGGAAAGGAGTTTGGAATTGAAGCTTACACATCCCTTCGACAAAATACATTATAATAGTAAATGTATTCATCGGCCCTACTCGATACTGGGTATGCAAGATCATCCAAAATTAGGATATCGGCGAGATTACAGATTTTTTTTGCAGTACTTTGATAAGCCTGTAAGGACTTCTCACATGAAGAAACACAAAGTGATGCCAAAGCATCCGAGTCCAGGTATACACCAGGATTCCACATCGCCGTGGGAAGGCTATCATCGCAAGTGATGGAGCTATTCAATGCGTTCAAACAAAGTGCAGATATGCCAGGGAAATTGACATCAACTAGTGAGTTCCCAAAGAATTGAGCATCAACAAGTCCAGTAAACATTAACAACAATGAAAATCTCAAAAGAGATGCCTGTCCGCCGCATCTTACGGTCAGTGCCATTATATGAGATAAGAACCAAGTTTTGAGATGTGTCTAAGAGAATAGTTCTGACGGACAATTTGATGCACGCAATTCTTTTTTGTTGTCTCTTGGACTGTGGTCAATACTCGTCCCTGCTGATATTATCTGCCCTCCACTAGCACCAATGGAGGTTCCCGAAATGATCAGGGCTGGAAAAAAAATCTATTTTAAATTTGCTCATGAACATTTTCTAAAAACAGCATGCAGAATGAATGAATAATTACACTAAAAGCTTCTCTCCGTTCGCGCGCCTAAGACTCTCTTTCTGATATTGGCCATCATAATAATAACTATTGCAACAAACTTTTGCACAGCACGTCCAATCTGCTGACCAAAATATCATAGCCTTCGTTTGACTTCTTTTCCTTTGACAGGTTTTTGATTTCATTGGCCAATTGCTAGCTAACATGGCTTTCCATGGCCCCTTCAAGTATTTTATTCTTTTGTTTTGCGGTTTGCTCGTGTCTACAGTCATTCTGCATACCTATTTCTTCCCAGCCTTGAACATTTTATCTTCTTATACTCACACCACTTCTAATTCTCAAGATGTTTTGCCGCCTTTGAACACCATCTCAAATGTTGATTCTCTAAGAAGAGATGATTTTTCCTGGCAGGTTCTCTTCTACTGTACTTTTGGTGTAAAAAAAACTAATTGTAAATCTAGCTCCGCAAGCAAACCTTGTGTGAATGGAGCTTGTTGTGGAAGTGCATTTCAACCGTTGTTTTGTGGTTATGGTGACATATACTGCGGTGACACTTGTGTCTCTAACTGCAGTGCTGTAGCGGAATGTGATAAAGATGCAAAGGTAGTTGGAACTAAATGTCCATTGAATGTCTGTTGCAGCCAGTAAGTTCCTGAATTTCTAGTTTAGTGATTTACATGCTTACCTTTTCGAACAGATATGGTTAGACAACCTCTTTCGCACATTTGTCCATGTTAAGAATTAACCGTGGTCTCAGGATTCTGTGGTACCTCCTCAGAGTTTTGCGATGTTTCTACATGTCAAAGCAACTGCGGAACACCCTCGCTTCCTGAAGGAAGAAACTCATTTGATGTTCGAAACAATGTCATCGGATACTATGGTAATATTTCCAACACTACCCGAGAAAGTAGATGTACCGAAATGGGATCTGCAAGCCTTGGAGTTGCCTATGAATATAGGACTCGGTGCAGGTGGTGTTGATAATCAAGGATTTGGATTTGTGCTTATTGATGGCCCTAGTAGTGTGGTGACTACTATGAGCAAACGAGATGGCTCGGATTATGTTTTTTTGGGCTGTCCCGTAGGGAAAAGCCGACGAAACGTGCGGATTTTCTGTAATTCTAATAGTCTCCCATCTAACTGTCATGAATTACTCGAAGGTGAAGTCGATGGAACCATTATCAAGCTACCAGAAGGCTGTGGTTCGGGAACATATGCTGTTGCTCACAGCCTGTCCTTATCCGATAATCAGAAGCTTCCTTCAATCTATACAGGCGCAGCGAATCGGACAGTATCAGATCTAGAAATCAGCTATGACTTCGGTCTTGTTAAAAGAGATGCTGGGGATGTCTACATACGTATTGACTACAGCAATCTCTAAAGTTATTGGAACACGGTCGTCAACAGTGCTGGCGAGTCGAAAAAAAGATCTACTGATGATATTTCGAAGAGATTTTTAGTCCAAAATGCAACATCATGGAAATGTAGTAGGTTTATTATCATTTACACTTCCAATAGTTCAAGATACTAATGATCTTAGGGTTTGATGATGTTCGAAGTGAAGCATCAGGTGACCTCGGCCACACTCTTTTCGCAAAAGCCTTCACATCTCCACTATACAGTAGCAGTAAGAGCTGTGAAGGTGAGGATGAAAACTATGCCTCCATCGGTTTCAGTGGAAATGTCTCATCAAAAGCCAGATTTGGTTATAGTTTTGTTGGTACCATTGTCTCGTTCAACATTGTACAGGCCTATGGTTTCTCACAGAGCGAGATTGAAGTAATAGCTATGCTTGACATCCAAGTATACGGTGGACTGAAGCTTCCTAATACCCAAGCAAATGTATTCCCTAGTCCAGTGACCTCCAAGGAATTCAGGCGTACCCGGCCTCATTCACATAAAGCCCAGTCTGCAGATTGTCGCCACACTAAATGCTAATATTGAAATGGCAGCCGACTTTGAGGTATTCTTCAATACATCCACACCGACCCCAATCACGCAATACTATCCTTCTTCTTTGGGGACTGCTAATGGTAGCTTTGAAATGCAGGCTATGTTATTAGGCGATGGATTCTCGGATTCAACGGCTGGCACGGCTAGATTTGGGTTTATGCCTACTATGCAATTGGACATTACAATCGATTCATACTGCACGGGCAAAGTAGAGATACATGAGAAATTAGTGCATTTCGCGATGCCTTTGTGGCCATTACATCCGACGACAAGAACTGCCCTTCCTTGCAAGCAGGTATTAGTGGTGCTCAAATTAGCCTGGAAAGTGCCGCAGGTTCTTTCACGCCCTGGAGTGGTGATGACACCTCTCAGCAAATATTGAGCCACACAAAGTCTTCCGATCTGCCGACGATATGTCCTAGATCATTCTCTGGAAGATCCATGATATTGCGAGATCTCCCTAATGATGTGATAAAATACCCCGCTCCTTATGTTTTTGGCAATTATTATCTCATCACATGTGCTGTGGGGCTGGGTGCAGGAGATTTATTTATTGGACCTCAACCAGGAGATCCAGAGTTCTGTTCCACTTCCCCTGAAATGTTTCCATATTCCGGGATATTCGATGACGATGGCTCAGAACTAGAATATGAAGACCCGGAAGATATTTGATGAGGTTTATGGCGACGTACGATTATATGAACTTTCCAGACAACGAGGCCATATTACAAACCGTCTACCTGGCCCTTCTTGAGGAGTTAATAAACTGGGAACGAAATCTTGCTCTGGCTGAGGGTATTTCGCAATGGTTTATAGAATTTGTGGACGATTTTTATAAGACTATCGATCTAAAAGCAAGAAGCTTTGTTATGGACAAGACAACGGGGATCATTCAGAAAGCTGGCGGGCTCACTAGGTCGGCGCGGATTCAGGAAGTAGCCGAGGCGATACAGGCCCAAATCCCTGGCACACTGAGAAGTCCATGGATGGATTCTATAGGCCAGGGACCAGGTGCTGATCTTTTCTTAGGTCAAGTACCACAGGCCGGATCTACATGAAGGCTAGCGAGTAGACAAATAGATAGAAGCATTGGGTACTTAAGTAAATCTTTCCTTAGATAGACGCTAATCCGAAGCACGTTATTCTTGACATCAAAGTCGGCATCTGGCCAAATAGCCAGTCTTCCCCTGATTTCTCAGGTTTTATGTACTCTCTATTTTGCTAACGAGCTTCTAAGAGAACACACGGATGTTATTCTGTCATTAAAAGTAAATAGATCCGCTTCGTTTTCTCTTGACGATGATCTAAACAATATGAGCGTTATTTGCAACCCAAGAGTACTTCGGAATTCTATTGGGAAAATTGGCGTGAGAAATAGGCCACCTTCACAATGCTACCCATTAATATAATAGTGACCAACCCTGCTTCTCTTCATTTTACCTTCCTAGGCCAACTTTGACCGCGCAAGTTTGTTACGACAACAGAGATGATTGACGACCTTGGCGAGATCAATACGTAGGAGCGTGAGATGAATAAGAAGAGGTTGAAAGATGTTCGAGCTGAAGTCCGTGATATAATGAGTGGTCATTGGTTATACAGCCCGCCGGGAAGTTGGGAAATCAAGTCGGCTTATGTCCCTCATCTTGGAACGATGAGGTAGGTTTTAATTCAACGGTTGCATTGTACTCATAAGACAATTTTGGTTGTTATTGAGTGTAAAAACGTTTGAATGTAGCAAGTGAAACTGGTCTACCTAGTAGTAATAATTGACGTGGACGTCTCTTTAAGTTCGTTTGTGTCTTCACATGATCCAGCGAACCGTTCTGCGGTTAAATTACCCCCAAACCTATCTAGCCCGATGCAATATCGCACCCAGGACAAGTCGGACAATATCCATCAAAATCTCGGTACCGGTGAGGGAGATGAGGAGGGTCGGACATTCCTTCTCCGATTTGTTGATCGCCTACCAGTATTAATCTTGGCAACGAACACAAAATCAACGTACAATCTTTGTGCCAGCTTCGCCAGCCAATACGCGGCAATTACTAAATCTTTTCCCACCTCATTGTGGATGTATCTAGTACGCCGACACTAATCTGGAGCTTGGTTTAGCATTTGATTTTTGTGACAACTTTAATCTTATGCTTCAACTGAGTGAGTGGGGACCAAAGGGTTTTCTTCGGTTTAAGAGGTGGAAGTATGGATCCGTATATGAGAATGAGAAATCCTTGACTTGTTATTGGAACCTCACAGGATGAAGGAGCTAACGAAAAACGTGTATAGTACAGCAAGTTACTCCATATGGCAAATATCTGATTTAGGATATAATCAGTCAGTTAACCGAAGGCTCTGAGGGAAGGATTGTATTTATCAATACTTGGTTTGGGTGGTACTAATTTCTTAACATGTGGCGCAAGCAGACCGTTTGGGATCAATCTGCGTTGCGATATGTAACCATCAAGCAAAACCCGTCCACTTGGAAAATCATCGCAATATCCATTGTCGGGACCGAATGCAACAACTGAGGCATTATTCTAATTTATTGGTGTTCAGCTCCTTCATATACTCAATTTTTAGTATCGAATGTAGAAATATCCAACTGCGCCGTCGTCATAAGCGACCAATCATTTCGCATCTAACGGCCCGCCTCGCGAGATATGAGATGAACTTCGGGACCGACAAGATGTCGATATGCAACAAATCTTTCGAAAGGAATGTCCAGTGGCTGATATCGGCGCTATATCCATTGCTTTGCGAAGCACACATGGTTCTAGATGTTTCGTTTGACTCGGGCAACCAAATGGTAATATATGGAGCTTGCCCCCATCATGGAAGTCAAAGGAGAATGCTTGTCGCCAGTGTTGGCAGCATTCTAGATTCAGTCTCTGATGGTTTATCCTAAATTTTCCTCAAAATCAGAAGATATGTGAGCTTTCTGGCTCTGCTTTCTTTCTCGTTGTTTCTTATTCCGTCAAGCCTATACACTTTTCCTACTGTTGCACAAATGCTGGAAAGGGGGCTTAACGATATTCTCCCACCTTTGATATTAAATATCATGTTCCCAAGTTCCCAAATACTCATAACACAATACAAACACAACAATACACAGGATACATTCTTGCAAGCTTAGCAATGCGGCAGTAAGAAGTTTGCTACGCCGTGATTGTTTATGCTGCTGATGTCAAAACTCGGACGCCGGGCTTCGGACGCATGCATTTTGTGATGTAAAATATTACAAAGCATATCATCAAGACGTTGTAGCTTCGGAACTTCAGTCAATTCTTTCATATCTCATTAATGAATCTGGCTTTGGCACCCCTCGTTCCCGTTGTGTCTTGCTTTCAGTCTCTTCTCTCACAATAATGCTATGCCACCAACTACCGCAAGTAGCAACCGTTGGTGCTTGAACTAATGCTAGATTTGATCTGGCATTCTTCCTTCAGTTCTCATCCATACATCATATAAATCTTTACATCAATTTATTACAGATTAAACAAGGAGACTCTCAATTCTGAAGCCAAACCATTGCTAAATGAAATTGACTACAAATGTTGAGAGTTGAGGAGCGCTCCGGTAGTCCATGCTCCCATTGTCACAGCGAGTCGGTACTCTTTTCAACCTTCGTTAATGAACATTTTATCTCTACGGTCTAAAAAGTGAAGGGGCTCATTCTATTCTCCGGCATGATCGCCCTCACTTTTATAAAATCCGAATTCTCCGTGTACAAAAGCAGCATGCATGCTCCCCCCACGTGGTTCGGACATACCGGCGAACAAAATACTCCGACTCGGTTTTAGCACAGGGCAGATCTAGAAACAACTTCCCATCCTCCCATCCAGAGGTGGACGGATACACGACTCCTTATCTCATATTCATCATAGCTGACATTACTCAATTCCTGCACTCTAATCCTCCTCTACTTCAAAAATTATGACCAACACCATCATTCATTCCTCAAGCAAATCTAAGCACGGCGGCATTCTTGATGTGAAAAACAAACGGCAATAGTCTATAATTATCGTTTAGACCCCTATGTACTCTGTCTTTAGCCTTATCCGCGTCTCCTTTTCTCTTGCTTGGCATTCCTCGAAACTACTTCAACATTCGCAGTGGGAAAAAGCAAAAGTAATACATACAACAGTGGGGATTCGCTGGTGGTCACCCACCCAACTACTAATCCACCGATCTGAAGCTTGTGTATGGCAGAGCGGACGGGATGCCCAATTCTCTTCAGTCTATGGTCGTATGTGACAGACTGCGTTGCATTTGAATATTGATACTAATGCTGAATCAAATCTCATTAGCAATCATCAATGGCACTCAGAAGGTCCAACATACCGTATGGTTTCAAGATGGAGAGTCTGACCCATTTCCACAAAGCTTCTCCGCGCGCCTGACATATTGCCTCGTCCTTATATACCAACTTCCAGAACGAGAGAGCAGCGATAGCTTGTAACATGCCTTGCTGGAAATTTCTCGACGAGCTGCTGAAGTGCCTCATGGGTAGATTTTCCAACAATCAGAATGTACTTCTCAGGACTGTGTCGAGATGTATCAAGTTTCGAACGGATAGATTTCCAAACATTGGCTGCTTATACCCTTTGCTTCTGCTCTGACAAACCATATAAGCCGTCAATCATCCTGGCCACTAATTGCTTAAAAATAAGGAGAACCTTTTGACCGATTTCCTCGATGACTTTGCTTAATCTGAGCTGCATTGACGAAGCTCTTTCGTGAGCGAGAGATCATGCGTATATCATCCGCTGAGAGATATCAAACTCTGATTCTACTTCATTCCAAGTGCTTAATTGCATATAAATGCACAAACAAGCGCATCTTCTTTAAAGAGTACAAGAGACCCAGCATGCGAGCAAAGACCTATCACTAGCTTTCCTGAAACAGTTATTTTTATTCTATGGGGAAGGAGATTACTAATTGGCTTCTACGCGCTGACACCATTCTATTAGTTTCCCCTCACGCCAACGCTTTCTACAACATCTCTGGTATCTCTTAGCTCTTTATACAGAGCTTAAGCCATGATTTATGAGGACGAGGGCATATTTGACGTCTTTGACAGGTTCAGCGTCGGACCTGGAGTCAATTGCTTTGTAATTTCGCATCAATGACAGTACTGACTCTGACTGTCACCACTGTAAGAATGCAGTATTATCAAAAACCTATTCTCGCATATGAGAAGAGGACATTCATTCCACGTATATCATTTTGCAAACCTATACCATTTCCCAATCAAAATTTACCGTATGCTTACCTACCATCCATGTCGAGAAAGCTTCGGATCCACGAAGAAGGATTTTGAGCATTCATACAGCTGAACACTCCAGATAACTTCACAACTGCAGCTCCACGTCAATATCGGGACACTTCTTGTCAACTCGAGTATAGCCTCCTCCCTCATTATACCGTTGTTTTGGCAGTTCATATCTTGAAAGATACCCATTTCAGGCCGTGAAAGACGAGAGGGGAACAAAGTAGCCGAATCGCGACTTTGGAATCTGCTGGCTGTGTTTTCAGCTACTCTTTACGGTGTCCTTATGATTGGCTGTGCCCATTGTTCCTGCCACAAGACATTACATTCATATCTCTGCAATCCAAAATGGCAATTAGGATAAGTTGAGCGATAAGTCCAGGGCCAAGCTGTTCAAAATAGAGATGCACGAGAACTAGTTTGAGAGTATCCTGGCATGCACATTTGGTGGAACCATATCATGAGGCAGTTGAAAGCACATAGAGATCTAACCATATGGAGAAGCATCGCATAACGACAATTCTCAATATAGAACTAGATCTAGTATAACAAGAGTGTTTTCTCTACTTCCCCTTTGATCCAATACCTATGCGCTGGGTGGCTATCTAATCATTTTAAGACTGACTGGCTGACTTTGATGATGAACATTAAGATTTCAAAGCCGGCAAAACCCACAACTGGAACCATAAGTGCTTTTCGAAATGCAGAATTAAACTAAATATTAATCAAATACTGTGAATGTAAGTCAATGCGCGAAAGTTTACTTCCTTCAAATTCCTCTTTCCAATATCGAGACGGTATGTCACAGATAGCCGCAGAGCTCACTCATCCATCGATCTGCATTTGAAAACTTCAAAGATCAAGATTGATGGTGTATACATAACACTCATGTTAAAGTAAAAAAAATGGTACGAAGCTCTAAGTTTTTCCCAATATCTGTTTGATAAATTTCTCCTATCACCTTAGGGAACTAAAACTTGCACACACCTATATATATAAAGGCAAACTAAGTACATAGGGTATCAATCCCTATATCCATCGACTATCTGAATTAAAGAGAAAAGAAAGCCCAGGGTATATTAAAATTGGTGTAATATGCATGCTCCTGCACACATTTCAAAACATAGCAAAGGGTCCGACTGTATCAAACCCGGTACCACCCCCTTTCCACAGCGAGTCAAGCAATCGAAGTATTGATGCGTTAATCTGTAAATGAGCTCCTGACCGTCTATCTCAACATTATTTCGTAATGGAGGGGCGTTCACGTAAAATGCAAATGCGATTGCTCTAGCATTTTGTTTCGTTAACATCGTATCGTACAGGAATAATTAAAAGAAGATCTGGAATCTTCGTATTATACATAGCTGATTCTAATATAGTTAATTATGATGAAATTGTGTTTATGTCGATCCTGTTGTTCCTGTATATCCGATGATTTCTCGGTCGTCGTCAACTAATCTTCCGTATCTGAACAGATATTAGTACTACGCCCGAATAGAAACGTAGACGAGAGCGGAACTTACTCAAGCATTAATCTGAAGAACCACACTTCTAGGTCTTCGTTTCTGAGCACATGATCTGCCCAATCTCTTCCCTGGAGGGCAATTCGTTCTGCTTCTTTCTTCCCAACATCTTCTCCCGCAAACCATCGTACTGCCTCAACCCATTCATCGCCTCTTAAGCTTAAAGGAATATAATGCACCCAAGGCTTGAGCCATTGCTCATGCCATTCTCTGAAAACAGCCATTTTATATACCAGACTTTTGCTCTTCAAGAATGCGTAAAATCGACCACTGAAAGCATTTCCATCCATATCAAGCAGATACTTATACTTCCATGCATCTTGTTGCTTCGCTGCATCCTTCACATCAAAGAAATTCTTTTGGGCTTCGCAATCACCAGGATCGCATTGCCCAACGTGGGAAAAGAAGATGTCAAAAATTTCCTTGAAATCACTTCGCGGTACACTCTTCACCTGCCAATCTTCCTTTGTCTCTTCGCCTCGATTGACCAAAATCTTTGCTTGATCGCCAGCGTTAACTTTTTGTACCACTTTTTGCCTGTGTTGCCGTCTCCAGCCACCATCTCGACTAAAGCCTCCGGTTGTCGAACCTCTCCAGTATATTTTGTCTTTCTTATCCTTCCATGCCTTGTCTTCGGCTTCCTCATATGGTACTTTGCCATACCAGTACCAAGGAGATGGATACAATATATCGGAAAACGACGAGATCTTTGATTGAGAGAAAATCGGGAACAAGTCATGCACGATATTAAAGGCGTTGGGACGATCGAAAAATCCGAAGGATTCGCTAAAAGAAGGGGATTGGCAAATATCTGAGAACGCAGTTTGGTTATACACAAATCCCAGCTCCGTCACGGCATAACTACCATAATTGTCCTCTTTCAGTCCATCGTTGAGACTCCTCGCGGCACTATCTGGAGGGCAAGACATCCTTGAATGGGTCCAAGTTGGCTGATGTGAAAAAACGTTGAATCGTGTAGTCTTCACTTCCGGCACTCGCAGGCCGTCGCTAGCGACATCAATCGGTCTAGGAGACCATGAGTTTCTGGGTGCTTCTACAGAATTCGCATTTGGCATATTCTGATCTTTTGCAACATGTACTAGCCGGGCCAAATCTTCATATGGCACAACCACACGAGGTTCATCGTGAATGTTGAAGCAAAGATCCATGTCGGGGAGGTACTTCAAAAATGGCTTCATCATTCCTACCGTAGCGTCTTGTTGCCATTGATTCCCTCCCTCAATCTTTGTAACCTTGCCTCCTCTAATTAACAATCCTATGAGATTATTAGGAAAACCCAATGCCTCTCGTGCTCTCCCTCTGATTGTTTCCGGTTTTAAACCCCAAAACGGCGTTAAGGATGTATGTATGTTGTCATATTCGTCGATGAGTTTTACACCTTTTGACTTCGCGAAATTATACCATTTGTCGAAATTAGGGGGCGGAGGTATCCTATATCGTTTTCTATATTCTGCCACTGCTTCCTCCAATGTCTTCGATTGTTTCGCTTTGGTATTCTCGAATGCTTGCTCATTATCCTTGATTAATTGATAAATTGGATGCGAAGGACCAATATGATACGAAGCTTCCTGCGGTTTCTTGACATCATCAATGGAAGTTGATATTCGATTGGGTATGCTTGGCTGTTTCGGTTTCTGATTAGAGGATGGGAAAGGGGTCGAATGGTATGGAACAGGCGCTCGCAGGTAGAATATCGAAAATGTAGCCAAGGTAAGAATGCTAATCAGCAGTAGAAATTGGCGAGACTTCATTTTCCGCCGCGTCTTCATTATCATTGCGCTGAGAGAAGGTCTTCTTGTCTCATCATGTCCATCGAATGGAACAAAGTGCACTTGTTCAGCGCGATGTTGAAATGCCGCACTTGAGCTCCTACGACGAGTTTGTCCAGCCATAGTAACGGTTGGGCCAGAAGCAGACTCTTTGTACTCTTTACTGCGACTTCCGGGTGCTCGTGAGACCCCCTTGTTCTTTGGATAATTGTTAATTTATCCTTGCACAACGAATGCGGCCTTCCTGCCGACGAGACGCGCATATGAGTGGAGTGGATAAAGTCGTGTACGAATATGATCAAAACAAAAGGGAAATACCGTATAAAATATAACTGTTTGTCGCATGCGTGTGAGTAGTGGCGACGAATTGAAAGTTTCGCAATATGTTATTCTCTTCTTTGGCTGAATTGAATTGCTGGTGATTTACGAGTCTTTCGTCCTAAAGTTGCTGGTTGTAGTGGGGATTCCTTCCGATGTTCTGGCCACAACCACATGCTACCATATGAACCATTCTTCATTTCTTGGAAAAAGTTATGTTAATTGCGCCACATTATGATACGGTCCATAGTACTCCTTTTTCGTCTTATGAATGATTGTGCAAAAGGAGTTGTGTCTGAGATTCTGAGCGAATCCGATCCAACGAAAGCTCGCTCACTATCGGGATTGAAACCTTGCAAGTATTTTGTTGTGGTTCTACCAGGAGTCAAGGACGCTCGAAATCAGGTATAATGCATTTTGTGATGTAGTAAAGTAGGCCATGATATGGCGTGATGCATTCCTTCATTCACTTTCTCTGTCTCGATGTAGTTTCCAAGAATTTGTATGCATACTCCAGCTAGGTAGGGTAGGTAGGTACCTTAGGTAGATAAGAACATCTTCGGTGTTTAAGCCAAAAAAAGCTTAGGATTAGGTAATATTGATGTTTACGCCACGAACATGCATCTTGGGTCTACACATTCAGGAGGTTCTCGTAGATGGACGCTACAACATATTTGCTCAATGGCGATGTAACATAACATACCTATGGGTAAACTACCATAAGCTGACAGTAGCGCTATACGCGCGCCTTAGATTATGCCGCCTGAATTTCCTGTTGCTTAATCGAATGGAGTAACTTCGCCAATGTGAAGTGTCGTTTGTGTAGATCAAGCTAGAACATCATGAAAAATAAATATCACTTTGCACGATTGGAGAACAAAAAATATAAATCATGAGATTAAATTGACTTTTGGTAATAGACCTATCTATTCTTCAGATGAAGAATTCGGACCATGCGTAAAGCAAGAACGAAATGGGTATATTCAGCGACCTGTTCTAGATATTACTCCAACCCCGGAAGCTGGGTTCCCTAGATGGCTACATCTCTCATGATAATTTGTATTCCTTTATTGGTATCTTTCGTCTAGTAGAAGAAACCGAGGACCTTTCCGGCAACGTGCTTGCGTCTAGCCTCTTCGTGGTCCATGATACCAGCGGAGGTGGTGAGGACGATGTGTCCGAATTGACGGGAAGGCAAAAGCTTGACAACCCACTTCTCGAAGTCCTCAATCTTGACGTTGTATCTTGGGGAGATAACACCGGTCTTGTTAAGACTATATCATAGAATTAGCAATGTGTTCTTAATAGCAGGGTGGAAGTTGTTGCTTACCGGCCGTTCAATTGAACAACGACCTTTCCGGAACGGTGGTCATCAACCTCCTCGAATTCTCCAATGTAGCCTAAAGAGAGACATTAGTATGTTGCGAAAGATTAAACATATAACTTCATAAATAATAATCAGAGAACGTGTAAGATCCGCGCAGTTTGATATATCGGCAACTTAAAGGACTTTGATCGTGTGGAGTTGAGATCATTATCTAGTTATCATGCCGAATGAAGGAATAAGAAGAAAGATTTGTCGACATACCGTGCTTTTGCATGACACCGAGGAACTTGACGATGACCTTGGAGGATGGGCGGATGAGAACTTGACGCTTTCCGGCCTTCTCAGCGTTGTTGATGGCGTTGAGCGCATCGTTGAGGACTGAAGTCTTAACCATTTTGACGGATAGAGATTCTCAAATAATCTGCTTGATCAAAGATGAGGTATCTGCAGGGTCGATATGTTAGCCTTCAAGATTTCTCAAGCATAAAGAGTGCCCTCATGATTGACAAGAGGGTTCTAAAGCTCGTGTCGAATGATAGAGTAAGTAGTGTCGACATCTTTCAACTGCTATGGATTCATGGTGATAAACAAAGTAGGCCGAAGCTTATCGATTATCGAAACCAAAGAATACCACATTTACAGTTGAGTAGATGATCGATTTGCTCTTCTTTGTCAATCATGAAGGACTTTCTGAAAGAATTGCCATCGTAGCAGTATTTACACACCTCGTTGTAGAATGGGCGTTGAAGTTGTCGTAGGAAGGGAATTCGGAATAAATTTCAAGATCGTGAGATTTTCAATCAAAATTTACTATGGAGAATTTTAAAATTCATTGTGGGAACTTTTCGTGATTACCTAATTGGTCGCCTGTGCTAGGGTCTCGCTAAACGCAGAATAATTACAACACAAGATTCTGAAGCTAATTTTCTCCATACATTAAAATCCAAATATATCAACATACTCTTCGAGGACCTAAAGATATCATCACAATCAAGATGGTAAGTTGGTTTTTTTGTTATTTCTTGGTCGAAAAGCTTCATCGATTGTATGCGCCATTGGCGCAATGAAGTCGCATATCTGGGATATATCCCCCACAAAAATACGAAATTCAATGATTTGGGTTTTTACATAAAGTAATCGTCGCTAACAATCATACTCTCATAGTCTGACGTAGAAGAGCCAACCTCCCCAATTGTCGCCGAGGCCGATGAGGTCGAAGTTTCCGGAGATGCATCCAAGGGACAAATGTCCGTTATCGACGCATTGAAGGGTGTCCTCAAGCTCGCACTTATGCACGATGGTCTCGCCAGAGGTCTCCGTGAAGCCTCCAAGGCTCTCGACCGTCGCCAAGCACACATGTGTGTTCTCAACGAGGCATGCGAGGAGGAAGCATACAAGAAGTTGGTCGTTGCTCTCTGCTCCGAGCACAAGATCCCCTTGATCAAGGTTCCAGACGGAAAGCAATTGGGCGAGTGGGCTGGTTTGTGTAAGTATATCCGGTATATGATCACCTGGGGCTTTAACTGACAAACATTTAGGTGTTTTGGACCGTGAGGGTAACGCACGCAAGGTTGTCAACTGCTCCTGCGTTGTCGTCAAGGATTGGGGTGAGGAGTCTCAAGAGCGCACCATGCTCCTCAACTACTTCCAAACCGAGCAATAAATACGCCACGGATATGGAGTTTCTACAGCGGACATACATTGTATCATTCGGATTTACACACAAATAGCGTGGATTACTGGTGGCAATGACATTGGCTATGGAGCATCAAATTTTCGTCCTTTTTTCGCACAGTGAACGCACGTGAACATGCACCTTCAATGGCCAATTTTATAACCTTCCACCGGTCGCGCCGCATTTTCTGACCTTTGCTTCTGCCGTTTGTGGAGAAAATTTTATTAATTCTAATCAGGCTAGGTTCTCAGCCCTATCCATGGGCTCATCTAGAACCTTTTCATGCACTCCATCGAGAAAACGCAAACAACGCCCAACACTTCAGCTAGTAATTTCATCACCCCCTTACAATGCACATCCCATCCACCAAAGTCTTTCTCGTCCTTGAATCAGCTTCCAATATTCACTCCTCGCTCCATTAGATTGCTCTTGCCTACTTCCTCCCTTCAACCATAAGAATATGATAGCCAAACCCCGTCTTCACGTCTCTATACTTTGGCTTCGCCGTAGTACTGGCTTCCATCTCAAAAGCCACCTTCTCAAACTCAGCATCCAAATCTCCCCTCCCCTTCCATCCCAATGCACCTCCTATGATAAAACCCCTTGTCAGCTTCTTTTCCTGGAATCCTCCCCTACTCACTGGAAATATCTACAAAATTGACCTAGTAAACAAAAAAAAACCTACCAGCTCTCGCCTTATCTTCAGACATTTCCCGAGCCACACTATCAAAGCTTGCACCCGCCTCTAATTTTTGGAGAGCTTCCGTCATTTTACTATGTTTGGAGCACTATTGTAGGTACGCATATCAATATCCCATTCACTGAGGAAGGATTCAAAGATCAGGTGACGCACCAGTATATGTCGAACATTAATTTGCTGGGCTCCTTTAACTTTTGTCTCTTTCGCGTCGCCCGTGTCGTTTCCTTTTCCCTTTCCTCCTTTCCCGGCGGCTTTCTTGGCTGGTGGCATGGTGATAGTTTGGGCAATGTAGGATACCGGATTTTTGTTTCGTTGCGTTGAGGGGTGGTTGCAATTGTCTGAAGCTGGATGTTGTCAGCGGAGCGTGACTTTTTGATATCAATGTCATTGATCTAGGCTAACCGAATGTGAATGGAGGGGCATTTGATATGCTTGCTAGGACCGCGGAAAGAAAGTCCGATGATGTGACCAAAAGTTTGACTTCACTTACAATTTTCTTTCAAGAATGATTTTTGGATATTCTATTTTTTTCGTACATACAATCATTCAGTCGTTTACGTAGGATATCATTTTATTTGTTTCATGTATTTATAATTGTACAAACGGTTTCCTCTTCCTTTAATACCTTTACACTTGCTTGTATCATCTCCATATATCAAATTCATATATTTGTCCGAAAGACCTCCCTCCTTAGGAAAATTACCTATCCCGCTAGACATTACCTTCAATAGTTCACTAAATACTCAAAATGACTCCATCCATAGCTCTCGACGCTACCGGCGCATGCTCAACCTCTCTCTCATCCACCAAACCCTCCTCACCCCCCGATTCCTTCCATCAACTCGTCGCAGACCTCTCCCAAATTCTCGGCCCATCTTCCGGCCTCACATCCGCGGACGTAGATGTGCAGCAGCTTCGCTCCCTAATGGAGCGCTACATCTCCAACGAAGACGAGTGGCGAAAATACGCATTTGCAGATTTAAGCAGAGGCTACACGAGAAATTTGGTAGATGAAGGGAACGGGAAGAGTAATTTGGTACTGGACACCTACCCCTCTCATTCCGCTCTCGATACTACCGAACTAACCCTAAATCTCTATCTAGTTAATTCTGGTCTGGAGTCCAGGAAAAGGCTCGCCCCTGCACGACCACGCAGATGCGCATTGTCTCATGAAAGTACTCGCGGGAACTCTCTCGGAAACCCAATACACATTCCCATCCACCTCCACTTCCTCCACATATTCCCCATCCGCATCCCGGCCTTTCAACACGCCCCCCACAGTAATAAAAACTACAACCTACACCACGAACCAAGTAACCTACATGTCCGACGATCTTGGCCTCCACAGAATATCCAATCCCGATCCCGAGAACGTGGCTGTGAGTTTACATCTATACACACCCCCGAATGCGGCGCGAGAGGGCTGCCATATTTTTGACGAGAAAACGGGAAGGAAAAGCCATGTTACGCAGTCTAACTTCTACTCGGTGTTTGGGGAAAGAGTCGGCGGACAGGTGTAAATTATATGGTATGATTGTTTTGTAGATTTAGAGATAGAAGAGATCTAGACTTTGTATTTTGTCTGTCAAATATCTAGAGATGAGAGGAGATGTAGATGCAAGTTTAAGCTGTACGATATCTAGAAATTGGGATGGAACAAACGATACCTCATTTGGTGTCCTTGGATATCATTGTAGGTGCTTTTTAGATCGTCCTTAACCGCGCAACACAGCAATGCAATGCCTATCTTAAAGAGTTGGACATTATGTGTCAGACGCTCCAGATATGTACAGACTGTTAAAACAATGCTTGGCGTGGGCTTGGACATGCAATGTCAAATTGTGTGATCGAGCTGTCCAGTAACACCCAGCTCGGTATACGACATAGATAATGTAAAGCATAATGGACACTAACACCTCGTTATTTTATCGAGGCATGACAAGCAATTGTAGGATAGAAACGAGGGGGATGAATCGTTATTCACGTCAAAATTTACATCAAGCTACTGTTTCATGAAATTCATTCTTAAAACATGTACTTTTATTCATGTCTCATTCAGAGATATAGTCTATCTATCAACAAGTCATTGCTCAGTATTTCTAAATCCATGACCTTCCTGTGTATCATAGAATAAATCCATCTATTCGATGAGCAACAAATCATACCAGATCTGACCACAGAAAATCTTGCCACAAACTCCAACCTTTGACTATGTAACAATCGCTTCAATGCATGTAATAAAAAAACTATCTGCCGGAAGAGAAGTCTGGTTGGTAGACCTGGACGCCTCCTTGCTGCATCAACTCCCGAAGAGCCATTGTAGCATACATACTTGAGCCGAGACCAAATTTGACGATGACTGCAAGTCGAGCAGGTTTTGCTTCCTCGGCAACTTCCTCTACAGCTGGTGCGGTTGCCATTTCAGTGTCAGTGGATGCTGGCTGAGGTAATTCGGATGATTGGGTGTCTTCCTTGATCTCAGTAGAAACTATAGCGGAATTGCCGTCCTTCTTATCTTCAATTTCCATAACTTTGACGACTACTTGATCTTTCTTGCTTTCGCCAACAGGTCCCTTCGAGATCTCATCGGCAGGTCTTTTGGTACCAGCCGAGACTTCAAGTTTGACGCCTCCCTCTTGAGTCTCGGTGTCATCATCAGATTCGGACAATGGAGTTTCAGTGACCTGAACCTTCGACTTTTTCTCGATGTCTGCCACTCTGTTATCCAAGATGTTTGCTTCAAGAAGCTCGTTCTTCGAACCGAGAGTTTGTTGAGTTCTAACTCCAGTACGGCGACCCTCATCGTCCACAGAAGTTTGGATAAATGTCTCTTGATAGATTGGCTGCTTGATAGCATCCACATTGATAGGCTTCAATTTTTCTACCTCCCATGCTTCAGCTGCAGCTTTGTCTTCTTCGGCAAGTTTGTTAGGTAGTGCTTTCCAAGCATTATGCTGAGCACTACCACCGTAGACAGCATGGTTTTGGCGACCTTGTTCTGCAGCATCAGCCATGTGACGAGCACGTCCACCTTGTTGTCTTCCGCCTTGGTTGTACTGAGCGCCATTATCTCGATGTCCGTTCTCCTGTTGATTATCATTCTGATGGCGGTTATTCTCTTGGAAGTTTGCATAGCCGTGTGGGTCGCCTTCTCTCCTAGCGTAGACGTGTGTTGTTTGAATATGGGAAGGCTCATGATCTTGAGGATTGTTCTTCTCGATAATCTCCAAGTCAGTCTCGACTAGCTGTTCGGTTTCATCGTGATAAGTTCTGACTTCGAAACTCATTCCCTCCTTAACTCGGCCAATAAGGTGCCTATAGCTACCACTAAGACTGAAGTCCTTGATCTTTCGACGCATATCCGCAGGATCCAGACCACCACCCTGCTCGCTAGCCATGAACTCCTTGTAAAAGTCTCCAATTTCGTTATTGGGGTATTCAATGTCATAGCCTGGCATAGGAAGGACAATATCAAATATGGTAAAGGCTCCACTGTCAGCTTCTTCGGCCGAAAGGCAGCGTGCACGCTGGAACACTTCATCTGAAGTAAGTGCGGCGTCCCCTCCAGATGCGTGAATCACAATTTCTCCATTTTCATCAACTTCATCTTTTTGTTCCGGAGCTTTGCTCTCTACCAGAACAAGATCGCCCTCAATAACTTTGTCTCCATAGCGTTCCCATCTTCTGGAGGCTACAATATTCCAAATGAAAGATTGGTATCCATGCACATACATAGTACGAAGATGGCGTGAAATGGAGAGTATAGCACCCGCATAGTCGTTGCGCTTGCGCTCAGAAGACATGTGTTGAATGATAGCTCGCTCTGCGGAAAATCTTGGTGGAAGTGAGTCCCTGCCACCAGAGTTCCTGCCGGTTTCCCGAAATTTATGAATAGCAAGGGCACGCGCCATATCATCTCTACCAATGGTGCTACTATCTTGGCCTGACTGGGCTGCTGCAAGTGCATCTTCGTTGAACGCGAGCAAAGAATCGACAGCACCCTTGAAGTTACCTTTCAAAATCAGTTTGCCGATTTCATGTGTACCGATTGCAAAGGTACCAAAACGTTGCAAGCCAAAGTAATTGAGAAAACCACGAGTTTGCAGGTGTTTAATAGCATCTCCAATAACTTTTTCTGCCGATTGAACCTTTGTAGCATCGTCCATATCATTATCGTCTCCGAAATGGCAATCGCGCAGTGTGATGGTAAAAAAGTTGCCCTCGAGATCGCCCAGTCTGAGTGGATACTTTTCATACTTAAAGTCGCCAACTCTGCACCGATTTCTTAACGTCTTGTTGAGCTGAGCCATGCTTGTGACATGGTGTCGAAAAGCACTAACACGCTGTGCGGTGGCTGCACGGCGATCTTTGGTACCTGCGTAGGCAAAGTCTTTGGCGCCAGTCCTAGTCAACTTAGACAATAAGTTGATAGTCTCCATAGTGTCTTTGTTTTCCTTATAAAGCGTGAAGTGAAGATATTCCCCACCAAGTTCTTCCCATCCAACTTTTCCCTTTGGTTTGGGCTGGCCATTTGGTTGACTGCGAAAATTGCCTCGACCGGCATTATTCTGGCCTCTACCGCGCTGGTTTTGTCCTCTGCCACGTTCTTGCTGCTGTGGAGCTGCCGCGAAGATACTGATAGAATTATCATCCATAGCCTCAGTCTCCAGACGCGACTCAAAACGCGCACGCACAAAGCCATGAATGCGTCCACGGCGGGGTCTATCATCGATTGGTTCTGATTTTAGGGAGCCAAATGTAGCAGCTTTGGCATTGGGCTTCTGCTGTATCTTTTTGTCCAACTCGATGATCTGGAGTGCTAGAGCGTCGCCAAAGTATTCAACAAGAATCTCCATATCGTTGGGTCGAATTTCTTTGATACTGACGACATTTGGTTCTTCAGCTGATGGTTGTGTAGTGACATCACCACTGACTGCAGTAACTGAAGTGCTTGGAGCCACAGAATCACTTTTGTTTGTGACATCTGCGAGAGCCGCAATTTCAGCTGTAGCAGAGCCAGTAGAAGTAGGTTGTACTGATTCAGCCTGCTCCGAACCTCCTGCTGTTGGTTGGTTCTCTTTACCAATTTCTGTTGAAACGGCAATGGCATTTGCTGCATCCTGTTCACAACCATTAGTTTCACGTTCTGCTAGAAAAGGGTAGATTGATCTAAGATATCTTTTGGGGTAGTAACTCACTCCGCGCTGGTTGCTCTGGGGAGCTTTAAGATCCCTAAGGTGGACTACCTCGCCTCTCAAGGAAATTTCGTTGACCAGGAAATCCGTATATCTAATGCACCATAATTAACTAGAGTTCAAACTGAAGATAAAGTTACAATATAAATAAAATCGTAAAGCCATATTGGCAATAACTACACTCCGTTTGACTTCAATGAAAAGCGAAATCAAAGTAATTGGACATCTCCAACGGATTCTGAAAGGTACACGCCATAGTTTGTGAAAGGGCAGGTAACAAACAGAATTGTAAAAGCAACCATCTTGAACCGCAGTGACAAACATCGCATTGAATTGGGGGAAGGAAAGACAAATAAACATACCTCTGCTTCAATATACCTTGAAATCCAGGGTTTTTCTTATTGACATAATGAAGAATTCCAGATCGAACTTCTTGAGCATGTTCAGGTCGGGAAGATAATGGAACGTCAGAAACCAAACTTTGGCCTGGAGGATCAATCTCCATTTTGTCGCTTGAATTTGCGATTGGATTTGAACTGGTTGCGATGTTCAATTGAGAAGAAGAAGTTGAAGAGATTGGGGTAGCTAAAGAAGAATCGAGCTTCTGTCTCTTGCGAGGTGACGAACCTTGTTCGTTGTTTTCTAAGCTAGCCATATTTGTCGATAAAATTCACTTGCTAGTCCAAAATCTCGAACTGGAAAGAACCTCAAATTATCAAATTGGGAAGGTTCCGACGGAAGGTGAGGTGAGAAGTGAAGACTGAAAATGAATTGAGATTTTCCTCAAGGTATATTTGCACGTGATTTCGTTTCGCACTAACTACGGCAACCAGCCAATCCCGTAACTTATGCAGGCTATATGCGTACGAGGGAAAAGATGCCAAAAATGATCACCCTAACAAATTCTGTAATAAATCAACTACAAAAAAAATCTATGAGGGTTGGCAGTATTGAACAAATCCTTGAATAATCTATAATTATAATAATATACAATCTTTTAATTCTCTGAATCGAAATGGAACAATTGGATTGTTGAAGAGTTTCGCTAGTGATCAATCCCAATCGTGTTTTTCTTTCACGTATAGACAGGTCAAGATCAAATACAGTCAAATGCTCTGTCAATGTTCAAGATAGTTTCAAAGTTTAAATGCAAATTCTGCCTGAGTAGGTGAGAACAGAATGCTGTTGGAATCAAGATCACAGAGGACCATCAAATCTATCTTGATTCGTCAATTCGTTATATTATATTATGTATCATACTTCGTTATAATCGCAGAAGGGCTCGCTCTTTCTCCCGGCCTCCTTCGACATCCATTCTTATCATGTTCATCACAAAATCGTTTTGGCTCTCCACGTTGTGTGTATTCTCAAACTAAGCATACTTAAGATGGCGTGGTTGGTTATGCTTCGAATGATAGTGGAAGCGGAAATGCATTCTCAAGTCTGTGAGTCGTACAATGTAGCAATTTGTATGCAGGCTGGTCGTAGGACTTCAATTTCGATACAAAAGCCTTTCGAGCCGCTTCTTTTTTACCTTCCGAGGACTTGTATTCTTTGTAAGCAGCTTCACCTTCGCGTGCCTTGATATCATTCTCAATCATCTTCTTATAAATCAAGAAGTTGTCCATCTGCCACGGAGTTGGAATCACATCCAGGTCTTCCATTGTATTTTGTCCTGAGAGTTCCACTAGGGTTATGGTGTTACGATAGATGTCAGGTCCCGCCGAAAGCTTCAAGAGAACTTGGCCCCAACTTTCGATCTTATAGCTATACAAGTCAGCATATATAAATATATCAAGCAATGAGTGTCAGAAATTTACTTACAGGCCATCATATCGAACACCGAGTCTGGGTGCCCTTTCACTTTTCAATTTGTAGCCCCGCAGAAGTCTGATCACATTCCCGATACACATGAGCCGGCGAGCGTGGTATGCGCAGACTCTCGATTCGATGATATGTACCCATTGTCTCTTTCCGGAACCTTTAACTTCAAACCCAGAAAGCATGGAAAATGCAATTGGTTTACCATTCACTCCCCAAGTAAACCCATCCTTTGCATCAGGCAAAATCCCATCCCGAACAGCACAATGGGTGTTAAGAAACCAACTGCTCATTGTCTGGTTAGCATTTTTGCAATGAGAGGTATTTGTGTATTGAAAGGAATTTGCACTTTGAAAAGCATTTGTGTTCTAAAAGGTATTCGTGCTTTGAAAGACATTTGTGTATTGAGAGGAATTTGGTCTTTGAGAGGCTTTTATACATTGAGAGGCTCTTGTACCCTGAGAGAATTTTGTGCATTGAGAAGCTTTTGTGTATTGAAAGGGATTTGTACAATGAGAGGCATTGGGAAACAACGGAAATTTCCAACTTACGCTCCTGGCTCGAAATTCTCATTGGCCTCCTTCTCCGAAAATGTTGCGGCCCTTCTTATTTTCCACGTAGGACCATCTAATTCAGATATCTCAGAAGTGGTCTGTAGCTCAATGTCCCGAAGACAGCCAGATTCCTTCATGAACCTCAATCGCTCATCATCCATAGTGTGAAACCTGTCTCCGAAAGTTTCAATCCACTGTTCGCGAAGCTTTTGCGCTTTCCTCATAATCTGTCTGAATGAAGGTCCTTGGCTGAGAAAATTGTTCCGGACGTGTTGCAAAATCTCCTCGACTATCTTGTCCAGCCGGGCATAAGTGATAACTTCGAATTCGAGAGATGGTCCTTCATCGAGTAGGTCATCGATCAGACTTTCCAGCGTGTGTATCTCATTGATTGGAAATACCGGCTTCCTCAATTCCTTGCGTATAAAGTCTGACTTTTCAAGACGGTAGTCATCTTCGTCCTCCCGTGGAGGATTCGACAACACTGATATTTTCGATACGCCGTACAAAAGAGACTGACCTGAAGAATCCGAAAACGTTGGAGATAATGGCATCAAATTGAAAGGAGAGGTTACAAATTGATGGAGCGGAGCTACCATATTATCAGCGCGATACTCCACCTAGAAGTTAAAAATACAGAAGCATTTTTATCTTACACATATGAGTTCCTGCTGGAACTTGTCTCGATGAAATCTTCTTTCCCGACTTCGAAAGCTGAACAAAACCATAAGTTTGATCGTCCCTTTCCCGAGTCCCATCAAAGCCATCGAGATTCAAGGTCTGCGCCACTGTCGTCGAGCTTTCAGTGTCGATTTCCTGTATCGTGTCTAGATATATCGGTACCTTCGGCAACGTGACCGTGTAATCTGAGAGGGCTTCACTCATCTTAATTGTAATGTTTCCACACTCCTCGGGTGACACATGAAAAGCGTTACAGTATTGACAGATATCGCTCAAGTCTATTCTGGAGTCCTTGCGACAAGCAAGTGTTTCGATGGGACCTGCATGATCGCAACTTCTCGGAAATGGCGAACAGATAGTATGTGAATCCATAACAGGCAGGTTTAGAGAACAGTCACTTCCTCTTGAGATTTGTGTCAGTGTGATTCAAATTTCACCCCGCGAGATAAGTCAAGTAGACGGTGTTTAATTTTCGGGGTTCACATTTTCTTCCGCATTTGAATCGCCATTGAGTAAACATGTTTCTTTCCAAGATTTGTTGATTGATTATTAGATATTTGTATTTTTGAGATATTAGAAGGAAAGATCAACTGAAGAGATTGGTGTTGAAGCAAACGTAAGGCTATAGTTTTTTCCTCGGCTGGATGATAATATCATGAGCAGACAGAACACTCATACATTCATACATTCAATGCAAGGTCCAGAGAATGATCCTCTCAGTTCATCTTCACACCTCTTCTTTGTACAGAGTACACACGTAGAATATCGAAATCCGATGTCTTGAAACGGTAAAATCCAGATTTTGAAAGGATTTTCAAAGTAGAATCACCCCCCTTCCCTTTTTGTCAGAAGGATATCTCCACATTCTCATCTCAAGCGAACAAACATTGGCAGGTTGAAACCAATGATAAAATACTTGATATCATGATTCTTACGTTGTTGCGTGGATGTCTCCGTCAATTCTTCTGCAAGATTTCACGTGGGATATCTTTTGTTTCTTTGTTGCGTCTTTTTCATTGCCAACCCATAATTTCTACCATTATGAAGAGGTCTATCATCCCTACTGTTCGAATCTGCTATGAGATGCAGTTACACACCGTAGATTAGGATTATCGAGGCAATCAACCAGAAATTGGAATGTCAATCCCTCAATGCACGAAGATAGATTATTTTCTGAGTTTCCGAGGGCTTTTGTTGTATTTAGAGGTTAATTCCAACTGTGGTCCAAGGATACGTCAAACGTCAATCGTAAAGCATTAATTTTATGTCATCTCCATCGCCGGATAATGCCTGATACTTCCTCTCCCGCCCAAGAAAATAACAATACCTTGTTGTCATACTAAGCTTTCCTAGTGTATTTCACGAAAGTCGTGATGCTTTGTTACCAAACACAGCGTAGACCACTCGCTTAAGTGGTAAGCTCCTTACTGCTGTCAAGCAAATTCTTTCAGAATGAGAACGGCAAATTCCCTATATATTGGGGGAATCTGTGCTGTTGATTCCTAATGTCGTTCAGATGCAAGGACTTGATCCGGTCCCCGAAAACTACTAAGTGATTACTGTTCTGTCTCCTGCCGGGTTGCGTATCCTTTCTATAAAATTACAATTTATGTATCAAGAAATCAGCAATTGAACTACAGTCTAAGGGAGTATATGGTTGATCGCTTGGCCTTTGATCGAATTCAGTAATCTTTTCATTGGATGGCCAAATATCAAGAGCTATAGTTTTGTAAATGTCTGATTGTAATTGTGTATCATGGAAGCAAGCACCCTGCGGTACAATGCTTATAGTTTATATAATCTAGCTATTGAGATAAACCATATACTCACTCTAACCATGTCATCATTCAACCTTATCATTCTCCTGGCTTCATTCATAATACCTACTTCACTCTGACTTACATCAAGCCCCATCTCTTAATTGAGAGAGTGGTGATGACAGTGAGATGTTTCCAGGGTGATGTTCATCGAATGATGTCATCATTTCGGAAATACGACCGAGATCGAATCTATCAAGACGCAGACAAATTAGCAGGTGTGAGATAAGAGGCTACTTCTGCACTGGAATAACCTTTTCCATCCTGCTTGGTTCTTCACTGGCAATTCATTGACTCGAGCCATCTGATCATATTTCATATCCGTCATTTCCTCTCTGGTGCCATTCATGAGAAGATCGCCAGCTCGGGGGCAGCGCGGCTTACGTGCCGTTACGATGTGTAAGGTGAGGTAGTGATTGCCACTCTCAATCTCCTCAATTTCGACAGGTGACAACCTCTCGCGAAGCTACGTTTAGTTAGCCGAGAGATTCAAAATGGCCAGAAAAAGAATACCTGAGGTATATCGTTCTCGAGCTCAATCTGGTATAGGATGAATTCCTTTAGACGTTGACCGGTAGTTGTAGATCCTCCTACGGGTAGCCGATGAACAATCTCTTTGACATCCCAGAATCTATGTACCGTTAGCTTCTTCTTAAGATGAGACAGATTGCCTATTCATTAGCTTACCCCGCCCCTTCTAGCCAAGACTTTAGATTGGCGGCGGGAATTCCATCACGTGGACGCAATATTGCTTTATGGCGTTCTATGACTCTTTCCATCCAACCGGGGACTGTATCTGCAAGTTCGCTATCGTAAGATGGCCGCTTAAGACGATCGGCAATATTATCAGTCCAGTCAGTTTGGGGTACGCTCCGGTGATATTCTTCACGATTCACAGTAGTATGACCTGCCAATTTTGATCTTGGTCTAGGGTCAACTTCCAAAAATTCCACAACTCCACCAGGTTGTAGAATTCTATTCGCCGTTAGTTGTAGCAGCTAGTAAATCCCAGGAACTCACTCACAAGCGAACATCATCCAAAAAGCTCTTGTAACTCTCAACTCTGTCGAAGACATCTCTTCCACGGATAAAGGAGTATAGATTATGTGGAATAGGATCCGCGTGCGCCAGTAGACAATTGAGGTTTCGAACGTTAAAGGCAGGAGCGGATTGGGTTTGTGAAGAATTGACACGGCTGAAATAATCGGACATGTCCATTTCGGGAGTCGGAACAATAAAATCCCTATGAAATAATTAGCACGTTGATTCCAAACGAGTACAATCATCATACTCAAGTTGAATGTCTCTTTGCACACAAGACCAGTGGTCTGTCTCATCGATTCCCTCCACAGTCCAATCTGGTTGGTCTTCCTTAACTTTGAAACACCAACTCCCATCGCTACACCCAATCTGTGGTTTTTAGTACGATTCCAATGTACAGCAGAAAAGACATACCTCCAAGACCCGAGGTGGTCCTTGGTAAACAGGAACAGACCGAGACTGCAGCTCTCCACTGACCGGTGTAGTTTTCGTCGATGGGCTCGGGTTGTATTCCCAATATGACAATTTTTCCTCAGATGTTAAGTTGTCCTTTTCTGAGCTCAATGAGCTTTGGCCCTTGATCTGTTCGATATCTTTCATTCTCGCTCTGAACTATTGAACGTAAAGTCAGCATGAAATTCCAAACTCCCTATAGCGATGCGAAGTGCAAGCCTCACAATATTCAAGGATGACGGGAAGAACTAACATCATGGTGATATGCTTTTTAATCAATCTCAATATTTCTGTGACTGACAAATCCTGGGTGTTTTGGTTTGAAGATGGCTATGAGCATCAACCAGTTCACCATATTCATTATAAACCATATAAGCTTTGCAGACATCGAACTCCTCACCCTCCTGGAAATCATCACACAAAGAATTTTCCGGTTGCTTCTTGCGAGATGACGATGATTTCATGCCCGAGGTTTCCATTTTCTCGCACGACTGTGTAGAAGTCGTGAAGGAAACAAGAGGAGAGCCTCCGCACGAGGAACGTTTCCGCTGGTGTGAAGGCAGGGCTCTAGAGATTCTTGTCAGCATGGTGTGTTCTGGATTAAGTACACCTTCCATTCGTATCAGTGTTTGCGTGTATCAACTATGCTTTGATCTTGCCATCGTAACTTCCAGTTTAACTTTTGGGTTGAGAACATACTTTGGAAGTTGTGGATCATCGGGTCCATGGCCATCAAAACCTCCCAAGGCAGATATCTTTGGGGATGGAGATGAAGCTCTCAGCTCAATGATTGATACCACACTGTTGGATCTGCCGTGCTTTGGCGACAATTGTGCGATATCATCAATTTCCACCTGGAATACCTTTCCCGTGTGAGAGGTGAAAACCAAGGGCGTGAAATGTTGTTGCTCACATTCATGCTCCATGATTGCGAGATTTGATGAGTTGATAGAGAAAGAAGAGTGACAAAAAGATTCAAGGAGTATGATTTATTAGAGAAACAAACCCACCCATTGAAAGAGGTAGATTTGAAAGGATCTGCCGAGTAAGGTCATTTGGTCATCGATGCTGATGATTGTTGTGGTGAGAATGAAAAGGGAAGTCACGACTGGTGGCCAGATCGAAGTAGATTGGTACTATTTTGTATTCCACAATCCATATTCCACAATCCACCATTTATTCTGGAAATCCATGGCAGACTAAAATTGTATTTGAATGCATCATGGAAGCTTGTGGCAACTAAGGAAATAATAAGACCAAAAGTGACTTATTCTCTTGCTTTACATTCTCTTCCAAATCCTTCTTGAAGGGTCAATGACGAGGTACTTCTCTGTCACGTGCGACTCTCACATCTAAGGTATGCATCGATTGAATCCACCAACCAAGTTTTTAAATTAGTTGTATTGTCTCTATATCCCTCGCAGAGTTTAGATTCGAGAGTTTAGATACGATTACTAAAGTCTCTCATACTGCAACCCTCCGCGTTCACAACCTCGACGAGAATCCCCCAACATGCTGCAAAAACTTCAATTCCATGGGCTTGGCAATCAGATCCTCATCCTTTAACATCTTGCCAAAAGCTTTGAATTCTTCTGAAGATCCATGGGCTGCGGTTGCAGCTTCGTCTTTGTAACTATTGATTCATTCATCAGTTTCATATAATCCACATGTAGCAGATGACGTCAATGAGATCAAACTCACCTCTCAAGCATAATAATTTCTACAGCACCCGTCTTTTTGTTGACTTCTTTCTTAATCTCATACTTCAATGTCCCAGGCTCAGTTGCCTCGATATGTGTAGAGATTTCATTCAGGAGTTCTGCAACCTAGTGAGGTATAGGGGTTAGTTATCACCAGGGCACATGTTGGGGGAGATCAACGCTCACTCTATCTGCTTTTCCCTCCTTGGGAAAGATGATTGCTATCAGATCTATTTGTGACATGATGTATTGGTAATTGAATAAATGTGATGTGGTGTATTCCTCTTGCTGATAGTGAGGTTCATATCTCCGTATGTTCGGTTGTAGACCCCTCTCATTCGGATGTGTTCCAAGGATTATTCAACCTCGGCATTTTTGAAGTCAGCCAATCATAGTGGAGTTATGGGTGCCCTTAATATGATACCAAGATGGCTATAAAAATGGGTTTGATGGTGGCGATGAGATTACCAACAAGGTGATGTATATTGAATCATAATTTAGGTTATTGTTGATGTACTATGATATTAACATTGTACTTATATTGAAGCCAAAACATGATATTCAAAGTGATAAAGGGGGGAGGGAGGGGGAACAATCTTGCTAGCGAGGCTCTTTCTGGTCCCCAAGAACCCTGGCATTGATAAGATTGGGGGGTTCGAGGGGGTTTGTAAGTATGCGCGCATTTTTTCATAGAACGAGCCTTAAATCTTGTGCCAAATATCCAGGTATACAAGATCGAGACCTAATGAGAAGTCGGTAAATTCGATTATCACTAGATCACTCATCCAATTTCCACTTTCCACTTTCCAACTACGGCATCGCCATGATAGAATTCAAGCACATGATGTTATGCCATAAGAGATTCAAATATAGATAAATGTATAGATAGATTGGTAGGTCGGTGGATAACTAAGAATATGTAAGTAGTACAATTGGAACGAGAAGCCTTCAACAGTTGCTACTCATTCGCATACGCAAATTGCATCCCCTTCATCCGCTCAGTTTCGCTCACTCTCGATGCTTCCCAAAACCATTTCTCCTATACCCAAAAAAAGAAGCCGCTTCGCCGAACCCGATTCAAGAGGAAGAAAAACATGGCGACGCCGGTAAATGCAGATGATTGTAGATTGCGAGGTGAAGGGAGGTGGTTGATACAAAGGGAAAGTATAGGTAGATGGATGGTATGATGATAAAACTATGGTGTAGATCTTTCTCATATCTGGTAGAATTTCATGTAATAGCGTAATCGTCTCGTATCGTCAGGGCTCAAGGTCGTTGTGTGTAATATATCATCATGGTGTGCTTTGGCTTTTTTTTTTCTCGTCGCCAAGTAGATTTGGTCCACATTGGTTTGCTATTCCATCCTCTGATATCGGATAGACTTTGCGATAATAACGTCGTAGAATGATTCATGAAGTTAGATCACCAGCCCCATACGGTGGCTAGGAAGTGTGCCATGTTCACACGTTTGCCTCGCATCTCGACCATCCATGGATGTTCTAACATTCGCCAAGGTGAGGCACGACGAGTAGGGTCTTTCTCGAGACTAATTTGAAGTTAGTATGACTTTTTCCACCCAAATGAACTAGGACTGAACATACCAACACTCGATAAAGTATTTGAAGCTGTCACTCCATTTGATGCCGGCATCGGGCTCGTCCTTCAATTTTGGAATAGGTTGTCGAACGATGTATGTTAAAAGGTCGATCAATCCAGCACGAGGTTGCATTTCCGATCCATCTGCTGGGAATGGGAAGCGATGTTGGGCTACTTCCAAAAGTGTTACACCAGTTGACCAGACATCGGAAGTGATGGTGTATGATTGACCCGTAATACGTTCAGGCGCCATGTAGTATGATGTTCCAATGAAGGTATTTGCATCACCCTTTGTACCGAACTCACCACTTACCCCAAAATCACATAGTTTTACTTGACCATCGCGACACAGGAGAATGTTGGAAGGTTTGATATCTCGGTGAATGATCTTCTTCCCATGGAGGTAGGTCAAACCGTTTAGGACACCTTCGGCAACCTTTCCGAGGACCTTCTCACCAGTGCGACCACCAAGTTTCTTTACTTCACGATAGATTGAGTCGAGAGAACCACCTTCGCAAAATTCCATAGCAATGGAAATGGTAGCCGTCGATGGTTCTACGAAAGCTCCGTAGTAGCGACAGATGTGTTCGTTAGCACAACCCTTGTTGAAACCCAATTCACGGACAATCTGTTTCTTGACATCAGGATCGGGATTTGTGGTGATGATCTAAGAGAGTCAGTAAGCGGCGTAGAAGATATTGTGAGGCATAACAAATTACCTTTAACGCAAAGACGGTCTTTCCACCCTTCAGCATACATCGAGTTACTGCACCTCCTGCTCCCTCTCCCAAGCTTCCGAGTTCCTCAATCCTCTTCTCCATACTTGCTATCCGCCATCCATCGTCATCTAAATCTTCGACATCTAATGTTCTCCCTTTTTCTAAGCTAAGTTTGTCGAATGCTTCAAGTCCGTTCATGCTGCCATCCCGCTCCATGCCCACACCTCCCTCGCTCCTCTCCGAATATAATGAGCCTACAGCTGATGACGGATCGGGTGTACCTTGCGGCTTGCTCAAACCATATTGCGATGCTAATGAGAATGCAGAATACTGGGAACCTGCAGATGTTGGACCACTTCCCTTCCCATCCATCGGCCCAAAGCTACCTGATCTTGAATGTGCTGCACTACTTTCGCTTCCTCCACTTGCAGATTGTCCTGGTGCAACTGCACCCCTTCCAGATTGTTCATATGGCGTAGCATTACTTCCCATAGGAGTGGCTAGTTGTAATCGAGGCAATGCCGGTCGCGCAGGCATCGAGCCAGGCATTTGAAGTGTGAGACCTTTTGTTGCAGGAGCATTGACGGGCTTAGCATTAGGAGAAGGTGGTATGGCCAGGCCCAACCTAGGTGTCCTTGCGCCGCCATTTTGTCGACTACCTGGAATTGGAGGGCGTAACAATGGAGCTGGAGAAGACATGTTGGGTAATGGGTTGAGGGAGAGATTGCTCGAGGTCTTCGAATCGGTGGTGTGATCTTCGTATTGTCTACTCATAGTACACACAGAATAGTCGAAAGGTTGCGGCGTAAAAATGAAACGGACACGGCAGGATTCGAAGTCGTTGCCGTTGTCTTAAGTTCCGAATCTCGGGTCACACCGTTGCCGGTGTTCTTTATGTTATTGCACTGATCTTGCATCGGCATGCAGTCCACCGCTGCAAGAGACTGTTGCTGCAAATGAGGAAATGCTTTTATATGGTCGAAATGAGTCCGAGGTCCGTCTTGTGACTGATCCCAATTCTCAAAAAGTTGGCTAGGTTGGATGTTGGATAAATTGAGTGAATAGTAGGCAGAGAAAGGTTTGTTATGTAAAAGGATTTTTGTGACAACTCTTGTAAGGATGGCAAGGTAATTTGTTCCAACTTCTAGTTCCAGTTTCCAATGTTGGGTAGGTACTCGTAATAATCTGCGGGTATTCAAACCGAGACTCGTTTCCGTTTCAAAGCTTATCGTCACGAAGTGTGGGTCGATAAAATAGTAAATTGAGGGTATGGTTCTTGGGAGGGATTTGGCGGAAAGAGGGGAAAAGGATATGTGATAATCCTTTGTATGGTAATATTTGAAACAATTGGAGAGGATCTTCTTTCTAATCGGAAGATATATAAAAGTCGGTATAATATATAAATAATAAGAATCCAATAACAAGTAGGTATCGATCACAACATGCACAAACAATGTTGTGTTTCTTTTCTTTAACAATAAGAAGTGAATGAACTGATGGTGGAAGAAGAAATAGCAATGGGTGCAGGTGGTAAAAGAATGTTTTAAAGGGAAGATTTGATTCCCTTGAATCGAAATGGGATTGGATGGAAAAGCCCGCCGTGCCCGCATACACGTTAAAAAGCTGCAAGGGAATGCAATATTGGGGTCGATGCGCGTACGACAAGAGTTTATATTTAATCCTTGTAAAAGACAGAAGACAGTTGGATCTTTTTGGAGAGAGAGGGGGGGAGAGGGGGGTGAGCGAGCAAGGAGGGAGGGAGCGAAGGAGACAGGGAGAGAAGGTTATAGATGGAGTAGATCAATAAAATATTATCATGAGCATTGCATTGTCAGAAATGGTAGCCGAAAAGGAACAAACAAACAACAACAACGGACGAGAGCGATGAGGATTGAAAGAATTATTGTGACCGGATGAGACCGATCTGGTGGATTGGATTTACCAAGGTAGGAGGCATGCGAAACTACGAGTACAGAGTAGAGAGTAGAGAGGCTCAAAAGGTAGAGAGAGTGCAATGGAGATCCAAGAAACTACCGGGCATTCCTTCAACTAACCAACCCAACCAACCGCCCTGAATGTTTCTATTTAAAAAAAGATCTCTTCTTTTCTTTTGCAAATCATTGTTACCAATCTATACTACTCAATGCCTGTTTGTTTTTCACTCCTTACCTCGTCGCTTCATCAGTACTACTGCACAATCTAACGAGTTAGGACAGAACGTAACATGAATTCTTTTTACAGCATCCCGGGGATTGGCTATCGATCAAAATAGCACGAGCTACGGATCTACTCCAGTTCCAGGGACTTTTGAGTCTTGTCTCTTAACGGCTCATCGGCTATCCTATGTAAATTAGTCCAACCTTGTTCGCTTGGGTAGCATATATATATATACATCCAGCACAGCGCCAAACTAATTGTAGATTGCTATGGAGACAGCTGCATTTGGCTACTCTTCCCGAAAAGCATGAAAAGGCAAGTCGGATATTCGGTGGATGATGCTCGAAAAGCTGTCGTCGTCGCTGGCATCGTCGTCTACCTTCATCAATCAATTAGAGGTGCTTGCTTACCTTCGAGTGCATCGGTGTTTCATAGCGAATTGGACAATTAGGGTTCAGCCATATATATTTTTCTCTTCGTAACAATCCCTCTTTCGTAGCTGAATTCTACTCGGTATACTCCGTGCAACCCAATCACTGGTATAGATCATGGGGGGCGTAAGAATAAAGTGCAGTAATAAAGGTATGAATGAGGAGAGGTAAGATGATGGTGGTCAGAGAAATGCAGTCATACAGAGAGCACCGATTTTCAGAAGCACTCTCATGTATCTATTTGCATATTAGATTAACATCAAGAGTATTTTCGGTACCGGACATATGCAATGAAGAAGCTCTGCAAGTCGCTTCGTATATTCATCAAAAGGAGTACATACTTCGTAATTCTCCATTACTATCTCGCTTCTCATTATTCAATGTGATCAGATAATGGATACCTAGTAATTGAATAGCTGTACATGTTGACTTATTGGATTTTTCTGAGCCAAGTAACTCATTTAAACCAATTCATAGGCTGTCAATGTTCTGTTTACGGAGTAGTTGAACCGTATGTAGTAAGCCGCCCAAACTGCCGGTTCCTGGAATTCCCCTTCCCCATATCTCCTTGTCTGGCACGAGATACAGCACTTCGTATATGAGAAGATCATAGCTGGCTCAAGAGACGGAAGTCAACATCAATCTAATTGTAACTAAAGAAAGTATCGCTTTCTTTGTTTCTCTGATCACTCACAAGATCAATTCTTCAAGAATGAAAAGGATAACCGAGCTATTTTTATAGAGAATCTTGCATGAGTGATTCTATTTCCATTTCTATGCAGAATTGAGATTATTGATGCTTGTACTCGTAGACGATTGGTAATTCGTAGAACAAGACCATGAACTTACGAGTATCTGCCTATTCGTAGGAGAAAAAACAGGCGGAATTTGACAATTCAAATTTTCATTGAAATCCTTTAACTTAATTGAATAAAAAATAATTTATAAATGATTTATATAAATTCAAGGAAATCAAAAGAAGTATCAGCTTTTTATTGTTCAGATTATATTTCGAAATTTTATTTTATATAATATTGAAGGGAAATAATTGAATTATAAAGAATATTTTATAAATGGTCGAATGCCGCCTGTTTTTTCTCCTACGAATAGTCTGCCCATGTAAATATGAATCCAGATGATCCTATTGGCTGAACTACTTGTCTCAATCCAGAAACTTTGAGAAAGGCGATGAACCCCGCCAAGCTTTTTAGCGCGCGCGAATTTGGCAGGTACCATAGTACAGTCAGCAAATGGTAGTGAGCGAGCCATGGAATAAGGGAAAAAAAATAATTTCCTCTGATTTTTTCAAATCACCAAAAACGACGTGGACCTCCCAAAGATGCCTTCCAAAAAATCCATACAAGGATCCAAGACCGTTGATCAAGTTTCAATTGAAGCGCCCGGATTATCCCCACGATCAAATCACAATTCCTCATCCGATGACGAACAAGATGAACAGGATGATATTTCGCAATCCGGTGTGGGTTCAGATTCAGATTCAGATTCTTTAGACAGTCAAGCTTCGCGGAAACGGCGAAAAACATCCCAGGAGCCAACGCAAAAAGATATCCCCTTGATTGCTACCACATCTGTCCCTTCGCGGGTGAAGGTTAAATCGCAAAAGAATTCTCTCGATGCCAAAAATGTTAGCAATGGCGCAATATTGGCTCCTACAGATGCGCAAACCACTTTTGCGGCCTTAGATGTGAAGCCATGGTTGGTGGGATCGCTGGGATCTATGGCTATCAAGCGGCCTACAGGAATTCAAAAGGGCTGCATACCAGAAATATTAAAGGGAAGAGACTGTATAGGAGGTAGTCGCACAGGTTCTGGAAAAACAGTGGCATTTGCTGTCCCAATCCTACAAAAATGGGCTGAAGATCCTTTCGGGATCTTTGCTTTAGTGCTTACTCCCACGAGGTAAGACCTTGCCGTGTTAAACATGGTATCATCTGGCTGACATCACTTTCTCAGAGAATTGGCATTACAAATTTACGAGCAATTCAAAGCGATCTCATCTCCTCAATCTCTCAAGGCTGTCCTGATAACGGGAGGCTCGGACATGCGGCCCCAGGCAACGGCCCTTGCTCAACGACCACATATTGTTATCGCAACCCCTGGTAGATTGGCAGATCATATTCGAACCTCGGGCGAAGACACGATTGGTGCTTTACGTAGGGTGCGCATGGTGGTTCTTGATGAAGCGGATCGATTACTTGCATCCGGTAGCGCAGGAAGTATGCTACCAGATGTCGAAGAATGTCTATCTATCCTTCCACCTCCCGCCAAACGACAAACTTTATTGTTCACGGCTACAGTCACTCCAGAAGTGCGAGCTTTGAAGGATATGCCTCGCACACCAGGAAAACTTCCGGTTTTTGTTTGCGAAGTGGATACACAGGCTTTGGCGATTCCACCTTCCCTCAATCAAATGCATCTGCAGGTACCGGTAACACATAGAGAGCACTATCTGCACATGTTCCTACTTACTGAAAAAAACCTACCAAAATCCATCGTTATCTTTTGCAATCGAACCGCTACTGCCGATTACCTTACCCACTTATTGCGACTTCTAGATCATCGAGTTACGGCCCTCCATTCTAAACTTCCACAAAGACAAAGAATTGATAATTTGGGTCGATTCCGTGCCTCTGCGGCCAGAATTCTAGTCGCGACTGATGTGGCTGCTCGTGGTCTTGATATTCCAGAGGTTGGTCTAGTAATCAATTACGATATCCCTAGAGATCCAGATGATTATATTCACCGAGTTGGACGTACAGCCAGAGCTGGAAGGAAAGGAGAAGCTGTTTCATTCGTAGGCCAAAGGGATGTACAGTTGATACAGGCCATTGAGAGCAGAGTAGGAAGACAAATGGAAGCTTGGGCCGAGGATGGCGTAAACCTGGAAACGAGAGTAATCAGAGAATCGCTGAAGTTGGTAGGAGAGAAGAAACGTGAAGCTATGTTAGAAATTGAGGAAGGAAGGGAAGTTGGTGGAAAGCGAAAGAGGGGCATGAAAAAGCTGAATTGAATTCAAAGAGAGCAATGATACCCAAATATGAATTTTTTTTTATACCCGCCAGAAAATCAACGTACGGATGGTTTAGCGGAAGGTTTTTGTATACTGGACATGTTGTTTCCTATGCTAGCCTTTGTGCGTCATTCAATTTATTCGCGTTATCTAAACTATTCCTATTCTCATTGTTCATCCTTGTTTTATTGTTTATCCTTCTCTTATTATTTGTTCTACTCTTGTTGTTCAATGACTATTGGAGGTTACATTGCAGCCGCCATTCCGCTCGGATGCCAGCTGCAGCTCATGCAACTAACTGTATGCAGTAGGATCGATCCTGGTGATGTTGCATATCGATGCGGGGGGGTTCAGCTGAAGAGTTGTTTAGCTCATCGCTGGTCTTTCTTGAACAAATCTTGTTTCGTTTCTTCTCAACTCATTAATCTTGTCTCTCAAAAACCCAACAAAGTTTATCTCAAAATGTCCTCCTCGACTATTTCGCAGAAAAATTTGGCTGATACTTTATCTATTGCCGAGAAACTGGATGTTGTGCTAGCATACACGAGTATCTGTATGCAACCCCTTCATTTTCTCCAATGCTTCCTTTCTTATGTACCAAATCATTGCAAACTTGGACTAATTAGAGAAACCCGAAATAGTAGGAAACACATTCTTTAGTCTTCTGACCGGTATATGGCGTACGAGAAATGCGAAGAGGGGAAGTTATAAGAGATATGTCCTTCTTACAGCTGTTAGGACCATGTGTAGGAGAATGAGTCCTAGGCAAATTTTGTAAGTTGTCTTTGAAACTGGCTGGGGAAATTGCGGACTTGCTTGAGGTGTTCACTGGAATATCTTGTGTTTAGTTCTTCAATGGCCTTTATTCCAATTCGCTATCGAGTTGCCATAATGAATAGCGAAGGTAGAAGCTTGGCATCAAATGCTAATTAATAAGATATGTCAATCCAAACACCGATCATGCATATCAAACCGTCTGCAAGCAGCGGGATGTAGAGCCCTTGAGCGAGACTTTGGAGGATGGAACGCAGGCGCACTGGATAGGCAAAAAAGGAGCGAAGAAAATAATTCTTAATTTCCATGGTTCGTCCAAAGTTCCTCTCATTGTATCGCGTACAAGGTCTGAATTGTTTGTGTCTATTAGGGGGTGGGTTTGCACTTCCTGCAAGCCCCGACGCCGTCGAATATATGTTTAGGCTTGTGGATGGTGCGGAGAAAGAGGGAAAGAGTTTGGCGGTATTGTTCCTATCTTATGGTATGCTATTTTATCTTATATCTGCATGTAATTTGAGTATTGATATGTGAATACTGATGATTGCATATAGATCTTTCCCGAGTAGGGTCTATCCTCGGCAATTGGAACAAGCTGCCGCGTTGCTGAATCATGTCGTTCAAACTTTGAAGTAAGTTTACCTTTTAATTTTCTGAAAGTGGGTGTCCAATAGTCCGGACTGCATCCCAAAAACCAAAGCTTTAGGAATATTCAATCCCCTTTAAGCATTGAAATCGTTTTGATTATCAAATTGATTTGAAATGATGAATCTGTATATCGATGATAGTATTTTCAGAATCTTAAAGCTAGAATCTTAAATGAATTGTAGTCCAGATTATTGGAAAAGCTCAAGTCACATTATCACAAGCTCCCAAGACTAACTGTCACATCTCCATTCTTCCAGCTACGCTCCATCCTCTATAATCCTAGCCGGCGACTCCGCAGGCGCAAATCTCGTCCTCGCTCTGCTGTCTCACATCATGCATGGCCACCCAAATGAAAGCATTCCTCGAGTTCACCTCTCGGAACCACTGGATGGAGCTGTGCTCTTAGCACCTTGGGTTACATTTGCCACCAGCTCTAAATCCTACGAGAGGAATGAATATAAAGATGTAATTCATCCCTCCGCTATCAAAATTGTAAGTTTCCGTTTTCCAATTGCACTTCCTTCATATTTCTTTAACCAAATCTCAACCTCACTGTTCAATTAATTCCGTTATTACTCGGCTAACCTAAACTCATCAATCATAAGTGGTCAAGTGATTATCAGGCTTCTGCTCCATCAGATAACTACATTGAACCACTCTACGCTTCCTCATCATGGTGGTCACGCCTTCCCACCGCCGTGTCATCAATTCTAATCGTAGCTGGTGAAGACGAAGTCTTTGTCGACGACGTGAAAGCCTTCGCGGACAACTTGCAAAAAGTAGGAACGGAAACGGGTGGTGTGGAAACTAAGTTGTTCGTGGTGGAGAATGAGTATCATGACCAACCTAATTTTGGGTTTGGAGAGGATTGTCTTGAAAAGAAGGGTAGTCAAGGGTGGGAGATTGGAAATTGGACTTGGGGAAGATGCTAGATGTTGAGATAACAGCGATAAACCGGTTGCAGGAATGGTTATGGCTATGGGAGTGAGGAATGGTATGGGGAAAGTGGAAATTCGAGGCATTTTGCGCAATTCAGCAAAATTAGTTTGGGTCTTTTCCTGGCATAACTATTATAACAATGATTGTCTGACGTTTGCTTCTATTGTACGGATGAGATTAAGGTCTGCTTTTACTACTAAGAGTCGATTTTTTCTACTTCGAGATACTCGTTGCACCACACCTACACAGCCCAACTTCAAATATTTCTGATTTTATACGCATATTCTATCTATTCCTTGTGATGCGCTTATTGTTATAGGGTTTCAAAGACATCATTTGAATTGGCACATGCTGCATCCTATATTTAATTGTAACACCTTCAGCCGATGGGCGGGAGAATCGAGCTTGCAGAAATCTTTAGTAAGATTACAATCAAGACGATAGGCGCGATGAATCTCCTAGTATCGCATTCATATCCCCTCCTCACATTTGCTATCAATACATATATCCAAATACCCAGCATTATCTTCAACCAATATGTATTCGTTTAGCGGAGTTAGCATAGAGATGGCTTCTGGTGGCTCGGAAGTCGTCGAAGTGACTGGCTTGAATGCGCTAAACAGGGTATTGGCCACAGCCTCACGCGCGTGAGAAGCTGGGATGGTGGGACTGGCCACCCCATCATTTTGCTGTTTTTTTGGGTGGTGGTTATCTTGGGTTTTTGGGGTTTGTTTTTCTTTTTGAGGGGCGGGGGAGGTTGGAGATTGAGCGACGATGAGGTGGTGGACCCACTTGTTTTATGAGGGGAAATGAGTGGGAATTTTGAGAGTGAATGTTGGGCGGTGAATGACGGGGGGAGGATAAATTGGTAGAATTTGATGACTTTCGGATCTAGATTGACACAACATACCTAGGTAGATCGGTGCATGCATGCAGTTTTGTGGAAATGTAACTATAAAATGGAGTATGAGAGATAAGTGTGGATGCGCAAGCTCAATTGATACACTCTAGACTAAACTTAAGAAGACCAACCCTCTTACATCTTCCTTGCCATGATATAGTAATGCATCTCATCATCGGAAGCAATATCTGCACTTGGCCGTGGCGTAAATAAATCACTCTTCGTGTGGATTATCTCAAAACCAGCGGCCTCAATCACGCTTTTCCAACCCTGCTTTGTGAATGCCGTCATGGAAGAACACTTTGATCCCATGAACGTCATTTCAACATTCGTGGCGCACAATCCATCCGCATCATACATCGAAGGTGTTGTTTTGAAGTCTTCGGCGCAGATGGTGCCGATACACAAGAGTCCGTTTGGTTTCAACCAATTGAACATCTTTGAGGCCATTGTCATCATATCTTCGCGAGACAAGCAGAAGAGCGAGAAGATGGTAAAGATGACGTCAAAGTCAGGAGTATTGTTCTGGAATTGGGGGGTATAATCCAACATGTGCGCCTGCGTGAATGAGCCCGTGGGAACGCATTTCATGGATAGATCGACCATGGCGCCGGATAGGTCGAGACCATGAACATTATGACCATGGGCTGCCATCGTGTATGAGACAGGCTTGCCAGTTCCACAGCCAACATCGAGAACTTTTGCATTGTGGGGTAGTTCCAGAAGGGTTCTCTCAATGAATTCTCGGAGACCGATGTCGTGGGAAAAAGCACCCTCATAGGTTCTAGCAAGATGATCGTAGTACTCGACAGAAGGAATTCTCCCTTTCCTGGTGCCAGTGGACATGGGATAGGGGGAGCAGCCTTGGCATTGTCAACAACAGTTGGAAGGAAGTTGGTCTCGTCGATGATAGCTGAAGGAGACATTTGGGTGATAATGTTTTCTGATTATTTCTATGTGTTGGATGTTGGTAGCAACTTAGGATGTTGAAGGATGAGCAGTTGGGTCTGTTTTTATGTGCATTTGTTCTTGATTGATTGTAGTGTAAACTGTAGAGTCAACGAACCGTGTTTGAAAATGTCGAGACCTCGTGCCTTCCTTGTGCGTACAGTAGAATAACAAGGCTTCGCAACTTCCTCGTGCGGTACCCGCTGTCACTTGATTGTACCCCTTTCAAAGGGGATATCGGGAACTTCAAAACCCCTAAACTAGAGTGGTAAGATCAGAAGGGTAGAACACCGGTAGCAACAACGTTTTTCACTTCAAGCTGCCATACCATGATAAATGAAGAGCTCATCAAGCATTGAGACACAGACATAGAACGTGGTGTCCAAGGTCTTTCATGCATTTCGAGTGGTCCAAAAGGAGAAACAATTTACCTGTCTTGTAGCAGTATAGAAAAAACATCAAAATAGGGACATCAAGATGCAACCGACTGAGTTGGACAATACCCCTGAAATTCACCCTCCTAGCTTGTTAGTGAATTGGTTACGATTGTAACCAAGCAGAACAACGAAGCGCAAAAGGTCACATGGTAAGCCTTTCATATGCACGACTCGCAATCATAAATTATAAAACTTGCACAGTGATGATACATCTTGACAGATGAAGTTGTATATTACAAGAAGTGTGGAGGGAATGAAGATAGGGATAGATATCCGCTAAGCTATGACTAGTTTCAAGTCAGATTAGCGCTAGCCCTGAGAGACATGGATCTCACCGACATGAAATGACGATATCTGGCGTGTCGAACATTCTTCTGATGGAATACAATTTTGCGATTACTTCTATTGCTGTTGTGCCATATCGGATGTGCGTGGAAGTACAGGCGTAAACAAGGTTTCTCGGGTACCCTTCAATTTCTAGCAAACTGCATTGCAACTGCATGAAAACAAACACAGATCTACGTTTGCACATAGTAGACTTGATATCATATGATGCCAGTACCATTCGGGGGATTGGAAAGGATGACACGCGTGTGAGATGTAGATTCAGGTTCGTTCTCGTGTTACAAATGCGAGAGATTGCAGTTCTAAAAGTCCATGCAAGTCCGCATATGCTGCCACAACTCTATACTTTGCAGTATGATAGCGATGATATGGAGTGGGTCTGAGCCTCTCAAACAAGGGCATAGAGCTCGGATGAATGCTTCAGGCTGGCAACGACGAAATTTTGGGTATCACGAGACCAAAGTCACCAAAAGGTTGCGGACATTCTGAGTGTTCCACACCTATCTTGATTACGCGAATTCCCAAGTCCGTGGTTCATGGATATTCCGAAGGAAGGGTCTGTATTGTAAAGGTGATACAACCAATGGTTTGATACTGGCCTGGTGACCTTATGCAAATTGAAGGCGGGAGGCAAAAGCTCCGTCATTTGCTGGAAGTGCAACACAGAGCAACAGTGCCATATAACCGTCATCTATTTGTATACTATCAAGCTTCGAGCCGTTAGTTTGTATATTTGTGTGGCTTTGTTATCCATGTAAATGGTACCACACAGTGCTATTCGACAAGCGCTTCATTTTGTTCGTTTATGCGTGTCCATCGCAGAGACAACTTTGCTATATTACTATCTAGAAGCTCGCTACACGATTAGTTTGGCAATGGGAAATTGTTCGTCGGTTGCAGTTAAGGGACGCCGTGTCACTCTCAGCTTTTTCGATGCAGATGTATCGCTGCCTTTCAAAATCTCCCAAATCTCAATTGTCCATGTGCCTTGAAGTCGGTATGTATCTGGAGGGAGACATTGCCGTTCGTACTCGCGCGGTATGCGCATACTGAGAACGACGCCTGCAACCGGAATGCTGGAGTTTACAGCCTAGGTATGCATATGAAGGGTCTTCTTGCTTTCCTGTAAATGATATTCAAGTTCATTGTCAACGTTACTTTCGTTCCAGCCGAAACCCAATCCTTCGACAAAATTGGCTTTTCCTATATTCTTGGGCCACCAATTATTGTTGGTAGTTTGCTCTTTCTATTTGCTATTCAAACTGGTGAGTCTGGTGATTCGAGTCTTGTTATTTTCAGAGCATTTCGTTGCGCATCAAACATGACCCAAGCTTGTTAAGTCGTCGATAGTGTTTCTAGCATATATAAACGCTTGTGGTACTCAGCGCCTTCCTCCACAACCTTTGGATCACCTGATCCTGGTGGAAATTGCGGCGCACGTACCATTCAGTCCCACCTTCTGTTACGCTCGAGGGAGGGAGATCAAACGCGCCAGCTGATGGATACAAACGAAACATCACCAGGATTATGATTGGACACAACTCATCCGATCTATTACGTGCTCGATCTTTGTAATTCCTCATGAGACCTATGCGCTTACACCCGAGCCCCCGGCCTGCTTGAACTGTACCGCTTTAGACCTACACTTCCCCTTTACTTCCATTTCCACCATTCTTGTTCATATCTTGCGCCTGCTCTTGAAGTTATTGCGTTTCTAAATCTACAAATACGACACACAGACTTTTCACTGGTGTTCGATTTTTTAGCGAGTTCTCGTTTCGATGAACCAGCTAGTTTATAGGACTCTACAATGAAGACGCTTCAAGATTTCGATGTTGATGATGCCAAGGTGGAGGAAAGAAGAAGTCTTCTTCCTAAAACCATCAGACGAGTTGAGAACGTAAAGGTTATTAGAGGTTCCCCGAAATGGCCAGGTCTCGTTATTGCTACCATTTTGTTTGTCTGGTGGACGTGGTTCGTCATATCAGATTTAGTTGAGTCTGGGGAACCAATACCTGATAACCATGGGAACAAGTACTATTGAATTTGATGAGGTTTAGAATTTTCGCTCCAGGTTTATGGACCCTCAGTTGTCTGACATATTTACAGATAATACCGAGTGAAAACTTAAATGGTATCCATGCTTGACGAGCCTGGATCGAGGTTCAAATGTGCCAAGACTCACAGTTCCTATGGACTATCATCGACCTCTTAATGAATCGGATGATAATCCTAAAGTACATATTGCGTTAATTCTAATACCTGGGAATCATAATGGAGATCAATTCTCTGAATCACCGTTACTCTTGAATCCAGGTGGCCCCGGAGGTTCTGGTACATTGTTTGGTTTAGGAGCCGGATCATTGATTCAAAACATTGTTGGTGGCGATCAAGATGTGATTGGATTTGATCCTCGAGGTATTGGAGCAACGACACCCACGAGCCGATTGTTTCTTCGTATGGAGGGACATAATGATGGAGTGGAGATGATCAGACACGAGGAGATTACCACATGCTACTCTTCACGTCGCGGGCCAAGCAATAGTCTGGCTAATACGAGTTCACAGCATTGCGACATCTTAACGCACGTGCAAAAGTCTATGGCAAAATTGTGCGCGGAGAAAGGATTCTCTAGAGTGGACAAAGCAGTATTTTCCGACATACGGGAAACACCAAGTGTTGCAAGAGATATGATTAGTATCATAGATTGCGTGGGATGATTGGACCTCGAGTATTAAAAAGAATCGCCATACTCTGATATTACCGATATTGATCTTCCTAATGAAAGAGAGCAGAAAATGAACCCTAAGATGCAAGTCTAAAAACGAAGGGTAAATTAGTGTATTGGGGTTTCAGCTACGGGTATGTATCTTCACCATCTCGTGATAATTACTGAATTCTCTAGACACTTCTTGGGATCTACCTTCGCAGCAATGTTCCCGGATAGAGTAGGCCGACTTGTCCTGGATGGTGTTGTTGATGCTGATCATTATGTTGCTCCTATTGTAAGTTCAACCGGTCCACAACAATCATTTTCTTTTTACTACCTGATCCTAATCCCTGATCTCCAAATTTCATTTTTATGTTTTATAACATGTACTTTTTGGGATCCCGATATAATTTTATACCTCGCTTTTTCTCATTTTGCTTCAAAAGTTATTCCGTGATAAGCGATGCGGACTTCTCAATTTTGCAGTGGCTCGAGAGTCAACGAGATGCAGACAAGGTGTGGTCATCTTTTTTCAAATACTGCCACGAGGCGAAATCTGCGTGTCAATTCTACAGGGAGAACGACAAAGTAACAGATATCGAGGAAAGGTTCGAGTCTTTTATGGAGAGACTGAAAGAGAACCCGATATCTGTTATTTCAAAGGACGTCTTAGCACCCTTTCTCGTGACCTATTCAGACGTCAAATATCAAATTTTCCTGATGCTCTACGCTCCTCTGTACGGATTCCGAGCTGCCGCTGAATTGCTTGATGCCCTGGAACGCAACGGCGAAGATTGGTTTGATTTTATTCCAACACATCCGTCGTACGATCTCGGGCTCGTTTGTAACCATTCCCTGCCAAAGTTGGAGTTATTTCAATGAATGCGCAACGAGTCTTCTTTGCAGTGACAAGAAGTAACCAGTAAGCATATCACTGCACGAATTACTTTTGAAGTTCTAACTTGTTTTATAGCTCAACCACACATACTCTGAGATTGAGAGCATGTTCGAAGACATGGAAGCCCAATCAGTATTTGCGGATGCATGGATGTCGCTCATGATACAATGTTCTGGATATGATATCCAAAGTATTGATCCCCCCATGCGATGGGATGACCATCCAGCACACAGGCAGAAGCCAATCAATAACTGCATTTCCACTGCTTTATATTAGCAACAGCGCAGACCCCGTTACACCATTATTCGCAGGAGTAAAAATGGCCACAAAATTCGTGGACGCGGGGTTCTTTGAACAAGAATCGAAGGAACATTGCACTATAGCTGTGAAATCCAGATGTACCATTGAGAAAGTCAGGGCGTATTTTCGAGAGGGAAAAGTTCCCGATGCTCCAAGACTCAAAGGGAATGGATCAGATTTGCTTGACGGGGAGTGGGAAAAGTGTCCCGCTGATGAATGGCCATGGCACGAATATCAACCAAGTGCTCGTGTAGCAAGCGAGGTAGAGGCAGCAGAATTGGAGCGATTAGATGCATGGGGTGGTATCCGGGAAGCTTTTGCACAAATTGATCTTTGGGTGCGAGGGAGTTAGAAGAGTTTGACATTGCCTTGTGATTTACGATAGCATATATTGATATATTAGCATAGCGGGAGTTAGGAGTTCGGTGAGATAGGCATATAGATGCTGATTGAAGAACGGCTCGTTCTTCGTTTTATTTTATAGAGCTGCCTGGATAACTTTTGCACACTTGAATTCTCAGTGTCTTTCGATCTCAATAACAATTCAGATATTGAAAAGCTATGTGCGGAGTGGATCTGCAACCACTAATCCGAATCTCTTAATTGGTGGAAACCTGATGTAATGTCACGTGTGTATTCAGGGACTGAGGTCGTTGAGGGGTTGTCCATCATCAAGCAATAGGGAAGGAAGAGGTAGGAAAGAAGAACGAACGTCCATTGTATATATTATTCAAATTAGGAACAACTTCTAACTAGGTGCTGTGTTCAAACATGTTTGTACTTCGTAGTCCTGAAGTCATTTTAGAACCTCGCACCAGACCAACTTCATACTCCACTACGGCGACCTCAGATGGCCCAAAAAAATATTTCGAGATGGAACCAAAATATTGTCAGTGGCACCAGTGTCTGTAAATCCCATCCAAAACACTCTTTTTTTTCTTTCTTTCCTCTAATCTCACATTCAAAATGCAGGCCCGGGTTTTGCGAGATCAATTACTCCTTTCTTCCAGACAGCACGATCTGCGCTGCGTCAGGGTTAATGCTGTCAGTACCTTTGCAGCATGCTTTGAGAAGACAAATGGAGCTGCTGTGATCAATGCTGCTCGCTCATATGCTTACCCGCTTTCGAGCGCTCGAAGCCGCATGTTAATATTGGTATGGTTTTCTGTCTCTATATATATGCCACTGGGCGTTTGCTAATTTTTCTACAGGTACAATTGGTCACGTCGATCACGGAAAGGTACATCATATCAATCTCGAAAGCCCCGCAGAGGCAAATAAATGCTAATTGGATCATGATTGTATAGACTACATTGACTGCCGCTATTACCAAGAGGGCAAGCGAGAGAGAGGGAATGGCCAATTTCCTCGAATACGGTGCCATTGACAAGGCTCCCGAAGAGCGAAAGCGTGGTATCACCATCTCGACTGCCCATATCGAATATGCCACTGAAGCCCGCCACTACTCCCACGTCGACTGTCCCGGTCACGCAGATTACATCAAGAACATGATTACTGGAGCTGCCAACATGGACGGAGCTGTAATTGTCGTTGCTGCTTCTGACGGACAAATGCCTCAAACCCGTGAGCATCTTTTGCTTGCCCGTCAAGTCGGTGTTCAAAAGATTGTCGTTTTCGTCAACAAGGTCGATGCTCTTGAGGACCCTGAGATGTTGGAGTTGGTCGAGATGGAGATGCGTGATCTCCTTAGCACATACGGATTCGAAGGAGAAGAGACACCTATCATTCTTGGATCCGCCCTTTGCGCACTCGAGGGCCGCAGACCAGAAATTGGAACCGAGAAGATCGATGAGTTGATGAACGCAGTTGATACTTGGATCCCAACCCCACAACGTGACCTCGACAAGCCTTTCCTCATGTCCGTTGAGGATGTTTTCTCCATCCCAGGTCGTGGAACTGTTGCCTCTGGTCGTGTCGAGCGTGGTGTCCTCAAGAAGGATTCCGAAGTCGAGATTGTTGGAAAGGGAGACCAAGTCATCAAGACTAAGGTCACCGATATCGAGACTTTCAAGAAGTCCTGCGACGAATCTCGTGCAGGAGACAACTCCGGTCTTTTGCTCCGTGGTATCAAGCGTGAAGATGTCCGACGTGGAATGGTCATTTCCGCTCCAGGACACACCAAGGCCCACACCAAATTCCTCGTCTCCATGTACGTTCTCACCAAGGAAGAAGGAGGACGCCACACTGGTTTCCACCAAAACTACCGCCCACAAATCTTCATCAGAACTGCTGATGAAGCTGCTGCTCTCCACTTCCCCGACGGAACTGAAGACGCCGATTCCAAGATGGTCATGCCAGGTGACAATGTCGAGATGCAATGTGAGATTGAGAAGCCTTGCGCTTTGGACGTTGGTCAGCGTTTCAACATTCGTGAGGGAGGACGAACCGTCGCCACTGGATTGGTTACCAGAATCATCAAGTAAATCATATAATGCATTAAAACAGCAGAGAAGGGCTCGAATGGGATGACGTATAACGTGTATGAAACGGAAGGGAGAAAATACAATGCAACCGCATCGTACAAAATGAACGTCCAATGAAAACGAAAGGGAAAGGTGGAAAAATGGGATGGGAAAGAAAGGAAGATTATGAAGAAATGGATCTTTTATTGTATATTTGAATAGCGAGAAAGGAGTTCGTTTATTCAATGTTACACATGTAAATTTAAAACCCTTTCTTTGTAGATTACAGCAATAGCTGGGTGGCTTTTTAGCGGAAATGAAAGATAGAACTCCTCTCATTTCTGCCTTGGGTGATGGTTTCTTTTGATTCCCTAACAGTCTACTCACAATATCTAACACATGTATAGCACGTCATTTGAGAATGTAAATGATTCGTAAGTAGCTATCTAGCTTGAGAACGGATTCATACTGAACTCCACTATTTAAAATCGACCGCCTTTGCTTCATGTTCGCTCACTTTGTATGCATTGCAAATCATGTATGCAAGCCTCTTTACTTTTGTAAAACCATATACGTAACAATGCCAATATCATTCGTCGCTATCTTCATCACATTCGTCTTCATCGTCATTCATGTCATCAGCATTATTAGTCAAATTTACATCTCCTCCGCTCCGCCAAACAGAATTTAATCTTTTTTCTCTTCTCTCAGTGTTTTCAACTGCGCTTCGAAATCCTTCTCTACCCATTCAAAATAGGTTCTCCATGTCTGATGTTGGCTGCTTTGCGCACCCATGCCTGTGCTCGCTGATGGAATCCGAGCATGCAGATTCAGCGTTGAGCGGAGGGTACTCTTGGCTGCATCATCCTGTTTCTCGATTTCTTGCTTGACGGCTGATTCCTTCAATTTGACCGACAGAGTAACGCGGAAGCAATCTGCAATCGCGTCGAGGCGTCGAGCTGTCTCATCAGGATCCAGGATGACCAACTTATTCAACATCAGATTGCAAAGAGATCGGATGTCGTGCTCATCTTTCAAACCGGCGATAATACGATCGTAAAAATCAAGAATGTTTATACGTGAGAATGCGGTCTCCATAAGAGCATATAACGTTTCATATGCACTCTACAACCTATATTAGCGATGTATCACAGAAGTTATAAGCAGTGTCTTACCTTTCGGACCTCTAGACCATCATCAACCTTGTGTTTGAAAGGTCCCATCATTACCTCATGAATCAACTCTTCCTTTATTACTGATTCACTCATAACAAATGGAAGTAACTGGTTGAGATTGGGGTTGATGAGATCTGCTTTGTTGTGCGCAGCAGCGTTCAATGTAGTCAGTGCCAACCGACGGTTCTCCAACTCAGTATCAGTCAGCATGACCTTCAGCATATCAATCAACAGGACCTTCAGCACTGAATCAAGTGAGTCATAACTAGCAGATAAGGTATAACGGATTGCTTGAATAACCATAGCTCGAATTGAAGCATTTGGATCGGAGAGATAGCCCTGTTAAAATCATTAGCGGATGCAAATTCACATCTTTCCAATCGCAACAAACCTTCAATTGTGGCATGAATGCCTTAGGATCAATCATTGTCAAACGACCAATGCACTCTGCGCCAACAGCCTTGTTGTCCTCAGCTTGCGAAGCGGCAAGTCATCTTTCCCAGAGAGTAGTAGTGTGCTGGGTGATGGCAGTGGGGTTGTTGCCAGCTTGCTGAAGTATTTCCTTGATAGAATGTAGAAGTAAAAATTCATCTCCACCTTTAATCATTTTTAATATCTCTGGAAGATACAAAGATGTGTCTCCAGCTCCTGCGCGTCCTAATGCGATTGCTGCAGCAAGAGGAACTTTGTCCATAAGAGGATTGAATGAGCTGTGAAGGTTGATGGATTCAATGGCGATTTTGCACCCAACTGTAATCCAGCTTCTCCGAGAACAGCCAAGGCTAAGCATTGTCTAGCTTCATCCGAGGAGGGATTTTGTACTTCGCTTAAGAAATTGTCAAGTGAGACTCCGACTGAGGATCCTCCAAATACCAAAAGCGTGCCAATAGCTTTTCCTACGACTGTAGAGTCTCCGCGAGTACTAACATATCTTAATAAACCAGACATCAAAGGTTGGCCAACTCCTTGTTTGCCGATATTGGCTACCAAAAGAAGGACAGCGTCAAGTACAGCGCCACTTAATGATGAAGTCAATAAGCCGCAAAGAGCAAGGTTTAACTGTCAGTAACAACAAGCTTGCTTCATCATTACCAAAGTAGCCAGTACTAAAAGCGCCGGACCTAGAAGGTGAAGATCAACTGTGGTTAAAAGCGGAAGAAGCGCGTCAATAAGGCCTTGAACAGTCGGAGCGTCGAGGGAATTTCTGGCTGCCGGAGAAACGATGAGATTCTTAAGGGCTCCAAGACTTGCACCGCGAAGCGATCTGTTGGCCTTTCGGAGTTGTGCTGCAAGCTCTAGAGAAACATCTCGAATCCATGGTGGCTGCAGTTGGCCTTTAGTGGTTGGACCAACCTCAATTGAACCGACAGCAATAGTATCAATAGCTCTTACAGCAGCGAGGCGAGTGGTTTCATTCTTTAGTCTATCACTGAGCAGAGTGAGAGCAGAACTTCGGTTAGTTTCTGAGAGAAGTGATAAGCCCTCGGGACTTGCTGTGCAGCAAGCATAATACCTAGAGCATGTATAGCACGTTGACGAACTTTCAACATCTGCATCGGTAGCGGATACGCGATCGACTATAACTTGATATAATTTCAAATATATCTCTTGCTGAGTTGGACTTCGCCGGCTTCGCTCTCGGAGGTGTCAAAGCCTTTACGAGTTGTTCGCTGTACCGACAGCCTCACCAGAATCTTGTAAAAACCTATCATGTACAGCTGATGCTACACATGGAATGATTTTAGGTAGGTGTGGCTGTAAAACGCTCGAAGAATGAGTTTGTGCAACATTAACCCAATAACTTGAGAGCAGCAATTCGCAGAGTATGTGCAGTGGCCGAGGCAGCACCGCCACTAGTAGTTGCGGTAGACGATGAAACCTCCCGATGTTTTGATAGAATCTATGATAGGATCCACAAAGCTGAGCCAAAGTATTCTGAGAGCCTCCCACCTGAACTGAAACCATTCCATCCAAAAGATTGATGAGAGCTTGCTTCGTTGGAATGGGGCTTGTCTTCAGTAATCTCACAACAGTCTTTACAATCACAGGGGTCAATCTTGCCAGGTCTGTTCGGGGACCTGAAGCAGGGAGCGGCTCAATGGTTGGTGATGTCAGACCAGCAGATCTTGAAATAAAAGATTTAGTATCAAAAGTGGCTGACCCAGCACTCTCTCTTCTGCGCTTTCGACTTGGGGGCGCTTGATTTGCATGGCTTAAAGACTCATCTGGCGAAAAGTTGACTAGGACACCCTCCCCAGTTTTCCCAATTAGACATGCCATGGTAGCAATAACTTCAAGTCGAACATTCTCTTCTCGTTCATTGAACCTTTGAATAAGAGTTGGAGCCACTTGGGCGTATAGAGTTCCATCCTCGAGTAGGTCACCACTACCTCTAGTTGAGATCAAGGTATACAGAGTTTTCGCAGCACATCTTCGAACCTTCCAACTTGCGTCGTCATCATCGTCGTCAAATCCAGCGTCTGCCTCAAAATCATCGTCATCGTCAAAATCGGCCATGTCATCTTCATCAGATTGAGTTCCTCCATTTCGTCGTCATCGTCGTCGTTATAATTTGGATCATACTTCAAAATCTGAGACTGCTGCTGAGATCGTTTCTCTGTATGAATTCGCATTCTTGCACCACAAGATGCTAGAAAGCCGTCCAGTGCCACGAGTGCAGATTCCCTCACAATCGTCCATCTCAGGGTTACTTTCACCATCTTCCGCGGAGTTCTCAAGCTGATCTTGAAGTTCTTGCTCGCTCAGCGCAGAAAGCACGAATGGCGCAAGAGTTTTCAAGTAAGGTCCAAACCTCAAGGGTATGGATCGAGCCATCGATCCGAGAATGGTAATGTATAAACGTCGTTGTACAGGGGTCAGGTGCGGATTACGAAGACACTCGATGATATGAGATACAAAGCCACTGAGATCGGAATCCTCAAATACATAGCAAGTAGAGACACTCAACAACAGCCCGCTTCTTGACGACAGAACTAAGCTCTCTCGGTCTCTAAGATACCGACACTAACAAACTTTGTAGTGCTTCGACTTCTGTGTGCTGCAAAGAGGGCCGAAGCATCTTGCAACTTCTATCAAACATCACAGCATCCGAGTCAATTTCGGTATTTGTGGAAGGATCAAGCATTCCTGGTGGGGGATTGGAAGGTTCTGGCTCTTGTTTTGGTTTTTTGAGCAACGATACGTCCGACTAATCTTGGGATCAAAACTCTGCTAATAGCAGAATATGCTTGCGAGCACATCCTTTGGAGGGGGTGACACACTGATCGGTCTTGGTAAAGTGATGACAACCGTTCGCAGAGCCATAGCAGGTATTGAGTTGTCAACCGAATGTTCAGTTGTTAATGTCGAAAGTCTCTCAATCAACGGAGCGATTATACTGCTGGGTAACTTTGCAACAAGGGGAGCAAGGCTATTTCAAGTCAATTGAGTTCCACTTAGATCGAGGGATGTTGGCAGACTAACCATTTAATGGCCAAATTTTGTACCTCTCCATTTTGATCATCCAACGTTCTGATAATACCATCCACAGTCTTTGCCGCTGTATTGTAATCGTGGTGAAGGAAATCCGGTTTTCCACTCTCCAACACCTGGAAAAGATCATTCAATGACATGAATCTATAATCTGGATCCGCATCGTGAAGTTTTGGCAACAGAGATGCAACTGTTGATGAAGTCGGATTGACGGTTATTGAGCTGGAAGCCATCTTCACTATGGACCGGCAGGCCTAATGATGATAGCTAGAAGGAGAAATGTGTGTTGTGACAATTTCAAACTACCATTTGTATTTTGGAGAAACTGGTAGTTATTTGTTGTTGTTTTTTTCTAGTTTAGATACGGGCGTGAATGGGAGGAGCCTTGAGGAGGTCGAGCTAAGTTAGCTATTAGTTTTGGATGTTATTTTGAGATTGGATTTCCAAGATCCATAAGCAAGCAAGAAAGTGTTAGGGAATGGGAAATTGCGAACTTACCTGGTGAGATAGTGTATTGAGAAAGGGTTGTATGAAGTCGTAAAGACAGTGACAATCCGGAGTATATGTTGATTTTGTTTGTAAAGTTGATAGATAATTATTAAAGTACTACTAGGTAGGTAGTGTAGTATGGCTTATGGGTCCTTGAGGTGACGGAAGAAGTAGTGGGGGGTTGAGCTAGTACGTACAGTATTCCGTACAGCAGGTGTCTGTTGATTTGATACCTAGACTCTAGCACGTGCCTAGGTAGGTAATTTGGCGGTTCTAGCCGTGACTCGCCGTGGGAAAGTGGGAGATCGGCTTAGTCATTCCCCACAATTATTGCCTCAGGTTATTACATAAAATAGTGTGGAAGCTCCACCTGCACCAAGCTTTGCTCCAGAGAAGCTCCAATTAGACTCAGCTGGCGTGATCTTTCGCCCAACTACTAATCTGCCAGGATTTTTTCGGAATCTCAATTCACTCCATAATATTGTATTACCTCATAAAGTACCTACCTACATTTCCTATCCTTCCTCCCACATATCAATTGATATATACAGCTATTTTCTCAAGCTTTAACTATCATTAAAATTGTTACTGATAACGTTTTGTTAGATTACTCACACCCGCCCTTCAATCTTACCCCTCCGATAATGGCATTCTCACGAGCAGCTATTGTGCGCAACTTGCGCAACATCCGGGCACGTCCTCAATTCAACCAAGTCGCTAGAAGAGCTTATGCCAGTGGAGGTCATGGACATGCAAAGTCCGGTGGTGATGCCGTCTGGTATGTTTTACTTTGTTCTTACTGACCTTAATAGAAAGAATTCGTGAGCTAATACGTCATTAATTTAGGGCTGCCGGAGCAGTAGCTGTTACCGTTCCATCATGTTGGTTCCTGATCTCAAACAAACCAGAACCTGCTCACGGTCATGGAGGACACGGGGATAGCCATGCACATGAAGAGCATGAGGAGGAGAAGGAAGAGGAGGTAGAAGAGAAAGAAGAAGACAAGCCAGCCGAGTCTGAAGAGAAGACTGAAGAGACGACCGAGGAAAAGACCGAGGACAAGGAAGAGCCAAAGGAGTCCGAGAAGACCCAAGACTCCGACAGTGATGACGAGGCTAAGGAACAAGACACACCAGCTACTTCCGATGACGAAGAGACTGTAGGAGAGACCGACAAGAACATCCGCAAGTCAATTCCTGATGCAAAGGGCGGAAACAAAGCTCGATCAGAGAGCAAGGCTGCCATTAAGCAAGGCGAGGATAACTCAGAAGCAAAGGAGGGAGAGCCATCGGATAAGGTATGTTGTTACACGTCGAAGGATTATATCCGAAATTAACATCTCTACTCCTAGGCCGCTGCTTCAAAGGAGCCCCAAGGCAAGAACACTCAATCTGGCAAACAAGAAGGTCTTTCAAACACCGATACAAAGCACTCCACCGATATCACCAACGACCCTACCAAGAGTAAAAAGGGTGAAGGTGCTCCTGAGACTGCCAAGGTCAAGGGAACCGTCGACCCAAACCGCCCCCAGGTATAAACTAAATTTAATTCGAACTTATGGAAAAGATTGTGCATCCTCAATGCTTTGAGCTCACGAGAGATACAGTCTTTCATTGGAAAGATATGAGCCATGCTAACGATGATCCCAGCCTGAGGAAGAATCTGATTCTTAAATATTCATGTTCATGATCTCGATTGAGATACAATAATGTGTCTTTTGCCTCGTCGTAATGTACATAATGTATCAAAATCCTTCACAAAAGCGTAAAGATAGATTTCCTGGGGGAATTATCATGAATTGCAGTATCTTCCTCTTGTTTCTTCCGCAATGTGTGCATCTCTTCATGGGTCGATTTAAATGCCATACTGGGGCGACTGCTCTACTGAATAACTACTGGTGCTGTAGTTGTGTTGGATTCGAGAGTGGGAAGCAGATTTTGATAATAAAAAGTTATTTGACTGTCTAGTGTCGGAATTCCATGAACCAACCATAATTGCTGATGGAAAGCCAATCTTCAAAGTTCAAGTGAAAGTCGTACTCTAGGAGCCAAACATAAGTGTCACACCTGCCAAAGTATCCATACAATCTAGGAAGAGCAATTGCTAGTCAGTGGTAGACTATATAGAAGGAGCGACAGAACTCCAGTGTTTATTGATGTGTATTTTACCCCTTCACTTTTGTACCCTTACCCAAACATCATCAGAATTATTATCTTCGGCATCGAATCATTACTATAATAAGTGCATCGTAAGTTGAGAATTTCGTACCACGTTGAAATCTATTACTAACCTGAATGAACAGGCTCATTCATAAATATCGCTCCAATGACCATGGCAGCTCGCCGGGAGAAACGGAAGTTGGCCAAGAATCCACCAGTCACGAAATATAATTTGGATCCAACTACTCCAGTCCATCGACAATCACTTGCAACTACTGCCCCCGCTCCCGCTATGGTTGAAGCTAGGCAGCCCGCTGTCACTCCTCAATTACGTTATGCCATTCCCGATCAACCACAAAGATCGGAGCTATCTATGAACAGGAACAAGTCTGAGCATAAAGGACAAAGTGATTGGATGGTTCCGTTCTGCCATCATCCCGAGGGCGATCACACAACTGCCTTGGAGGGATTGTTCGTTCCTTGTCTTCTATATGGAAAGACTCACTGGCGGTTGAAGAATGTAGCTCTTGGTCGAGATCCGCATAATTTCAAGTCTTCTGACGGTTGTAACTCGATGTGTTGGATCCATGGTGCTTTGACAGCTGCTTGTTGTTTGTCGAGTCAGTAAACACTCAGGTCATTATTCATCATGTCTCTGCTAACCAGCAAAAATAGTTGGTCTTACTCTTATACAACGTGCCCGGATTCGTGCCCAATACAGAATCTTGGGGTCTATGGGGAATGATGTTATCAAGTCATGTTTCTGTGGTCCATGTGTTATGATGCAACATGATCGAGAAGTACGGGTTAGAGAAGGTGCTTCAGGGCTAGCGAGATTCCCCAATGAAGCACAAATGTCTCGGATACAACCCAAACTATCGCAGCCAATGAGATATACCTCGCAGAAAGCACCTTCTGCCGAAAATCCTGGTATAGAAAGCAGGATATTCAATCAAGGAAGGCGTTTTACAAACTCTGAGCTTCAAGAGGTTCCTGCAGTGGCTCTGAGTGCCAGTGAACATAGCTGTCGGGGTTCGGATTACCAGAGCACCGCTCAACATTGTGAGATGGAGGAATTGAAGGATCATATGCTTATGGAGCCGCATAGGAGAGCTATCAACTCCAGAAATGCCGGTGCCGCTGTTGATGGTACTACATCTTCAAAACAGAAAACCCGAGTAAGTTCAGAGAGACTCAGTCTGGGCAGTATTGCCAGTTGTAGTACATTCGTCATTGAGCCAGATTCGCCCACTCCTTCACTTCATGGAAGTTATCTACGAGTCAAAGGCTGCGAGAAGCTCTCTAGAATGCCAGCAAGAGGAAATCTCTCTTACGTACATGACTTCTCTGATTACTCCGCTACCAAGATTGTATTGGATCATTATGCGAAGGAAGAAAGGCGTTTGCAGGAGAAAGGAAGCGTCTGTTGTCCCGTTCACTTTGGTGAAGATAAAGAAAATCTTCTGCTGCCCGCCTTGGATGATCTTGCTGTACCATCTACCACATCCTCTGGTTTAAGCACTGTTCGGCAGCATACCTTTAAAGACGATGTTGCTGAAATGCCGCTTTCCGAGCTTGCCAACCCGCGTCGTATCGATAGCTGCGCTGAATCGGTGGATTCCGCTTGGTTATTGGATATACCAATACAACATCGAATCACAAGTTGTTCCATTATGCCTAGGAACCCGTCTAGTATCCAAAGGTCAATAAGACAACATCGAATAGCAAGCTGTCCTGCTACACCTGGCACCCCGGTTATTAGGACTCCCGGAAGCTCTGCAGAAAAAAATCGCATGCTGAGTTGCACCGTCGAGACCGCACCTCCATCAAGCTCACCTTCTCCGGTTATGCAAAACAATCACTCAACATCTATCATGGATATCGTGGATGATTCCAAACTCTCAACTCCTCTTATTCAATATTCACAATACGGTCATCTTTTGGACGAGAGTACTCTCGAATCCGGCTCGCCTATCTCTAGATTATCATCAAAATCTCGAGCTTTCAGTTGTACGGCCCTTAACCCTGTTGCTTCTCGCGAGCAACATTCCCTAGAGAGTTGCTCTGCCCTGTCTGGTGGCTGCAGTCCTGTTACGACCAGACAACATCGTATATCGAGCTGCTGTGCCTCGATTCCTTCTGGTAGTATAAACCAAAGCAATGGAGTTGGGTCTCATAGGTTAGAAGACTGCAGCTTTACGACTGGATCTTCTACGCCTATTCTCAGTAAGCCGTATAGATTTGCAAGCTATGCGGCTGATAGTCCTCAATCGAGTCGTAAAAGTTCAGCGGTGATGGCTCACTTGATGGAAGATGGATGTCTACTTTCTGGAGTTGCAAGCCCTGTCAAGCAGCATCGTATTGCGAGTTGCGGTGGCAATGCCGGTTCCGGAAATTCAGCAAATAGTAAGAACGAGAACGGCTATGTCACATCGGGCTCATCAACTCCTAACCCACGTCAGCATCGGGCCGTGAGCTGCATCGCTTCTAGTGCCATTTCGGAGTGCAATGAGCATTTACTCGATGATTGCGATTATGATTCTAAAATCAGCAGCCCACTTTTGCAACACAATGAAATAGACTGCGATGTAACTTCAGTGTCGGGAGAAGAGCAGGGACACCTGTTGGCGGTGTTGGAAGAAGAACAGGAGCACTTACTAGAAGATTGTGCTGCAGATTCTGGCCCTTCTACTCCTCTCCGACAACACCGAATTTCAAGTTGTGTCGTCTCTAGCCCCTCAAGCAATAGAACTTCCGTGGTAAAACAGCACAGAGCTTCTAGTTGCCCCTCTATCATACCAGCCGAGGGTAGCCAACCAAACAGCACATCTCATGATTCTCTTCAACTTCCTGGTGGACTTCTCGTCGATACCAGTGATAATGACCAATCAACTCATACAAACTACGAGGATTGTCTACACAGTCTGGATGACTGTATTGCTCCAGCCGACAGAGCGAGAATGGAAGCTAGTGCAAGTCGGGACACCGAATATGAAAGATACACTACGAGGATTGCTCGACATTTCAACGACCAAAGCTCTGAGTTCAATGAAAAATCCACTGTCGGAAAAGAAGGGAGTCGGAGACCTAGACTTAACGATTTTGCTTCACACGAAAGCGACGCTCGATTTACACTTGCCCAAGTCCTTTCTGAAGATCAAGAGAATCCCTTTATCGGTGTGACTCCAATTAACGGGGATGGAACCATGAGTATGGCGAGCCGAAAAGGCAGCGTTGCACCGCCAGCACCATTTCCATCACCCGCTGCACCTTATCCGTCGCCCATCACGCCGTTGCATATTTCTGGCGCCTATCCGCCATCCATCACGCCTTCGAGCCTGAGGAAAGAAAAGAGGAGATTTCCTTCGGAACAAAGTTCGGCGGGGAGTGGGTTTGCTAGTTACTTTGGATTCGGTAGCTCCAAGAAGACATCGTCTGGGTTGTGAGTGGCCACTGTTGATCTTTTACGGATTGCGACGGCGCTGACATGCTTGTAAGAATCGATGATGTTGGTGGTAATACCGGTAGAGGGGTTGAGAGTGGAAATGCAAGTAGAGTTTGGAGTATGGGATTGGGAGCTGTTGAACAGGTATCAGTTGAGGAATTGGAGCTGGAGGAGTTTTTGAGTTGAGATTATTCGGAGACTGGGAGAATTGGAGCGGATCATATCGTTACGAGTGGTGATGCTATGGGTGATATTATTCGTGATGAGGATGTATATAATATCCATTCCCGTTACATTCTTTTGTGGGTTTTGTTTCCAAAATGCCATTCATACATACATACATAGCTTGAATCCGCAAAATGGAATTGAATACTAGAGGAGAGATGACGGAAAGAAAAGGCATACTTTAATAAATTCATTCGTTATCATGATGACATTTTGCCTGGCTCACTTGGGCAGTCGAAGATTTGGAAAGTGGATATATGTGATGGATGCGTGTACACAAGGAGGCTGGTAATTTATAGAGGAGGTGGAAATTTCCAAGAAAGAACTTATGCACGACATACATACGCAGTCCAGACCCATCTGCAGGTCACACACACACAAGCATATGCCCTGCATCGTACTCCATATATACCCCATAATCTCGAGAATCCGTCCCGCAATCACATTCATTACATGCAAGTTCGTAGGTACCTACCTACCTACCTACCGTGTATTCATTCATTCGCATTCGCATTCATATTCACTTGACTATCACCTCAAAAAGAGTCGCCCAAGATATATTTTGCAAGTCTTTGCTTGCTTCACTCGCTACTGACTGACTGACTGACTGACTGACTGACTGATTGTATGGATGGATTCATTCTAACATGAACACGAAGATTTTCTTATTACATTTAAAAATTTGATTTCTTGCCTCCCTCCCTTCCTGCCTGCATGCCTGCCCGTCTGTGTCTGTCTTATGAAACCAATGAATACTATGCTTCCCCTTCTCTGATGAAGATGACTGGCCATGCAGCGAATGCAGTGCCAGATCAAGATAAGACAAGAATGGACTTGATAGAAAGTAGGAGAGATAAAATTACAAGAATTTCTTCCCCTTTTCCTCCAATTTCCCCGCGCGCCTTTCCCGAATGCCCATTGGTTGAGATGTGTGTAATGTGAAAAATTGCCAGATTTCTAGAATGATCCGGTGTGATGTGGTATGTGAAGATTTCCTCGACTTTCCTGTGTTGAAGGTTTCGTGTTTTCCTCTTTTGCATTGTGCATTTCGATTGGGATTGTGGGAGAGGTTGATGTTGGTATTGAGTAGTGGGTAGTTTATAAGTAGAATTTACACAATGTAGAAGGAGAATGAATGATGGTCGCGGAATCGAGGATTGAGGTTGACAGAGAGATTGGTTGGGGGCGTAAAGAAATAGGTATTCGATTCAAATCGTAAGATTAAAACAACGATTTAACCGACGGATTGGTAAAGGAGAAGAGGTTCGCCAACATTTTCGATTTCGGGGATTGTGCATTTGAGGTCGAAGGCTTTTGAGAGGACAATCTTGAAAATCTGCAATTGGGTGGTTTGTTAGTTGAAGGTTTGGTATATAAGCAGTATGGCGTAGACCGCAAGCAAGTATATAAGAATGAAATATAGATGGTCTTACCTTTTGAACGTTGATGCTATGGCTTGTACTACTAAAAATCAGACTTGCGCGCATTGCTTTTGCGAATCTTCGAGCCTGATGTCGCATCTGTTAGCACGCCTCAAAACGAAACAAAATCGAAGAATTGGTCAAACTAACCTGATTTGAGATCTCCTCTTGATCCTCTCTCGGAAAATTCACAAAATGATCGTATTTTGTGCCGACCAGGAACGGAATCGCAGTCTTGTTGAAACCTCTCCCCTGCCTATACCACTCCTTAATACTATTCAACGTGCTCTTTCGCGTCAAATCAAACATGAATAATATAGCTACTGCATCGTTGCAAACAAGCGGTAACATATTCACGAACTCTCTCTGTCCTCCCAGATCCCATATTGAAAATGTAATCTCAGTATTGCGTATAGATATAGTTTTCTCCATGAAGTTAACACCCAAGGTTTGAATGTAATCTTCGTCCCAACTACCTTCTACATATTTGACCATTAAGGAGGTTTTGCCAATTTGAGCATCCCCTACCATGCCGACTTTGATGACGACACTATTCTTCGAGCCCCGTTGTTGCTGCTGTTGCTGATCTGTACTCGCACCTGAGCCCCGTGAATTTTGTTCTTGGTATGCGTTGCCATAGTTGCCTTGACCTGACAAACCCGAAGCCGGGCGCGAAAGTGACGCGGGAAAAGTCGTGGGAGGGGTAGCATATCGACCATTTGTAGGTTCTTCTTGTGGAGGTGACGCAGGATATTCTTGTGGATATTGTGATGGGGTTTGAAAATCTGCAGATGCAGACGCAGAGTGTCGACTGTTATGCGTTGGCGTATGTGCTCTCTCCTCCATTCCGCCCATAGCATCGTCTTGAGGTGGGTCGACTCCCTGATTGTCGTATGCGATTTCGGCGTCCATCGAATCTACTGCGTCGTGAAATTGAGCGGGAGAGCTCACTGGTAAAGTGGTAGGATCCAGGTTGACTGATTTATGGGTAATTATAGAGATGAATGAATGTGTAAGGTTACCTATGAATCTTTATAAGGGTGAGATCTCGAATTGGCGGCTGGAAGAAGGAGATCAACACTGGGATGTTATGGTAGATCATTCACGGCTGATTGTAGAGTAGTGTAGGTAGTGTAGGTAGTGTAATGTAGTGTAGTGTGTAAGTTATTTTGGTATCAAAAATTGTCGACGAATCTATAACCGCCGTAGATGAAAGCCACCACGATGAAAGTCAAGATATGAATGACTAATGAGATTCACGGAGAGATTTTGAATTGTATTTTGGTTTGGACGATTGAAGTTATACCTCGTGAGAAATATCCAGGGGGTTTCTAATAAGCTTGGGACAAAGACAAGGCCAGAAGACAAGGCAAGGCAAATAATTGTCATGCGGTGGTTCGGCGCTTGGGCGTGCGAAAGGCAACTCGGGCAGGTCGACCAGAGACAGTTTACTCCGTAATAAAGAAGGGAGGTAGGGAGGGAGGGAGGGAGGAAAGGAGATAGTAGGTATTTCCTTCTTTCGACGCGTCTTCCTCTGAGAGTTCTTTGGTTTGTTGTGGATGTGAGAAAAGAATAAGGTTGTGTTTGTTTATTATGATGTTGATTGATATTATCATCAAAGTACCTAGGTATTGAAGGAGAAGAAGGAAAAAGGCTGTATTCCTAGATACACTTCGACCAGTACTTTGTCTTCAGATTGGGAAAGTAATACGATAGAGTCTACCTAGGTAGGTATTTATATATTGTGTTTGTTTTTATATCGTGTTTGTGCTTGTATTTATATTGTGTTTGTTATTGTTATTGTTATTTTTGTTTGAATTTTCATTTGTAATTATATCTGTATTTTAATATATGGTCATTTTATACATTATACAGAAACATATACGAGATACACATATTATTAGCCAATTGATATTCTTGCTCCTATTGATATTCAGATTCCTTTTCCTCAGGTGGGGGTTTCATTCAATTCAATAGCTCGCCATTGGGTTCCCTCGTTGTCCTCCCTCCCTGTCTTTGGAGACGGAGACAGAGACAAAGACATCTTGACAAGAGACAAGAGACCGCCCTGGATTTTTGTCGGCTTTATTTTGGGACATTTCTCTGATTGGCTCAATCTCTTCTGATCCATATCAACAATCCTAATTTTTATTATCTCACACCTCTCTTTACACTCTACTGATAATTGAATCAACGATTCCTTGACTAAAGCTCAACTCCACCCCAAAATTCTACCCCTCAAACACCATTTACATATACAATAATGGCATCAATCGCAAGGAGTTTAAGGCCATGTGCCTCAAAAATTACATCCAGCACTTTTAAGACGGTTCCGTCGTGGAGATCTTCATCTTTTGGAGCTGTTCGAGCTTTCTCAGTATCTAGAGCTGGTAAGTTGATCCTCTTATCCAAGGTGCTCCGACACCGGCCTATGTCATGGAGATTTTATGCGCAGAGTGAAGAAGTTGAGCCAATGTGGTCTACGGCGTGTGGATGAGACTTTGGAAGACTCGCAATCTAATCACTATCATGGGAATGTTTATTGGAGTCCGATTCTACCCATTTCATACCATATATCCCACCAATACTGACACTTTCTCTCCCCAACCGCAGCTTTCAACAAGAAGTATACCAAAGACCACGAATGGATTCTCCTCTCTTCCGATAACAAGACTGGCACAATCGGTATCAGTGATTATGCCGCACATGCTCTCGGTGACGTCGTTTATGTTGAGCTTCCCACCGTCCCATTAGAGGTCGGCGCTGGTGATGCCATTGGGGCCGTAGAGTCTGTCAAGAGCGCATCCGATATCAACAGCCCTATCACTTGCAAGATTGTGCAAGCTAATACGATGTTGGAGGAAGCACCAAGCACCATCAACAAGGGTCCCGAAGATGAAACAAGTGCCGGAGGTTGGGTGGCCAAGGTTGAAGTTGGGGAACAAGGAGTTAAGGACTTGGAAGGGTTGATGGATGAAAGTGCTTACAAGACATTTATTGAGGAATAAGCAGCGCGATGGGAGTTGGTGTATGACGAGAAACGAGAGCATGATTGCATGGACGGGCGGGGCATAGCATAGACGGAGGATTCAACTCAACATTGATGAATGTGTATTTGGGAATGGAGTTTATTCAACAAACATAAGGGTTGGAGGGGAATGACACTGGATTTGCTACATTTATACATGTATGCAGCTTGTAGCCTTCTTGGAACATGTTTGAAAGCTATTGGTGGTCCAGCCAGTCAATCTATGTAAAGGAAAAGTTTACTTTTGTAGCCTATGTGTCTGTGAAAAACGAAGTCATTCGGGGCTTCAACTATGCATTACCACCCTCCTTAATGACAGGTCGATTAAGGTTGATGGCCTCCAGTATTTTGGCAGCACCCTTGCTAACCAAGTCTTGAGCAAGAGACCATCCAAACTCATCAGCGTCTTTTGGTGTTAGGATCTCCTCCAACCTCTCTGATTCCACACTCTCTGTGCCATCAAGACTGACAACGATAGCCTTCATTAACAATTTCCCCTTTTCGATCCAGGTCGTCTCAACTCCGATCGGCACACTGCATCCACCCTCCAGAGTTCTCATCAAACTTCGTTCTGCCAACCCCGCCAATTGAGTCGGTTCATGTTGTAACGCAGAGATCATCGTGCTGATTTCTTCGTCGCCATCTCTAACCTCCAAAGCCAATGCACCTTGTCCCACAGCATGCAACATACCGCCACCCTCTGTTTTACTATCCAGATACTGCGTGATCCTCTCTCCCCAACCCATTCTTAACAAACCCGCCGCCGCTAAAATCAAACATGAATACTTCCCATCATCCGCATCCAGCTTGTTCAATCTAGTTCCAATGTTGCCTCTCGCGTTCTCAAACTTTAACTCGGGGTACTTCCTAGCTATCTGCGCGCTTCTTCTCACACTACTCGTTCCCACAACGCTTCCTGCTGGCAGCTCTGACAAGCTCTTATAGGTGCTTCCTGCCTTCATGATCAACGCATCTCGAGGATCCTCTCGTTCAAGAATTGCACCAATTATACATTTAGTCGGTAACTGCGTCGGCATATCTTTAAGACAGTGAACCACAATATCCAACTTCCTGTCCAGTAATAAAGCCTCAAGTTCATGCGTCCATAAACTCTTTGCGCCGAAATCATGCAGAGCAGTTACTTGATTCTTGTCGCCCATCGTTTCCAATTTGGTAATCTCGAAGTTTAAATGGGGATGAGCTTTTTCGAGCGCAGCTTTTACTTGCTCAGTTTGCACCATGGCGAGTGCAGATTTGCGTGTGCCAATATGAATAGTGGCTGGCTTCTCATTTTGGGATGTCTCGCGTTCGGATTGGTGATCGAGGGCGCGGAGGGGTGCAGCGTCTTTGGATGACTTTTCTTGGGTACTGGTAGTGGGGTCAAGAACGGAGCGGGAGGATGTAGATTCTTTTTGTTCATGAGTTGCCATTTTAAATTGGGTATGAATTGAAAGTTACTGGAGCTTTCAATTTGGATCTGGGCTATAGAGGTATTGGAGTCGGGAGGTGGAAGAGCAGCTGAGTGTTGCTCCTTCATAGTGGGGGGGTATTTCTGTGAGCTTACAATCCACTAAACCCCTCTATTGACAGGGGTATTGGTTCCACAACCGTAGGTATCTCGTTCAAATGGGATTCACCAGGAAACACGAACATAAAACCACAACTACAATCGCAACCACAATCAACCATTACTTTTACCGTATTCACCACTCTTGAGCAATTGAGTCGAGAACGGATAAATAGAGGACAACTGTTCTACTCGATACAATATGAGACAAGACATTATTTGACACCACTCAAGTCATGTCTAAAAAGGAAGAAACAGATTTAACAATGATCTGTCTGACACACAGGTCATGAATCTCACATAATACCTCTACTATAAATTGGAAGTTATCCATGACTAAGCATTGAAAGACGCAGTGTTTGAAGTCAGACCTGCCATCTGTGTTGACTAAATAGTAATAAGACACAAATGTTGAAGCACCAAAACAATCACCCTTCACTGATTCTCATATCTAATACACCCTTTCATTCTTTCCTACGGTTCTTCCGTAACCTTCTTTGCAATTTCCAATACACTCTCCAACTCTCTTGCATCCGCGCGGCCTAGACCGCACTCTGTTGCGATACCAAAATCTGCTACAACTTCACTCGCAGATTTAATTCTTAATTTCGTTCCCTCTAGGTCATCCTGATGTAAGACTCCCAAATACAACTCTGTGTCATTCTTCTCCAAATTTTTCAATGGTTCAAAGTATCCTCGATCAATCCGATCTTTTGGTACAGGCATATGAATCCAATTGACAGATCTTCTCCTCCTTGTTCCAGTCAAGACTCGATTCGCAATATCGACTAATAAGCTCATGTCTTTCGGTTGCGTGAAGTGTTGATGTCCAAGATCACCGTAGCAGAAATGGAAACCCAGTTCGACGGATGGATCTATAGCATCTGCTAATTCGAGGACACGGTTGATAATACTGTCTTTCAAAGCCATGATCCACTAAAACGTCGAGTTAGTACTCGTCTAGGACGCTGAAACAGGAAATGATAGAGATACCACTAAGTTCATGAATACTTACGTGCGGTGGAGGCAACACAATTCCTTCCAGAAATGCGAACTCTACAGCAACGTCCCATTGTATAGCCAAATCTTCTGCAGGAATCTCATCTTGGATACGACGAACAGCTTTCAGTAAAGCCTTCGCATAAACTGGCTCAACTGCTTCTTGATAAGCTGGCTCTATTGCTACGTGAAGAACATTGATGGGTGTAGGAAGCGAAACCTGGAATTTCACCCCGTTCGGTATAGTACCACTATCCCGAAGTCGACAAAAAGTAGCATATGAGTCTATGGCAGCATCGTCATATCCAACAGGCATGAGTTGGATCTTCTCAGGAGAAATGGGAATCGGGCCTGGATCCTTGGCCAGGGAGAAATATAAAGAGCGAATAAGATAAGGGTATTTGTAGAACACGCTTCTTTGCCAGAGGACGAAGTTCCCCCGGTTACCGGGCTCACCATCGGGGATACGCTTTAGTTGGGTTGGAAATGTAGCATTGAGTGTACGGTAAACCGTGGGTGTGTCAGGGAGACAGATACTCCCCACGAAGTGCACATTCTTGCCGGAAGGAGATGCCATATCGAAAGATTCGCAATTAGTGCTACGTAGGATAAAGTGTCCAGAAAAGAGATTGTGATATAAAAAGAGCACAAAAAATAGGTAAGGGAAGCCGAGCTAGCTGTATGATCTGGAAAGAAAAGGATTGATACAGTAATATTATCTCAAGCTGAACGACGGGAGCCTCTTATATAAATTATTTCACATTCAAATTCTACCTCGAATGCTATATTTGGGAATCGAAGGAATACAGCTATGCCAGTGCAATGTGAGTTGGAATACAACCATTCAATTGGCAGTTCAGCAGCAGAGTTACATTGAACAATTGTACTACTCTAAGAAGAAGCCCCTCGATCCACGCTTCTGTTGCTCAATTTTGCAAGCTGAGCTTGATAAAAAAGGGTCTAGAGAGGGAATATCCAGCATAGAGTGACTCGAAAAGGTTGTTGACATCGAATGGCACTGAAGGATTTCACTTCGTCAGCGTTTACACAGACCACGAGTTCTCCAATCAGCCTCATAGACATGACTTCAAACGTCACATATGAATCCACCAACATGGCACCAAACTTCAGCCCTGCAGCGAATTCATTGAAGATTGGAGAATTCGTGGATTAGGCATACTAGGTATGTCACATTCATGTCCGAGCCTCCTTCTCTTTGCAGATTGTAGTAATTGAGCATAGGGTAAATAGTAAGATCGGGGTGATATGATACGGGAGAAGAGGTCGGAAATGGGCAATTTACGGGTTTTCATAACTGTTGGTGGTGGGGGGAGCGCTTGGCGTTGGAGTGATGTTGATGCTGATGCGGAATTAGGAAACTCTCAACGGGGTTCCAAAAAATTAGGATGCGTGGGCAAGCATAATATTTTAGGGTTAGATGCAAGAGCTGCTTTGTAGTCGCCGATTAAGCTTGAAGTTTGAAGAGCTGTTGGTCAAGATCTGGTAATGTTATTGTTAATGTTGATGTTCTGTTTTGCTTTGTGTCGTTTACTTTGTATGCCGAATTCAAACACTCCATTACAGTACATAGTCAGACTATCAGTTCTGAGGAATAAGATGTGAGAGATACAGAGACTAGATGGAGTAGAGGAGACAAAGAAAATTTTAAAGGGATCATATGTCGCTCGTCAGGCTTTCCATACATACCGCGAAGGAATGATAATACGCCATGCATAAATTCGTTGTAATACGTCAGCGGAGGAAGTGAGCCTTCAAATACCACTCTACATACAAGTTGTATGGAGAGAAGTAGCAAGCGAAAAGTAAGGACGTGGAGTGGAGAAATAAGATAAATGCTGGTGCGGCACGAGCGCTACCCAGGTGGTTACTGAAGTTTGCTTGGATATAAGCGCAATGTGATACGAAGATGCAAACGCGGCGTGGTGCGGTGCATTTTGTGACTCATGATTGGATTGGTCACAAAATACGATGCGGCGCGGTATGAGGCACAGGCTTTGAAGAACAATACACACATGAATGCAATTCGTGGTTTCTATGGGAAGCGGCGAGGTGTGACCATGAGTTAGTAGTAGGCGGTTAAGTCATATGAAGTTCGGGCGTAGAATGAAGTGGGATGAGGTGAGGAGGGGTGTGGTAAGGGATGTGGATGCAAGATTTGAATTATGTTTTTGGACCGTAAGACTAGGTAGGTATCCTAGCAAGCTAGAATTCGAGAATTTTCCTTTCCGACACACAAAATTTCACATGCAATTTTTTCTTAAATCAGATTCATGCTCTTGTGCAAAATTCGAACTTTTCCTAAATACAATCGTTTTCTTGTCATGCGCTTGTCTTTCCATGCTACAACACCACAGTCTTGATAATTTTGAGCCGCCCCCTTTTCACCACCTTGATCTTTTTTTCCCCGACATAGTAAACTAACGCGATGAGTAAAGAAAAAGCATCTAGACAGCGCTCCAGGCGAACTCGACAGAGACGCTTTGGCTGGAGGTGTAAACGGTTGCTTGGGTAGAACCGGATGGGGTGGCGGTTGCGTAGAAGGTAGATGAGCCGCCGTATGTAAGGTAGCCACCGGAGGACTGGGATGTGTTAGTTGGTTGGAATTTGATATGGAAGGGGAAGAGGAGATGAATGAAACTTACTCCGAAAACGGTAGAGACACCGGCGCCGCAGGAAAAGGTACTGCCGGAGATACCGCACGTTCCCTTGGAGGACTTGAGGGTGAAGCCAGTACCTAGGTTGAGAGTTAGTGGTGTTTCGTTTGATGGTAGATGAGGAGTTGAGGTAGGCCTTGTGACAACCATTTTCTTATCAGGAGTGGGGAAAGAGAGGCTTACCAGAAGCAGTGGCAGTGTATGTAGCACAAGTACCGCTAGTGTACCAGGTACCTGCACTAATCAAGCATCCGTTATTGGTGCTTCCAACATATGCCTCCAAATAACCAGATCCAGAGAAGCTGCCAGTGCCAACAGGAGCAGTCGCGGTGGTAGTTGGAGTACCAGAGCCGGACTTGGGAGTGTACTTAATGCCGGTACTGGGGCAGTTTCCAGATTGACCGACGGGAGTAATGGGAACGAATGTTCCGGTAGCAACGGAACCGCGTACTTCAAAGGAGTACCAAATTTCATCGAGAGAGGAAGAAGTACATTGAATGGTGGCAGGGTGTCCGAAACCGGCGGTGATGGCTGCTTGAATTTGAGCAGAGGTGTAGGTTTTGGTGGTGGAGGGCACGATGCCAGCATTGGCTAACCACTGTGGTGATGTTAGTTACTTCTCTCTTTTGCTTGTGTGGAAGGCTACTTACTGTGTAGGTAGGAAGAATCTTGAAAAGATCAACAGCAACGTTGAAGAAGTCTACAACTTCTGCACCGGTGGTGTAGCTGCTGTAGCAAGAAGGCTCAAGAGTGCTGATACAAGTTCCGTGCTTGTTCCACTCGTGTTCCCAGAACACCTCATTGGTAGAGTCATCACTGACCCAGTAGGTGTTCATATACGAGAGCAAGGATGTTTGGCCAGCAGCAGAAAGGATGTTGGTTATGCTTGAATATTGACGACTGGTATCGCAATTTGAATCATAGGTACCATCACAGTGATCGGGCCATAGACCGTGGATTGTCCAAGAGTTGGAAGGACCTTGAGTATGATTAGTTTCCGACTTGTGAAGCGAAGGTGGGAGGGAAAGAGATTTGTATACCTGTGCTAGGATTGGAGTCCCAGAATTGGGTCTGGACCATTTGACCACCAGGAGTATTGAAGCAGCAAGTATTGGTACTGGAACCGCTACAACTCAATGCTGGACTCGAACATACCAAAGGAGTCGCAGCTAGACTGGCTGCGCGTGCAGCTGGTGCCAGAAGCACAAATGGCAAAAGAACTTTGGAGATTGAGGAAGTCATTATTGCACAAAGTTTCAATACCAAGGGAAAGCGAGGGAAATCGATGCTTCTATATCACACAAAGAAGATTCACCACTACTATCGAGGCCATAGATATATAACATTTCCAAATTGCACTCATTCGCCATGGGTGATAAGTAATCTTCACCAAAACGTGTCACACTCCATTGGTGTTGGGTTGTATTAGAGACATTATCTAAGAGAAGAAGGTGTATAAGAAAGGAACGGCTGGAAGACATGGCAATATTCCATGCTCATAGGTCAATTGTGATATCGAACTACGATGTTTTCAAGGTTCCTAAATGGGCTAGAACCGACGCTTGATACTATATTGATCTCCATTTTATGCTTGTCCCCTGATCGGCAGTCAAATGAAAGGACTTGATTCCCCGAATGATAAATGAAGAAAGTTAATAAGGCTAATCGATAGTCAGGTACATTACGTATTCTTACCGTCTAGCGAATGATAGATGATAGATGATAAACTTCCCTACCACTCGGTTATCATTCGCCGAGAAAAGATTTTCTCTTGGAGCAACAACAGGAGGTAAGATGTTGTGCAGGCTCGAATCCCCTGAAGATAATGATAGAAAAAGTAAAAAGTTCCTATCATCCCTTGTGATATTTCTGATGGTTGTTGTCGTGGACTCTTCAAGTAGTTTTTGGAAGGTAGCCACACAGATTGCTGGGATTTACTCGTGCGACCTTCTAAAATAAGAACGCCAAGCATCCTCTCACATTTCGCTGCTCGCCGTCGTCCATCAATGATTATTATCATACTGTCGCTTCTGAGGTCCCACGATTCTACCACGATATGAAGATATGAAGATATGAATCTCTGACGACGTGAAATGTTGCTGGCGGTAATTTCGGTCCCGTTAACCCTATTAAGCTATCACATGTGATATGTTTCCCTGGTTTGCAGTAAATTGGTGCGCGCCGCTGTAGATGCAGATACCGGTAGATAGATCGGATTGTGGAGACACCGAGGTCTGGAGAATTGAAAGCAGGTGACCTATCATCCCGCCACGGGTGAATCCATCCGATAGACAAACAACCAAACAATATCGTCGTCGATTTTGCTAGTATCATCGCCGTCTGTTTTCCCAACGCTGTTAACACAATCACCGCAATCACATCAACATCGTCTTACAACATCACGACTCTTTGTCAAATCGTATCGATTGGTCGTAATACTTTGGGACATTGTGAGATTCATTGAAAATGAAAAACTTAATTGTGAGTGTTGGCCAAGTTTGTGTGCCCTCATGCATCTAGTCAATGTAATCGTCCAAAGATTTCGGATAAAACAAAGACATGGGGCATTGGCAAGCTCTTGGTGTCGAGAACATAACTTCCTAAATAGTCTGAAGAGTGCGTGGGCAATCGGTGCTATGTTGATATTGGCAGGAGGGCTTTGCAAAAGTCCAAAGATTAGATGATCAAGTATGGTGTAAGATTATTGACCTAGGTTAATCAATAACCTTCAGATTCAAACCCTCGTCCATGCGAATCATATTTTGCATCATCAGAATGTTGTCGATGCTTATGGTCATGTGTCTGTTCGCCATCCGGACAACCCAGGTATCTTTATCATGTCGGCATCGACCGCGCCAGCATTGGTCTCATCCATCTCCGACTTGGTACATTATAATGTATCCGATGGTGCTCCAGTAGATCCGAAGGCGAAGAAAGGGTACCAAGAACGGTTTATCCACAGCGAAATTTACAAGAGATTTCCAGAAATCAATTGCGTTATCCACAGTCATGCCGAGGCCGTAATCCCCTACACGATGAACGGAGTCCCGATGAGACCGATATTTCACATGGCTGGGTTCTTAGGTATGATACTCTTCCGGGAACGATGCATGAATGTGTATATAATGATTACTTATAGGTGACCACGTACCTAATTTTGATATCACGGAGCTATACACCTCGAACGATAGACAAGACTTCTTGGTAAACTCTGGACGGTTTGGCAGTGCCTTGGCCGAGAAATTCTCCAAGCCGGAATCAAGCACCCAAGACTATAACGTCGTATTAATGGCAAATCACGGTTTCACGACGGTTGGATCAAGTATCAAGCAAGCCATCTACCGTGCCGTTTATACTCAAGTCAACGCGGGTCTCCAAGCAAAAGCTCTTATGCTCAGGAACGCCGAGGGAAGAGTTGCTGAACTTGGCCCTTTAAGATTTTTGAATGCCGAACAAGCTTCTGGTTCCGAAAAATTTAACGATGACACCGCAGAAAGACCTTGGCAGTTATGGGTGCGAGAAGTTGAGGCAAGCCCTTTGTATCAAAATGAAGCAATACAGATGGATTCCTCAGATGAGGTATGATACGGAACATTAAGCTCTTCGCGTTTCTACTCTGTGTTATTGAGATTGTGATGGGCCATAGTGCTATGGTCCATATTTGAGAAGGGGACGTAAGTTCAATTCATGCATTCGATTTCCGAGCCATTACTAGTTCAAAAAAGCTCGATATGGCTTTGCCAACTCTTAGTCACGTAGATACATTTGATATCTAGTTTCTAGGTATGAAAAACAACCGCGAGACTACGTCCAAACAATGTGGCGTCGACTAAAACAGAATTTCTTTCATCTCATTTCCTAAATGTCGTCTTCAAACTTTGACCCCTTTAGAAGGAAAGTTCTTACCACCAATTATTCTACCTATACTTGCTTCATTTGACCGAGATTTGGATCATTTTGATGTTGATCCGCGGTTGGAACTTGGAAGAACACATATGCAGGGTTTTACAGAATGTCAGCCAAGACTTGCGATGAAAAACGTCAAACGTTGGGGGAGATTTGTCAAAATGGAATTTCTGAGGAAACTTAATCTGTTTATAGTATGTCAAATTGTGAAATGTCTGGAGATGCAACTCGTTTCCAGAGATTTCGGGGTTTACGCTGTGACCTTTAAGGGATTCTCATACGACGCTAGAATCTGCCAAGAACTAGAATTATCAGAAAACTAACGCCAAAAAAGCATAGCCAGACTTACCAAAGCTATTTCAAAACGTCGCCGTGACTTTGCAATCACAGCCAAGATAATTGCTTCCTCGCATTTGGTCTGTGCTGAGTCTCTCGAGAGCTTGATACCATTCCTGTGCATCGCGTTGTCGGTGTCACTTGGCGTTTGACGAAAAAAGGGTCATAATCAAAACCTGTGAATTGTTAGGATCTCAGAATAGGAAAATCGTTCGATTGGCTAGAACCTCGATGTTAGGAACCGTGGGTCTGGTGTGGGGTTGGCCAGAGCTATATTGCACGGCCTCTGGAAATTATTGGCAACGCATTTTCTGTATGAATTCTTGATATAAGAAGTCTTGTCCTCATGCACCCAAGAGTTTTAATTCCTCAGCTGAGCTCCATTTGATTCTTTTTGATCTTTATTTACACATCTAAGCTTGACGCTCAAGATATTCGTTCACTTAATTCATCCCACTACCCTTATTTCACAGCCCGTCTCCAACGCAAGCACCCCTTCACAATCTACTTTCAAAATGTTGACCAACTATCTTGTTATGGCCATGATCGCCACTAGCATCTCGGCACTCCCTTTGAACATCAACCTTGGCGCCTATTCACCTGCCTTGGTAGTCGGTGATGGTGAAATATCATTCGGAGGGAAAGCAGATGTATCGAACCTCATGAACGCGCTCGAAGGAGCCGCTGTTAATGGCGCCGCTACAAACGGTGCCGCAGCGAACGGTGGTGCCGCCGCCACCACCCCAACACAAGCACAAGCAGCACCAGCCGTAGCTGCCGCACCCGCCGCCGCCGTTCAGGGAGCTACCGAAGACAAGACCGAAGCTCAAGTAACAGCACTCCAAGGAATGGGCAAGGAAATTGCACCCCGTGTTGTCAAGCTCGAGAGATCGGATGTAGACAGAGCCGCAAAACGTGACATTCAAACCTTGACTGCCGCTCTCAACTACGCTGCCGGTGCCATCAAGACCAGCCCCGAAGTCCAACTCGGAACCGAAGAGTCTGGTGTTGGTATTCTCGTCAAAGCTGGAGGCACCGGAGGAACCGCTGCCGCTGCTGGTGCAGCAAAGACCAAGATGGGTAAACGTGAGGACGGTGTTGCCGACCCCAAGATGAAGACTACTGTCACAACCATGTTTATTCGTGGTGGACCAGCTGGTTAGTTACTCCCCTCTTCATACACTTTCAATCACAGAATTAAAGCTAATATGTCAGCACAATAGTTGGACAAACAAATTCCATCTCCACAGTCCGCAACGTCGAAGATATCAACGGCTCAGCAGTCACTAAGCGTGAACCAAGCCCAGGTATTGATGGTGTTAACCTCAATATGGTCGAGGGATCAGTTGCCGAGCTCACTTTTGTGGAGACAAGGAGTGCAGATGATGAGGAATAGATTTCCCATCTCACTTTTTGTAATGAATGGATGTGAATGAGGATGGATTGGATATGTAATTTACAAGCGTCAAAAAGATCAAGGAATCATTTGTTATTATTTACACGGCGTAGTAGCCGTGAGTGTGTTCTTTTCTTCTTCTTTTTCTTTGGTTCTTATGGTGGCGTTTTCATGGCTCGGGTCAAGCTGGAAGTATACCACACAGCTCTTACATTATAATTTGAATATGAGGATATAATCTTATGGGGCCTCAATGATGGGCAGAAAAGGCAAGATAAAGCAACTCATATATCTATAGATATATCAATATAAAGAGAAATTCAAATTCAAACTCATCTTCTGTTGTCACTCATGAATTCTTTGTCTTCACCAGCTATTCTCCACTCAAGTCCAGTTCTCACTCTGCTCTTCCCCTTCTCGAATGAATCCATACTAAAGGGAAATTCCCACCGACGCCGTGATCTAGAAATCTAGATCTGACCCATAACTTCCAGTGTCAAAGCCAAGGTCCAAGAGCCTTGTACCCTTCGGTAGTGCCCGCAGGCCGAGCCGTCAGTGCTCTGGCTGGCCCAGCCCCTTTTGGAAACGCATGATTCCCAAATGATCGCCAAGCCAGGGTCGAGAGTTTGAAACAACGGGGTTTTCTTGGCTGGCACAATGATAATACACACTGAATATTTCTTTGGTGGCGATGATGGATGGGTATTGAGATGAAGATATGTATAAAGGGAGACTCTGGACCCTGGTAGAGCAAAAATTGACAGGTGGACATATAGATGGAGATGTGGACTTGGGCGGAGAATGTCGAGCCGGTTGGGGGATCGGCGGATGGGGTAGATATGGTGGAGCGAGCGTAAGATGTTGGTTTCGATGATGGATTTTATCCACTTTCTGTTTCTGTTTGGGGACCTCACAATTTTCAGGGTGCATTTGTCCTCGCTTCATAGAACTTCTTCGCAATTTGGGTACCTAGGTGGGTATCTTGAACAATGGCATGAAGATTCTCATTACGATAAATTGAGAAAACAATTCGAATTGCTATTACTCATTCAGGAGGAATGTGGAAGTTCTCATCTAAACGTTTCAAGGATGAAAAGCAATATCTAATTTGAATATAAACAATGATTATTGCTCAGAGTCCTTCAGGCCTGGAAAGCTATATATTCAAACAATCATTCTTCGATGGGTTATATCTAGTAGATGGAACGAAACGAACCGAATTGCAGAGTATAAGGGCCAGACGAGGGCGAAAATCTAGTGGTAGACTTCTCTGAATAACCACTCTGCAGCGTCATCATACATTTTCCTTCCTATTACCATTAACTTTTCTCTCTTCACTTTATCTCTTTGCAGATGCCCCCCAGACATCTCGAATCCTAGATCAAAATTAGTATTTCAATTTATACTTTCAGAGTACCAATATCTCTACTAGTTTAGACTAGCAGACTGAATAGAAGCCTTCAAATTCCAAGTGTAACTCAACATTAGAAATGAATTCAACGTTTCAAATCTTCTAAATGTCCAAATCGGATCCAGAAATCCAAAGTCTCTCGTTATTGAACTGCAGTCCAAACTATTGGAAAGCCTGGCTACTTCATCCTTATACTCAAAGGGTCGATACAAGGGAAGTCTTCTCAACATACCATGCCCAACACCCATAATCTTCTCCCATCGCACCCCATCCTTTTCCCAGAGTGTCTCGCCCTCTACCCTCTCCTTACCCGCAAGCCTCTCCGCCATAAACTCGGCATCATAACACAACATATCCAACTCACACCCTACCATACAAATTTTCTTCGGCAACATCTTTCTATCCGCATAGGTAACACTAAGTCTCGGATCACACAAATCCGTTCCAGGAGATATATATGCATAGTTGAACAGTGGTCCCAAATTTTCCAAAACATCTTTAGTCGCATAAGAAGGTCTCGCTGCAATTGCGACTGATGGCGGCGTCACAAACCCACAAATGGGGTAGAATGCACATACGCCCTGGATTTTGCCTTGAAGAGAGGGAGCTTGTGGAACGGCGAGGGAACAACAGCCGCCAGCGCTGAAACCACCAATAGCTACTTTGGAACGATCGAATGGGAGAGATTCGTCTTCGAGGATGGAGGTTACGACATCAGTCAATTCGTTAATTGGTTGAGGGAACGTTGCTTTGGGAGCTTTGGAGTAGTCGAGGGAGATGACCAGGATGTTGTGTTTAGAGGAGAAGTAGGAACAGAATTCGTCGTCGATGGCAGGGACACAGCAGGCGAATCCTCCTCCGTGGACGTTGAGGTAGAGGGGAAGAGGTGGGTCGCCGGATTTGTAGGTGGGTGGAATGAAAATTCTATGAGTGAGTGAGGAGTGGATGGGATAGGTTTTAGTGAATGTAGGGAGGCTTGCTCGACCGCGTACATAGGGGGATATCATCATCGAGACGAAGATCTTGGCAAAGGCCCTGGTGAAGTGTAGTTTGGGCCAAAGAGTCAGGCGCTTCCATATCGACAGCGTTGGGTGGTAGATTGGCCCTTGGGAAAGCGGAGGTGGTAGAGCCATCGTTGACTTGATGATTAGGCTTTGGTCAGTATCCAGAGTTGTCAATACACAAGTATAGATGCGGATGATCCTAACGTTTAAAAGTTCAAATATCGTACGACGTGTAAATATGTATCAAAACGGGTCTTTGTGGACGGCTTGATGTGGGTTCATACAAACCTCTCTAAAACGCCCACGTCAGCAAATCTTTCTTAGTTATAAAGAAACTTCAAAGTCATGTAAATTAAACGCTACTAAACAATTCTACCTGTATTTGAAATGGAAATATCAATCGATTGATTAATGATCGAATTTTGAAAAGAGTACTGCTTTGATGTGCGTACCTACAATTCCGTTTCTTTAGAACGTGCACAGGTTCGTACCTATGACTGCCGAGGTGAGACAAAAAGACCACGTTTCTCCCTCGGCTAAAGGAATACTTCGGCACCTGTTGGAATCAATTTACCAAAGTCATTAATCATATTTAGATAGATGATATGATAGCGAATCTTCTAAAGGTATAGTAAGACACATAAAGAAAGAGAATCATAACAATATTGGATCACTTGCCACCACACACCTCAAATTTGGTATTCACCAATCACAAGTCCATATGCAAACGCCAACCATCAACTCCAAATTCTCCCCAAAGTTTGATGACCACACCAAAAGTAGAATCACAGAGCAAGTAATACCATTGCAAAGGAAATAGTAAACTCGGGGGTGTATATAAAGAATGAAACAAATACGAAAAAGCAACTCATCGTCCAAAATTGCTTATCTTTCCTCGTAAAATGCGGTTTTAACTTTGAAGTATGAAGGGAAAGTTGTTCTAGCCGAAATCCCCAATACTTCCAGAGTCCAGGTCGTGTCCAATCATCCCAGTTTATTTTCGATGAATTCTTCGGTAATTCATCCACCCTCCACTGCCAATAGGCCGTTAGCCTCCCTAGCGATGTGAATGGCTTTTCTCTTTCGACCCAAGTACGCCAACGCCTTATTGCATGAGTTGCAGTTGATGGATCGATTTCCAACCATTCTGTATGCCTTCTAGGTCCGCGGTGGTTGCTTTTGCAAACCTCGCATTCAAACCACTTGCGTTGATTATAGAACTCTTCGAAGAGGATAGACTCAACTAACGCGTAGTAATAGAAAGCGTCTTCGTCATTGCCGCTGGGTGACTCGGTTGAAGCTATAGATATAGATTTGGAAATTTTGGAAATTGGTATTCTACATTTCGACCACTCGCGCATGCGAGTTTCTGGAGCTCTGCTTGATTGGCCAATCTTTATGTGATGAGGAGCATACCTGGGAGATTCAAAGGCATATATGTAACCAGCAGTAAGGTCGCAATAAGGCTTGAGCGGCTTCTGGAGAAGTGATCGTATAGCGTGATTTATTTCTCGGGTGCTTTTGCGAGTGGATCCATAAGAACAAAACTTCGGGCACTGTGGTGCTATCGCTGGAAGAATAGGATACTGAACAGGCATAGAATTGCAGGCATCATTGAAGCCCGAGCTCATACGCCTTTTGACAATGATTTCTTCTGCAACGGTGGGAAAAGCCCCAGGCATCTTCAATACCCTTTCAGCTTGGTTGTTTTCATTATTGACATCTTGGTAGTCAACTTCATCATCTCCTTGACCTTCGACTCGATCTCGACCTTCATCAGCTTTGGATTGCGAAGCTAATGCTTGATATTTACATCTTGAATTCCTTGAAGTTCTTGTGGGTGATTCATACAAATTTCGAGGTCGTGCAAGCCACTGATCAATTGATTCCTCGAAATCATTTGGTGGGGTAATTGGCGACGAATCACGTCCGAAAGATCTAATCGAAAATGTGCTATCAGCAGTCGACATCGTACTGACACTGGAGACCGAAGATGAAGAGGTAGGGAACTTGCCCAATATTGGTCGATCGGGTGTCTGGCAAGGCTTGAGGCGTGGTCGGGACGGTAGACTGGATGCCCGGTTGGCCGAGATGGAGGGAGATCGGTTACTCGAGGAGACATGGGTCTGCGAATATCCAGGACTCGACATGATCGATCGGTTAGCCAAAAATGTAGTATGTGTATGTAAATTTCAGTTTCTATTGCAACATAAGTTAGTTTCCCAGAGGTATTCTGTCTACCTACTTAAATGTTTGATTTGTGGCTGGACAATGAAGGAGAATCTTCGTTCAGAGACTGATATCACGCCGTTTCTTCAATGGTCCAGGGAGCTAGCCAATAATGTGTCAAGCATAGTCGTTGTAGGCCAATCAAATATCCGCAAATCCTTGTTGATTCGTTGCAAACTCGTCAGAACCAACATATCCGGTCTGCATAGCCGACACTATGCTGTGATTGAATGCACACTCGCGCATTTACTGAGAAAATCAGCCTCGACGATAATAGAAATTGTGGCATCATTGATTTTCTATGTCCCATTGAGTCCTTGTGATGATTCCAGAGTAGACACCTACTATGCAGTGCCAATTCAGGCCACCATGAAATCTCGACGTTCAGAGCCATTCAACGTAATGAGGTTGTATTGTTTGAGCATGGGACGGAATCGAAGACCAAATATATAAGAGTATGTATCCCTATTCGGTGGCCAGAGTATATTGGATTGATTTTTGGATACTGGTCTGGAGGCCAGATCACTGACCGCGTCAACTTGTTTTGGAATGTCCTACAATGCGACCATGAAGTATGAGAGAGAAAAGTCGCGAATCACAGACATCAGCGTCAGCAAGTTCGAAACACATTTCCGTGGGCGTATTCATGAGAAACACCGTAAGAAGCAGACTTCAAGTGGAAAAGCTCTCGAGGGTACAGGTACCTTCTCCATGGAAAACATGTCTTGTAGAAGGTCGCTCAATGAGCAGATGAGAGACAACAACGCTTCATCATCTCGCGCGAACGACTGAGGAGCAATTTCATGATCAATAATTATAATAAAAGGAGAGATCACTTCCAAGAAGCTCGAGCTCATACTACAGAGAAAGAATTGGGGCTTGAGTTCCCTAGTCACGTCACGTGCCGGGCTGGGCTGGGCTGTGGCTGGTTGTGGTTCATGTTGATGCTCGCAGCTTGCAGCTTCGACTTCTCTTTCGCTGCAACGCAAACTTTTTGGTCATTCGGTTAGAGTAAGAACATTTATGAGAGACTTGGGAATTTACTGAAAAACAACTCTTTTACTCAATATCCGATTCATAATTGAATAGCATTGACAGCAACAAAGGAGTCGCCGAAATCCCTACCCAGGTGTCTAGACCGCCGTCGCTCAATGTGGAAATACGTACCAAGCGTTTATATGGACCCCTTTTTCCTCTTTAGAATACCAAGAATCAAGAGAGTACGAAGTATAAAGTTATGGACGGAAACATCTTGCTTTGACTTTGAATATTTCCTCCCCCATTTTGTCGATATTACCTCGGGCTTGTAGTGCTTTAAATTAGTCACCTTGTTGGACGGAGGACTTCATTCATACTTTCCAAAACTTCGACCATCAGCGGGAGAAAACCTTTCTAAGACTATTCTAGCATCATACAATTAGCTTGTCAAATGAGATGCATGAGATTCCAAGAAGATGACTTACGATGTTTCTGGAATCACCTCGCATGAAACCATGTGTAATTTCGACCTAGACTTGGCCTCATGACCCGAGAGTAACCAAGGGGTTGTTGACCTTTTCGACGAGTATGCCAACAATACAGTCCTCTGCCTGTCGGTCAAACGCTGTCATGTATCGTATTCGGAGAGCAAATCCCGGGTGCTCGACACTTCTCTCCCGTTAAAACAACCATACTCGGAAGAATCGGCCTCGAAAATCTCAAGACGGTGGCATTCCCATCGCTGTACAGACTCTCCGTGATGATTTATCTGAAGCAATAGCTGCGCCACTATAGGTCACGATGCTTACCTTTCTCTGCACAATCGGTAATTATTCCATCTTGGCAACTTGCTATCCTTCCCTTCCCCCACTCAGGGTCCAATCCCACGCTGTCAGACAACAATACATGTATGGCGGTGCATGTGCTGTAGTACAGCGTCGGTACCGATCGGAGATTTTCTATCTGCATATCTGGGGAACATACACGGCAAACAAAACAATTTATTGTCGGTATATTCCACTGGAATTTAGTATATTTCAATGGTTTATGGCCCGGATTTTAGTCTTTTTTCTATGAAGCCTCGCCGACTGTTCTAGTACACTCTTCTTTACCAATTTGGGTCGTGTAGGTTTCTATATTTGTATTGTTCTAAAGAGGACTGTGATGTACCAACCACATTTCCATTTTCCTTCCAAAGAGGTCAAGTGATCTTCACGCATGTACATTGACGTGTTGAATTTCTATTTAGGCAATTTGTTGAAGATATTGTACGTACTCAGGGTCCTCTATCTCCAACACCAATGCCCATATCATTGGTGCGCAAGCTTTTGTCCTTCATTCAGTCTAGAGATAACTCCTCTCACATATCTCGGCGGAGGTTTGGAATTTTCCATCATACAAGAGATTTTCCCGCTACCACATAGTGCCGAACCCATATCTTGGCATCACCTTGACACCCTGTATTGGGGGTTTGATCCGGTGTAGTTGGCGCTTGTGGCATGCAGGCATAAGACGTCGGTCACTTTGCCTTCATTATACGCTCCAGGAACCACCAGCGAGGAACTCAATGCCAATATTTACAGGGTCCACCAGGGCGCCGAGCACCGTTGAAGTATAGGCTTACTTAGCCCTGACTATCAGATTCCTAATTCATTAACATCCGGCATACAGACGGTCCTGCATTTCAATATGGAAGATTAACAGCAAATATTATCCACCAGGCATCGTCAGTTTCTTGGTGCTACGATATTCTGGAATAGGAGGAAGCTCCATTTCATCTGTTAATGCGGGGCAGAAGGATCAACAATATATAAAGAGATGTTCCTCCAGATAACGAAATCTAAATACAAAACATTGCAACCAATTCCTAGATTGTCAAGTCAACATTCCATAATATCACTCTTAGCACAATCATGCATTCTCTCTTGTTTTGGTTTACAGCCGCGCTGTTGCCTTTCGCTCATGGCGCAGGCGTTACCGGATCAGCTTCAGGTGCTGCTCACGGAGTTAGTATTCATTGGTGTACTGTTCCTTTCTTGCATACTAACCTCATTTAGGTGACTGGTGGTGGAAGTGCTAGCCCTGTCACACCTACTACAACTGCCGAGTGAGTCGAAGTGTACACTTGACATAGAAGCCTCAACTGATTTACTTTCTTAGATTGGTCTCTTACCTTACAGACTCATCGCCACGAGTCATTCTTATCACCAAGACATTTGATTTCCGCGGTACTTTGGGAACTACCACTGCAACTGGATGCGTACCAACTAGCAATACCTGCGGATCTAGTGGACAAAATGCCATCAATGCAAATGGTTGGTGTGGATCTGCTCCCGCAACTACGGTCAAATACGATAACGCTGGTACCACACCAATCCAGGTCAAGAGCAACAAGAGTATTGTTGGTGTAGGCAGCGCAGGTGTTATCATTGGTCGGGGACTCTATCTCTCTGGTGTTTCCAACATCATTATTCAAAACGTTCATATTACCAACCTTAACCCTTCATTGATCTGGGGTGGTGATGCTATCACATTGGTAAGTTTTGCTACTTGAGGGAAGGGAGGTTACAAAGCCTACATACTAACTATTATCTTTAGGTTGGCACAGACCTGATCTGGATCGATCACTGTAAATTCTCTCTCATCGGTAGACAAATGCTTGTCACTGGATACAATGCAGCCGGTAGACTCACAATCTCCAACAATGAATTCGATGGTCAAACTTCCTGGTCCGCCACTTGCAACGGTCAACACTATTGGACAATGCTCTTCTATGGTGCCGCCGACTACGTTACTCTCGCAAACAACTACATTCACCACTGCTCTGGCAGAGCCCCCAAGGTCGGTGGAAGCTCCGGCGATGCTATCACCATGCACGCCGTCAACAACTACTTCTACAATGTCGCAGGCCATGATTTCGATATCGGTGTCGGCGCTGCAGTCTTGTTGGAGGGCAACTATTTCCAATCTGTCACAACTCCTATCACAGCTGCTTCTTCCTCAGCTGGAGGCTCCATCTTCACCACCGCTTCTGGAACCGAATCATCTTGCACCGCATACCTCGGCCGTGCTTGTGTCGCAAATGCAGTTTCAAGCTCGGGAGCCCTTCCAGGTTACGGTACCACCGCCTTCTTGGCCACCATCAAGACCAAGGAAAGTGGCTATGTTCCTGCTGCGATTGCTGCTGCTTCCGTCCCCGCTTATGTCAAGGCCCATGCCGGTATTGGCAAGCTCTAAGGAGAGGATTCTTGAACTCTTTGGCTCGTGGAGTCCATTACTTTCGCTCTCTTTCGCCTTTTGAAACGGGCCCATTCTTGAATATACAACTTATCTTGTACATACCATGGTTGGAACTTCTCGCTGTACATATTCGAAGTTCTTTCTTGGACATAATTTTAGTTGTACATATCTAAAACTTTTATCTTGAAATCTATCTTGTTACTATACTATTATATCGTCGGACGTGCGTTTTCAAATTATTGCATTTTTTTTTCTCCCTGTATAAAGGTGCTATGGTAAAGTTCAATCATACTCTCAACTTTGTGATTTGTAGAAATCTAGCTTTGACATCTGTCTTCGCCTCGTTAATTACTCTCCCCGAGAGACGTAAAGCTTCCAACTTGGTCTAAGTAGGTACTTTAAGTTGGCCTCGCTTATCCTTTATTATGATAATCAGGCTGAGTGATATGGAATGGTCTCAACAGGTCTGGCTTGGTTGAAAAGGGACCTGGCAACGGATCCAACAATTATCATTCGCGCTTCGAGTCTGTTATCTATGGACGTTAACGGTGCGTTTCTTTTCCCCCGAGAAACACAACTCTAGAGTTTTGGGTTGTCGATCTCGAATGAATGAAGAAAATATTGGATAACTATATTATTGTATTACTGTATTACTATAATCATATACCTAAATAGTATTATGCTCTATCAAATCCATCCTCCCCCCTCTCATTACTCATTACTTCCTCCGCCTGCTCCTTCCAATACTCATCCAGGCCTCAGCTAGCTCTCTCTCTCCTCAAACTTTCATACCAACAAGTAAGTACCCGTATCATATCATCATCATCACTTCTCAACAGCCGTAGTCATCGAGGTCTTCTTCGTATCTCTCTCACTCCTCCTATTGAGTACGCTATTGATAGGATGTGCATCTTCATCTAGATGCTTTATCTTCCTATTTACTTTTTCCCTCGCAGTAACTTTTCTTACCAGACTCCCCATTGCGCTGCTGACTTTTGCTCGTGCGGCTGATCGGGTGGTTCGCGTGGATATGTATTTTTGTTTGGGGGGTTGAGATTCGCGTCTCATTTTTGAGGGGGTTGATAGATAGGGGGAGTAGAGAGTAGAGAGTAAGAAGTGGAAATCTGAGTTGTGTTTGAGATTGTTTGTTCTGTTGTGAAGGGAAAAAATCACGGTGAGATTCTCAACTAGATAAAAATCCTGCAATGAGGAGAAAGAATATGCATCACAAACTCAAATACCACCTGTACTTCTTCTCTCTACCTTATACTCCATTCCATTCCATTCCACATACCCCGCCTCAACATACCCAAGCCAACAAGGTCACCCAACACGACCTCATCGTAAACTTGTAAACCTGTAAACTATAATAAACCCCGCAAATATAGCCATGACCTGAGACCACGTAAGGACAAGAAACATAACCGATACTATCGCTAGAATATTTATTTCACATTTGATATCGCTCAATCATATGCCGAGGTATCCACAACATCTCAATACAATCATGTCTGTCTATCATTGACAAAATAATCGATCTCGATGCTTCGGGTCGGGTGTGTAGCGTGTAATTTGGGGTTACGATGGAGATGGAGCGGTATTTGTTTATGGAGATGCGGGGGTGAGATACGTTGAGTAGATGGATGGATGGATGGATGGATGGATGGATGGATGGATGGATGGATGGGATTATAGGAGGGAGGATGTGGTAGCAAGTAGGTAGGTATTCAGAGTGGGAAATGGAAATGGAAATGGAAATGGTGGATATTTATAAACTAATTATTCAGGAATTATGCATCATGGCATTTTAGTTTTGGTTACTGAGTATGCGATATCGAATAAGAATGATGGAATGACTGGTAGAAAGATTCGGAGCAAATTAGTTAATTCGTATATTGTGAACTCCCTCAGTATCCCAGATGTTTCGAAGGGATTATTTAATTCAAATGGTGTAGACTGTAGATGAACAAAATAGATAGATGAGATGATCTGGAATGAAAAAAGTACAACTGACAAAAGATAGATGAGATATTATCACTACCACAATAGATACAGAATAATAAAGCACAAGCGAGGAGCAAAGGAAATCACCTGCAACTGAGAATATTGAAGACCAATGTTATTGATGGGAAACTTAAGTATTACGCATTAAAATATCGTGGTATCGTTACAATCATATATACAGTTTTGTCAACTTTGGAGAAACATAATCTGCCAAATTGCAATGTGTTCTGCAGGTCCTTGCCTGATTCATCTTCATCCCTCCCCCATCCCCTGCATCAGAATATCGCTCCGCCGGTACCTAGAAAGTACCATTGGAATTTTGATATTGATGAGTTCCTCTGTACCCCTCAGCTGGCATTTCTGTTGCATGAGGTGGTGCATACATCGTCGGACCAGTACCATAGTCCACACCGTTAACCTGATGACCATGGGTACCAACGACTGGGGATACAGGAGGATGTCCATATCCTGTTTGTGAACCATAACCTTCGTGAGTTCGTGCCACCATGGTTGCATCCGTAGCATTCGAGGTTCTCACGTCATTAGGAGTAGAGTGGATGGGTAATGCATCGGGCTTTTCTGAGACAACTCCTCCAGCCATGTATTCACCATCGTGGACTCGTTGACGTTTTGGCCAGAATCTACTACGGGTTCCGGCAGTATAGCCATTGTTGGGAGATGGACCGAATGCCTTTTCTTTTTTGTGGTGCTTGATGAGAGCTAATTCGACAAAGAGTGAAATAAAGAAGAAAACACTAATATCGATGTCAGTGTGATTTCTTCCATTTTCTCGATTGATCCTCTGCACATAAAATGAAGGAATAAAGATAGACGGTGCACCTACGCAGCGACAATTGAAACGGCAAAACAAGCTGTATTCAATCTACAGCTATCGGACAAACTAGGCAGAGATGTATTTCTCAAGGCGCCCACTCCGGAAAGTCTTTGATTCGTGGCAGCGATTCCATTGCCCAAAGGTGTATACACATATCCGGAACATGATCTACCGTGTCTGGTAGCATAAGCTACATAGATAAATGCGCCGGTGAAGCAGAAATCGAGAATGATAGCGATGATGGAAAAGAACATCAAACCGGCAACACAACAGAGAAGACTGAGTCCAAGAACTGTGTATAATGCACCTGAACCCGAAATACCTTCAACGGCTTTGATGTAGGTAGCGATAGGAAGATTATTGGTAGAGAGCTTGGCGAGGAAATAGGCAAAGATTCCAAGAATGATAACCGAGCAGCAGAATTCCACGCCGCGAAGGAACCATTGAAGGGCTTTGAGTGCTACGCCGCCGCCTCTCATGATGAAATATATGAAGGTTTATGTTCCTTTTTGGGTATATGAAGGGGTAGATGGAAAAATATCAGATCAGATAAAAAGAAGAAAATTGAGGACAATACAAGATATAAATATGGAGTTTCGAGAATATGAAGTGAGGGATGACTTTATGAAGATCTGCGTATGATGTCGTCAAATGGAGCCGGTTGATCATAAACTATAAATCGAACCACTCGGCAGCGGGAACCAATGATGCTAAGTAGATGGTGCAACCTTCATCAAGAAAGCCTCGTCTTCGTATAAGATTTCTTTGTTTTGCAGTTTGGTTATTTTGCTCGGTCCTCTACTTTCTTCACGTGCCTTCATTTTTCTTTGTTTATGTGAGTCTTCACTCGTCGATGCAGGATTGAGTAACTTTGGTGGCTGTTCTCAATTGCCGCCAAAACGATAACGGCCGAGATCATTTGCATCAAGTAGGAATAGGAAGCAGCTACTTTTGAAACTACTCTGAAGAATACTCTAACACAAGATCTAGAGCTGTTCCTTTATTCGCACCAGAGGACGAAATGGAAGATCTTGTGCCGTTTCACGGGATGTACCGATTCCGGTGAAAGTATTTGAGAACATCAAGATTTCAGAAGTGATATTCAAGGACCTTTCCAATTCCAAAGACTTGGTGTCCGTCTTCAATCCGTCGTTTTTGGTCATTAGAATCTTTCTTAGAAATGTCATGAATGTAACGTTTTGTCTTCCAAATGCTTGGGAACATTGATCGAGACCTTTTTGACGTCATTGTCAAAGGTTTTAGGATCAAGGGATCAAGGGATCAAGGGATCAAGGGATCAAGGGATCAAGGGATCACATCCAAGATTGGTGATTCGTCAGTGGCGGAAAGAATAAGCTAAGCTAAGCCACAATTTGAAAACAGGTTCTTTCTTAATTGATCACGTGAAATGCTAGCACAGCCACTATGTGAGGAGTTCTTTTAGAATCTCCAGATGAGATCTGATCGCCGATGACCTTTAAGTAGGTACTTGGTAGAAGTTCATACCAGTATGTTCATGAACCTTGGGAATTCAACTAAAGAGACATGGAAACAGGTAGCGTAGGGTCAACCGAAACCCTTATTCCTTGGAAGATCTAAGCACTTCCATGACATCTACAACTCGATAATTACCTACCGAGGTATACTTGTACACTGGTACATCACTCATAGAATTATATGACATTTGCATACCTGGGTGCAGACTATGAAGTGTAACGAGTTGAACTCTTGTTGCTGTTTTGCTGCATTTTGGTTCATTGAATATTAGCCGTAACCCTTATTTCCATAACATTGTTACATTGGAAATTATGTACCTCCATAGAAAATCCAAACCACTTAATAGATACCACCTAGTAGGTACCTAGTATGTAGATTGAGACTCTAGTTCGGAGGTTAGATACCGACATTGAAATGAATGTTATATTATTCTTCTAGATACAATATATGGTCTTAGAATGTATTATATGACTTAAATGGCTCCCAAATTCAGGTATCCTAACGAGCCCAAGATGTCTCCAATCCACCTGACTTCATGCTGTCTTCCCCTCTCATGCTATACGCCCCCTTTCGACCTCAATTCTTTTTCTCTCGCTTCATCATCTCTACCTTTGCGTTGATAACGCTATTCCTCAACTGCATCGCATTACCAATATCATAGAATGCCACAAACATTGCATATAGAGGTAAGAAAACCCACAACGTATTGAAGAATACCAAGTAAACCCATTTAAACATAAAGTTACTCGTATCCAAATTCTTACAACCGATTAACCATTCTGGTGCAAATGTCATGAAACCTGTTATTCACATACATATTTAGCATATAATTTCCTATCATTGGATTGTCAGAGAAGAACCCCATAAACATACCACCATACAATTCCCCCGTAGCAAGCACCACCATCCAAAAATTAACTCTCCAATCCTTCCTCACAATCCCCCAACAAATCCAAAGTGCCAAAGGTCCAGCCCCAAGCACAGTCAACAACTCCAAACTAACCACTGTCAAATCTGCACCCGCCCATCTTCGATCTGCTTGCGCATAAACCATCCACAATTTACTCGCCCAATTATCCGCATATTGTGCTCCATATACATATTCACTTGTGCCCAAGAAATTAGATAGAGCTACTGGATGAGCAATTGATGAATTGAAGGGGGCGCGTGAGAAAAAACAGTTGTAGAGGAAGGAACCTTCGAAGATGGTGTGGATGAGGAAATCGAAGAAGTGCCAAATGAAGAGGATACGAAGGGAGGAGGGGGTAGTGGACGCGAGAACTCGGATGGAGAGGATGTAGGAGGATAGGAGAATTGCGACGACGCCGAGGAGAGAGAGGATAGTGGTTTGGTCGATATGCTCCATTATGGAAGACATGGTAGATAGAGAAAGCGTGTAAAAGTTGATTGACTCAAATCCAACTCGCAGATCTATCAAGATTTGGAGGGACAGCCTGTAATTGTGCAGGGAAAGACAATTGAAGTCAATGGACAACTTGATCCACGTGTCGGTCCAAAAGTTTGAAAGCTCCCGCTGAAGATGAAGCTTTGACAATTTTCACAACATTACGGAACGCGGAGCACTTTAATCCGTAAACGTGGTCGGAGCAAAAGCTCCCTCACGATATGACATCATCAAAATACCCCCCAATGATCGCGTAGAAAAGCGAATCCCGCAGGTCAGAATCTGTAGTAACCAGCTTTTTTGGTCATCTAGTAGAACAATAGTAGA